CGGAAGGCTGCCCTCGATGATGCCAGCGTCAAGACTACCGTGGAGTACGATCTCTACTGCTACTACGTCGCCGGTCTGGTGGGCGAGGGCCTGACCCGCCTCTTCGTTGAGGCCGAGTTTGGCAACCCGGCCTTGCTGAAGCGGTCTCAGCTGCACAAGTCGATGGGCTTGTTCCTGCAGAAGACCAATATCATCCGTGATGTGCGGGAGGACAATGATGATCAGCGACGATTCTGGCCCAAAGAGATTTGGTCCAAGCACGTCAATGACTTCGATGATTTGTTCAAGCCGGAGCACCGCGAGGCAGCGCTGAAATGCAGCTCGGAGATGGTGTTGAACGCGCTGGAGCACTCGGAGGACTGCCTGTTTTACCTGGCTGGCCTGCGTGAGCAGAGTGTGTTCAACTTCTGTGCCATCCCGCAATCCATGGCGATCGCCACGCTGGAAAAGTGCTTCCGCAACCCGGCCATCTTCGAGCGCAACGTGAAGATCACCAAGGGTGACGCTTGCGAGCTGATGAGCAAGTCGACGCAGAACCTTCGGATCGTCTGCGAGGTTTTCCGACGATATGCGCGCAAGATCCACGCGAAGAACACCCCGAAGGACCCCAATTTCCTGAAGATCAGCATGGCTTGCGGACGTGTAAGGCTTCCCGTTATCCATGATTCTTTACAACGTTGCTAATTTCTGCAGATTGAGAAATTCATTGAGACCATCTTCCCGTCTCAAAATGCCGAAGACGCCAAGCTGCTGGTCAAGGGCGAGCTGTCAGAAGCCGACAAGAAGAAGGCACAAGAGGAAGCGGAGACACGCCAGGACCTGTATTTTATGATGTGTCTGATGGGCATCATTGTGCTTGTCATCTCGGTCATGATGGTATGTTTGCTTTCTATCTATTTTACTGGCGGTGGCTAACGTTCCCAGTTTGGTGTTGCGTGGTACTTCGGTGCTCGATTCGACCTTGCCTTCAAGGAGATCCTCAGCGGGAATTTCCAGAAACCCGCACATCTGGGCGAAGTGCGAGACGAGCTGTAATGTTACGGAGCTATGATATGTGGCATTTACGTTCAGGGGTCTGTACATGTAGTATATTTTATACCACCCATCCATGCCATACTAATTTTCTCGCCCTTCCCTTCCCTTTCCTTTTTTTTTTTGACCAACCCTGGTCGTTGCCTCTACCCGCTAGCACGGATGTCAAATTGCTATCCAGTCCTCTTTATGACTGTGGTTGTGCCGAAGAAGTGCTGAAATTGAAGTCTCCAGCGACGTACTAGATTTATGTCTTGCATCATTAGCTTGATGCCATGTCATACGTCCATTGAAGGAACTGGAACATATGTTATTCGCTGTAGAAATTGAATGAACTCATTGCTTGATCATACAACATATCTACCAACTAGATCAAATTGTCTTTGTCGTAGTCTACGAATCCTGGTAATAGAAACCAGTAAAAAAAGCAGTCGCTGAGTTAGAACCTCGCCTGGGCAGGAGTCACTCTAGGTGGAAGTGGACCGGTTGCCAAGGCCGAACTGCCTAAGCCTGACTAGGAGGTCAATGTGATTCTTTCTCACCCAGGTCTGATTAGGTCTATACATACTACTTATTAAAGAATTATAATACAATTTTTTCTTTCTTCTATAATCATTTGGACCTATTATCATAAAGTACCCGTAGATTTGTCCAGTCATCGTGCATGGACCGTCGAATCCCCACCCGACTTCCGTGGCGAGATCTCCCGAAATTCTGCAACTTCTCGAAACGCAAGTCTGACGGTCATTGTACGAACCACTGTTAAATCCTCCTCTTGGCTAGGTTGGTATTGTTCACACAATGCGTGCAGCTTGCTGGACATGCCGCAAACGCACCATTCAATGTGACCGAACCGGCAACCCTTGCTCCAAATGCGAGAAAGCCGGGCTAGAATGTTTCGAAACCAGACCGCTACGATGGGTCAAAGGCGTGGCAATCCGGGGTAAAATGCGCGGACATGCCCTCGAAGAAGATTACAAAGTCGCCAATCGAGTACCATCGCCACCCAAACTAGAATCAATCTCGTCCTGCGTCGAAAAGTCTTTGGCGCTCACGCGTCCTCCCCCGTTCGCGTTGCAGGACCCTTCCATAGAGGACCTCGATTGGTCATCGCGGTTCTATCTTAATTATTGTAAGTTCCTGGCGACGTAGGTCTTTTCCATGGGTAGGCTAATTCCAGCGTAAGATAACATACGCATCGCCAAGTTGTTCATTCTATATGACAGCCCGAGCAATCCGTTTCGGAGCTTACTCGCGTATGCAGTAGATAGCCCAACGTTGAAGATGAGTATAGTGGCTGTTGCTGCGCGACACTTCGCCAACTCGGCGCGGTCATTTAATCAGACCGATGATGCTTCGTCGCCTCGATTTGTCAATGCCAATGTGGATGCACTCCACTTCAAAAAGCGAGCTATCAAGGCATTATCATCCTCCTTGTCCCATCCGGAGCCTTCGCAGAAAGATGCGATCATGGCAACTATTCTACTTTTGATTTTTCTCGATATACTCGAGTCTGGCATCGACGGATGGAAATATCATCTTCATGGGGCAGAAGGCCTTGTCAAGATATCTCAATCGATGCTAGAGCCTGGTGCCAGCGGTCATATTACCAGCGATTCTGGAGGGACAGTAGAGGAAACGAGGCGATTTGTCGCCCGACAATTTGCACTGTATGCTTCTTCCTCCATGTTCTCCGATATATACAATGTGCTAATCGCAGCAGTGTATCAACTATCGGCGGTGCGCTCTCGAGCTCAAAGTCCAGGCCTGAATCATGTATCAATCTTGATGAAGGCAAGTATCAAGAGTCAATTATTCGAAGTTTTCTTGGGTGCCCTGCCTTTCTCCTGCAGGCTACCCGTTATTTCTCTATCCAAAGGCATGCGATTAAGAATTTGCAGATGCATGACGACGCCTTGACTCAGGAGCGTATACGAGAAACCCAGAGTATGCTTCATTTGACGGCAGATTTTGATTGTGTGGAGTGGGCGTCCAACGCCGTGCAATCAAAAGATCTGCAAACAGTGGACATCGAGAAGCTGTCCCTGCTATCGGAAGCATACAGAACTGCCACATTAATCTATGGAAACCGAGTCCTTCGTGCTTTGATGGCATCAACCGGGACAGTAATATCTGATTATCACGGATTAGTGCGGCAATTATTTGACGTGATTGACGCTCTCAAATACGAAAACTCTCTGTTCAAGTGCTTACTGTGGCCGACCTTCATTGCCGGCCTTGAATGCCAGAACGAGAGTGAGCAACAGCAGGTTATGCGGCATCTAAAGACGCTTTGGGACTTGACCTGCTGTTTGAATATAATCAATGCTTCAACAATTGTACAGGGCTGTTGGAGGCAAAAGCACTTCGATGGCAATCCGGTGCCCGATGTCATAGGACAAGACTTGCTGCTTGTCTGATCTACGTTATTGCCTCCATGGTAATTCAAGTTTCTTAAGCTACCGAGCTTTGGAATGTCTGAACGCGTGAGTTTTTCAATTTGCCAGGGTCAAAAAAGCTCGCCGAATGAAACTGCTGTTGGCGCTTCAGGGACCGGGTGCACCGCAGTGGTCAAAATGATGAAATGAATAAATGGAAGGTTGACTTGACCAGTATTGGAATGATCGATTGATTGATGTAGGAAAAAATCGAGGTCTTCCACGGTGTTAAAAGCTGCCTTGGATAAGTAAACGGCGAAACTTTGGCGGCTTGCCTCAGGCACCCAAGCGCTTACAGCTGCTAGGTACTGAAATATCCTGTTCTGTGAATCGAGATTATATGCGGTAAAAGCAAGCAAATTATCTTGTTCGATTGTTCAAGGCAATGCAGATAAAAAGATTGCCTTCTATTGACATGCTGTTCGCGTGGGTGTGCCTAACCCTGTGCAATCAGGGTATTTCTGTTTCAACAGAATCAATTCCAACACGTTTCTCATGGATAGAGGGTTCATGATTAGAGGATGCACGTCGAAACAGCACACGTGTTTCACACAGAGGAATCTCAAATGGAAATGTGTCTTGGCATAACCCATGTCCCAGAAGGTAAAATCCAGACGACGCCGATGCATGCGGCGCCAAAGGCACCAGCCGCCGTCATAAGAGACTCGCCCAAAGCCATTCTGTCATCTGCCAACATGAAGTTCGCTGAACAATTCAGGATATAGCACAACCCCAAGGCAGCATAAACGATGATATTCGGAACGTTCCCTAGAAAACTATTAATCCGCAATGGATATGTGTAACTTACCGAATACGGCGAGGTCAGTGTACGAAAAAGTGTTCCCCTTCACCATCTCCCATTGCGCAGATAGGGGAGAATGCAGCCCGGGGCAAATGTTTTTGCAAGTTGCCATCATAGACCCACTTAGAATATCTAGATTGGTGATGAGTGAAACTGAATAACCTAGATCATAGGGCGCTACAAGCTATAACTTCCTAGACTGGCGACTAAGGCTTATTGATTGAACGATTACCGGGCTTCTGTGGATCGTTCCATGGACCCAAATTTCATCTGTGATAGTTGGAGCGGAGCCCTCCGAAAGTGTCGTAGCGGACGATTCTCGAAAGAATGGAGTCTGGAGCCCGGAGCACCAAGACCGTGGTATCATTGAGCCAAGCCGCTGTCATCGACCCACCAAAGACAACTTCCTCAACGGGCAAGTCTGGTTCCACCCCGCGATGTCATAGACTCTGGCATGGCTGCAAAGTCCGAGATATGTCCTGGACTTGCTTGGAAATCATCACGGATCAGGCAAAATGTGTTTCCTTGCATTATATTCATTATGGTGACGGGACGGATATTTAAAGGCTTCATTCTGCGTCTATAAACCACCACTTCTTTCTTCAAAACAGCATCTTAACCACTACTCGAGTTAATTGCCTTCCACTTCTACTCGGTGAAATTCTACTCACAATTTTGCTGACATTTATCAACTCTCTCTCTCTATCTCTCTCTCTCTCTACTTCAAAATGTGCAACCAGGAAATCGCTGCGAACGGCTGGACCGCCATGCCCGCCAACGCGGGCGCCATCTTTGGTGACCAGCCTTTCATCAACAAGCCAGGCCCTCTCCCTCTGAGCGAGATAAAGTTCCCCTTTGATGATCCTTTGGTTGCGAAGACCCTCAAGTATGCGAAGGAGACCCTCCATGCTGAGACCTTCAATCATTCCATGCGAGTCTACTTCTACGGTAAGTTTACAAATCACACACATGGCCCTAACAGCATCAAAATCTTTGTCTAACCTCCATTCAGGAATGGCCATCACCAAGCAGCAGTTCCCCGAGAAATTCGCGGCCCTGAACCCGGCTACCTGGGCCTTGACCTGCCTGCTCCACGATCTCGGCACTGCTGAGGAGAACCTGACCGCCACCCGTATGTCCTTTGACATCTACGGCGGCATTAAGGCCATGCGCGTACTTCAGGACTTCGGCGCCACCGCAGATCAGGCTGAGGCCGCTGCCGAAGCCATCATCCGCCACGAGGACATGGGCGTTGACGGAACCATCACCTACATCGGACAGCTCATCCAGCTGGCCACTACCTACGACAACACTGGCTTCCACCCTCACGTTCGCAACTTCGGCCAGCTGATTCACGAGTCCACCCGTACCGAGATCAATGAGACCTACCCTCGCATCAAGTGGTGCACTTTCTTCTCCACCACTATCCGCAAGGAGGAGAGCATCAAGCCCTGGTGTCACTCAACTCACCTGGTTAACTTCGACAAAGAGATCGAAGCCAACACTCTCATGAAGAAGTGGGAATAAGCTCCCTCTCGGTGTACGGGGGTCACCACGCTCTAGCTGAGGCTTTGGGCTGCTAATGCACAGATTTCTCAGAATCATAGCTGAGAAGAAAAGACGTCATGGATAGAATCCAATTGTACAGAACCGCTTCTTGTTGATAAGAGAGTGGAGTGGAGATGTTCTTTCGCCATCATTATTCAAAGCTCCTTCTGCCTATTGACTATCCATATCGTCCTGCTATTGCACTTATGCCAGGTGGTCTTACAGGGCTGTGGCAGGAACTCGGTTGTCTTATAAGGAACTTATATTATATACTTTTTGTATTGTCATGTCTTGAGCACTATCTATTCTTTGTAACAGTAGAGTAAAGCCCTCTTGGCAGTGGGGCCACAGCATAGATAAGCGGTCACCAGGGTAGAAGCTGTTTTCGCTATCGACTGTACTGTATCACGGTGGAGTGGATATTGTCGGATATTAAATTGCCACTATTGTGAGTACACTTTTCCCGCCATTCAATGAGGGCAAAATTATTTCAGCTTTACGCAATATTTCCCATTTAGGCTTTGTCAGTTCAGCCTTGGCAACAGGCCCACTTTCACCTAGAGTTGACTCCTGCCAAAACTTTCAGGTTATATACGCAAAGTCGTCCAGAGCTTCCACACCAGACTTAACAACATGGCCATTATAATACCCCTGGGCCTTGATGGATTTCCAACTCTTTGTCTGGAACAGGTTCTTGAGGGCGTCCGATGCGCGCTTGAAAAATTGGCCTCTACCGGTTTCGCGGCATAATGGGTCAATGCATTTTTCGACACGATCATGACCCTGCTTGACAGTGACGTCCGCATCTCCCCTATCCACAAAGATTTCGAAGTCGTCTTTATCGCTGGATTCGCTCCAATAGTCATCCTCATCGCTAGCTTTGCTCCAAGAGTCATCCTCATTGAAGATAGGCTTCATACGGCTGTTTACAGTAATGCCCGCGGCGCAAGCATCTTTCCAATATCCCGATTCCTTTTCTCCCTGCTCATCTGCCCAGTCATACCAAGGTAGCGTGAACTCGACTTTCCCCCCAGAATAGGGCTTAATACGAGTGGCTATAGTGTCCTTCCACCCTCTGACAGACGGCAAGTTCATCGATGGCTCCTCGTTGCCAGCCGCCAATATCATCCACAATTTTCGGTACCCATCGGCCTCCAGGAGGGACGAGAAGCAGTCGGTGGTATGGGACCCAGCAGCGAGGCTTGATCCAACCCCACTGTGCACACAGAGAAAGTCAAGCTGTAGACCTGGAAATAGTCCGAGAACTGCACCGAGATGGAAGTACCGGACTCCTCCGAAGGGTGCATGTTCGTCCGTGATCTCGCTCAGGTCTGAGATAGAGCTATTGGTGGTGGACACGTCGCTGGCGTTGCTGATGTCTATATTGTCAGACATTGCGAGCGGTTCATGCGCATCGCCGAGGGGTCCTTCATTTTCTTCCCATTCGCGTATCCATTCGGGAGTGCTGGACATAACATCCCTGTGGAAGGTCTCTTTGTCTTCAAACAGCCTCAGACCTACTGGCGAGTGCCAGACTGTCAACTCTCTAAGGCGGGTGATCTGTGCCGGGCTCATTCTGCTAAGAACCTCTATCACGTCGGCGTTGTGATCGCAGTGGATCTGCACATTGGGGATGGCGAGTGGCTCCGCCTCGTGGTATATCAGACGGCAGACTCGTAGAAGAGCGAGATGATCTTTGCTTTTGTCCTGTCTGGTAATAGTGATCGATTGAAAATGCCGAAGGTAGATGTCGTGTCGGAGCTCTGGAGGTAGGGAAAGGAGTGATAACATGATTGACGTGAGGTTATACGCTGAATAAATGCGTGATGTTTTAGATCAGTAAGGATGAACCATTAGAACAACAAATGGGAAAGCAGTTAATAGAGATCTAGAGATATGTCGACGAAAAAATAAAACGTCAATGCGCGGCTGAGAATCGAGCACTTCTAGCCTCCCTAACGATTTGACGTGTATGATTTGTCTGGTTGCCTGAACCTCATATGCTAGCCTTGGCATCATTGACCCACCGTTTTTCTACAGTCACTCTTCCTCAATTTTCATCACAATGGGCTTCAACCCCCCCAGGGTCCAACATGACTGTCCTGTCTCGGTTGATATAGCCATTGCGGAATTCAAAGCACACAGGCAGTAGAGTCAATTGACAAGCGAGTAATTCAACACAGGCACCTCGAACACCTCTGCCGTACATGTCGCATTGAAGAACGCATCGTGCACACAGCTCAGCGCAAACTCCGTACTTCCCGAATACGTGATGCGGCTTCCATTCGCGCAGGTCAGCGCATGCCCACTACCCAGCTTATAGTCAATCCTCCCAACAGACGTCTCGTCGTTCGAGCCGCCGTAGAATGAAACGATCCGTCCTGCGCCCCGATCCGAATATCCGCAGTTGCTTGCGCCATTCCCAATATCGTGGATGCGGTAGCCGATGTACTCGTCGTGGCAGGCTAGGCCGTCTTCGAAGACGATGTCTAGGGTTTGGGCGGGCCCGTACCCCCATGGCTCGTAGTTGGGCATGCCGGTGTAGCAGACGGGGACCATGCTGCCGTTGCAGGTGGTGGGGTTTGGCTCGCACCAGCCGCGACCGCAGAGGCAGCCTTGGGCGTTCTTGTCCTCCTCATTGTGGATGCAGTCGAGGCTGTGGGAGCCGTTGTACCAGTTGAAGGTGGTGACTGTCCAGGTGGGGATGGGACAGCCTTCTGGGGGTGTTATGGAGGTGGCTGCTGAGGTTGCAGAGAATACGAGAAACGTGAGGATTGTTGGCAGTGCCATTATTGTAATGCTTTTCTTTCTTTCTTTCTTTCTTTCTTTTTTTTTTTTTTTGGATTGAGTAAGACTTCTTTATGCCGAGGGGAGAGTAAATGCGCGTGTGTGATCGAGAGACGAGGAGCCATTTATAGACCCACGATATCATTGACAGAGACTCTGAATTTTGGCATCCTGCAATTGTGGCAAACACTCGGATCAAGTAGAGGGCAGGGTTACTGCAGGTCAGCTTGCTATATTGGTATCGGCTGGGCCAATCGGAGTCCCATCTGACCGGATGGCTAAGACATGTTTTGGACGCATTGGCATGATTGGCACAGCAATATATTCAGTCATATCGTAACTTCCTAGAGACCAGTGAAATGGTGATCAGTGTGACAACATCGAATACCTACCGGACACCGCTCTTTTCGTCGGCATTTCCTCTCATTATTTTCGGGGAAACTGATTGCCCAAACAGATGCATTTGTAATGACAAGTGGATCAGTAGAAATCCAAGGATAGATATTATTGACAATGTAGCCAAATGAGCATGGAAGTATGGAGGTTGTGGTAGACCTGCGCGGTTCACAGGTTGATATCGGTTGTCGTGAACCTGAGGCAGCCAAGTCCTGCCAATTTCTTCTGTATGAAATCTGTCAACATCATCCATCTCACATTGTTTTGGAAGCCAGTCCAACATATCCAAGTCAATAAGGATGTACTTTTGTCGACGGACATACCACTGCGATGTGCTTTAAATCATAATTTCAAGCCATGTGTGATAAGTGATCTACACCTCCAGTATGTGTGGTATGGCTGAAAAGGAAGAACTAACCAGGTCGAGTTCCTAGAAGACAGCAACTTCAATAGAGATTGTTCACAGATACGTCTCTCGGAGAGGCGTGAAGCTCCAGTCCAACCAGGAGAGCATGGGTGTATGACTGAAATATGCAGGACCAGCACATGCCGACAGACAGACCAGGGTCTCCAACCCCGCTTCGTCAGCTCGCATCCAGATGAGGGGATCAGGCATTACTTAAGGGAATAAGAGCAGGCTCGCATTTGGCACCAGCAAGAACAGTCTCCAAATCTACTATCAATTGATCTAACACCAACCAAGCTGAGCAAACATAATGGGCGAATATACTCCCGATTCGACCCTACCACCCACCCTGGGCAGCAACACCCCTGGTCCGCATCCTGCCTCTATAACCCGGCCTATCCACCACCCCGAATGGGATCAGCCGTCTGCCTCAGGGTATCGCGTCTCGAAGCATGTCATCGGCGAGCCGGTGCCTCGTTGCGACCCGTTCAAAGTTCTAATCATCGGCGCTGGCGCTTCCGGAATCGATTTTCTTCATCATGCGAAAACTGCGCTCTCCGGGCTGAACGTCGAAGTCCGCTGTGTCGATAAAAACTCCGATGTCGGTGGGACCTGGCTCGAGAATCGATACCCAGGATGTGCGTGTGATGTCCCCAGCGCTAGTTACCAATTTCCGTGGCGGCCGAACCCGTATTGGTCACGGTATTACAGTGGTGCGCGCGAAATTTGGGCATACATGAAGGCTGTTGCGCTCGATGAGGGTCTCACGCAATTCATGGAGTTTGGGGTGGAGGTCAAAGGGGCAACCTGGGTAGATGAGACGGCAAGATGGGTGGTGAAACTCGCGAAAGTGAATGGGCTGGAGTGGGAGGAGCAATGTGACGTGCTGTTGAACGCAACAGGGGTGCTCAAGTATGTTTCATTTTTGCTGGGTTCCTCCCATTTGTCCTGTTTCTCTCTCTATGCCCATCTGAATACTGACGAGACAGTAACTGGAAATGGCCGGATATACCCGGTTTGCACAGCTTTCGGGGGGATTTATTTCATACAGCCCGTTATCCCGAGGATTTTGACCTCAAGGGAAAACGAGTCGCGGTGATTGGAACAGGCAGCTCAGGGGTTCAAACCGTCGCGTCGATCTATCCTGATGTTGACAAGCTCTATACGTGGGTGCGCAGTCCCACGTGGATAACGGCAGGGTTTGCACAGAAGTTTGCGGGCAAGAACGGCGCCAATTTCGACTGTACGCCATTTCGCTGTCATGTTCAAGAAAAAAGCTAACACTAGACAGATACAGAGCAAGACAGACTGGCCTGGGAGCAAGACCCGGAGAAATACCGGGAATACCGCAAGATGATCGAGCACGAATTGAACCAGCGGTTCAAGCTGGTTCTGCGAGACAGCGCCGAGTCCCAGCAGGCCAACGAGGTAGCATCCCTTCCCACGTCCAAAGTTTCCTCCAGCCCTGACAATGATAAAGTTCTCCTATCGTGAGATGACAGCAAAATTGGCCGAGAACCCCGATATAGCAGCCCATATAATCCCCCAAAACTTCAACGTCGCGTGTCGCCGGCCCACCCCAGGAAACGGCTACTTGGAAGCCGTAGTCGGCGAAAAAACCACTGTATTTATGGAAGATGTTGCCGGAATCACAACAGAGGGCTTTACCGTTCAATCGGGCGAGGAGTATGCTTGCGATGTAATCCTCTGCGCGACAGGCTTCGATACCTCGTTCCGTCCTCGGTTCCCTATGACCGGCATAAACGGCAAGTCCTTGTCGGAGATCTGGTCCAATATGCCGGAGTCCTATCTGGGCCTTGCAGCCCCCAGCATGCCAAACTACTTCATGTTCACAGGCCCGTTTACCCCCACAGCACAGGGATCCATTCTGCCATTGATCACCAGTAAAAGCAAACATATCCTGCAGATCATCCGTAAGATGTACGTGCAGCATATCCGTCGCATGGTGCCCAAAGACAGTGCCATTGCAAACTTCATGGATCACTGTCAAACATACTTGCCACGAACGTGTTGGGCAGATCCTTGCAGCAGTTGGTTTAAACAGGGGCGTGTGGATGGTCCAATTGCGATGTGGCCAGGCTCTCGGTTGGCCTTTCTAGACGTGATGAGGTCCCCGCAATGGGAAGATTACGAGATTGAATATGAATCCGGTAATCGATTTGGCTTCCTTGGGAGTGGATTCCACGTGAGCGAATTCGAGACAATTGGGAACATCACAGATTACCTGGATGGAGAGGTGATGGATCCTCCACCGAGGAAGGTGATGGAGGATTTATGCAAGGGAAACTGATGGTAAGTCTGACATATTATTATTCACGTTTGTGCTTTCCTCATGCGTTTGGAATTGCCCACGCTGCCTAGAAGGATCCCAGAACTGGGTGGTTGCTTCCTGGGGAGGAAATTCTTGTCCTGCGCTATGACTGTGAATTAATGGGGACTGAATTCCCCATCGCGTCAACTATCTGGAACGCGACCCTCATTATCCATTATTCCAGAACATCAATAATTGGTATATTACTATCTATATAACGGCTCGAATATCTTACCAGATTGGCAGCTCTATTCAGTCCTTACTCCACGTACCACTCGATTTCGCGCTCTTCAACACTAATGCCACGATGTCGTTCAATGATCTCCCCAAAGAGATTGTCCTACCCATTTGCAAGATGGTATGCCACCTGACGATCTTTCATCTGAACTCGGTTGAATACTCACCTCTCTAGCTCAAAGATGTCTCGCCCCGGGCGCTGAGGGCTCTTAGTATGACCAATTCCGGGGTCTACAAAATAGCAGCCCCGCTAATCTATGGAACCCTCTCTATCCGATTCTCTAACTACAGAGAATTCATAGCGATTGTCGCGAGTCTAAGCAAAACTGGTCTTGGGAGACCATTCTTAGAACACGCCAAAAGAGTTGAGATCATGTCTTATCCGGAACGGACACTCCCAGTTCCTTTGGGACGCTGGGTTTGGCGTACGAAGTATTATGGATGTCCGGATACGTCTAGATCCATGCAGCACTATATTTCTCATCATATGAGGTATACTGAAGATTTGATGGGGCGCTGGATCCTGCCTGGAAGCCAATACTGGTCAGGGGATCTTCCCAGCTACATCACATGGTTGATTTTTCGGCCAGTTGTTTCGCTCCTTAAGCGTCTATCTCCTATCCAAGAGTTGTCTTATGCTGTGGCAAACCAGTTTCCTGGGCCCTTGTTGAAAGCCCTCATTGCACACCATCCCTCCTGCCGACTATCAGTTTGGTCGTCTCAGAGCTCTGATAAGCTCAGTAAACATAATCTGGCAGCCTTCTGGTCGAGTGGAAATTGGTTCAGTGACCGATGGAACATGGTGATTGCCAATTCCCAAAATCTTCATGCGATCACCATACATTACCCCGTTTTGTATAGTGCCAACAGATTTGGGTACCCCCATTGGCTTATTCAACTTGTCACCATGGCACCAAACCTGAAACACATTTATCTATACACCGACCTTTGCTGTAGGGCCCCAGAGAGCATGCCTGACAATAAACCTCCAATCGCATCGAAGGGGAACCTCAAATTACAGACGCTTTCTTTCTCTGTGACAACGACGGCCCAAAGATCTGTCAGGTTCGTGTCCCAAATACACGGACTTTTTGCGTCTGGGTCAGCAATTCAACATGCCTTTGATAGTTGGGCAAATTCTATAGAACTTTCTCTTCTTCGAGAATTGATCCTGGCCGGGGCGAAATATCCCTCAATGCTAACGGAGGTTGCTGCGGACCTGAAATGCCTGGAAAGGTTGGTGATTTGCGTCGAGCCCGATCAATGGGCCCAGGATTCTGCTACAGAGTTACGCCATATATTTCAGCGTTTGAATCCGTTGAAGTACCTTACCATACAAGGGCTAGTAGATATTTCACTTATGCACGACATTCTGGGAAGACATGGTCCGCGTTTGGAAGGCCTCCTGTTTGAGCCTTACCTGAGTGACCGGACCTGGCTGTATCCGATTATTGACGACAATCAGCTTCTAAGATTGGCAGAGGCCTGTCCAATCTTAAAAGATCTCCGGGTGCCCATCAGACGCTCTAAAGGGGACCGGACCGAGGTCTTTACCTACAGAGCCCTGGGCAGGTTCTCCCAGCTTTGCTGTTTGATCCTCGACCTCTACGGTGACCCACGGCCAGTCTCACCAGACGGAGTACACTATGCGAATAATCCTGCGAATTCAGCCACAGAATTGGGACGTGGAACTCCAAACAATATTCGAGATATTCTCATTAACTTCAGCATTGACCGCTCTCTCGCCGCTGCCATCTGGAAGGAAATCGCCTCGCACCAAGATTCTCATCGCCTCAACATGCTCCGTATTGTGCCGTGGGGAGTTGAGCCTTTTGATGACAACTTAATCTACGTGTTGACACACCTATCACGGTCATTCCTCGTTACAAATCACGGGAAAGAAGTGGTCGAGGTTGGAGAAAGAGAAAGGAAGGCAGTACTGGTAGATATGGGTCGAGGACCTGCTGGATCAAGGGTCACACCTGCTCTATGGGCAGTCTTGAACAGCATATGGCCGTGGCATGAAAGATGTCATAGTGTTGCTCTACAAACAGATGATGCGTAAGGTGCATTAGGAGTTAGTGTGAAAAACATAATCCAGGGTAATATCAGTAATATTGCGCAGATTCTTACCTCACTGCGTTCGTTCTTAATTCTGCTGTCGGTGAGATAGCTATCAACTTGGATAGGAACTACTGAATGGAGATATTTACATAAAGTCAGAGTGGGTCCTAATGTTCTACATCCATAGAAGGATCTGTCCAAAGAGCATGTTAAGCTGAGTTTTCATATCCACCACTTTGCTTGATCCTTCCAAAAGGCTGTTCCTTTGTTTAATTAGGTATGAACCGCGAGAACCTGCGTTAGTCCCCCTGTATCCTTCAGACTCGCCCATAAAATGGAGATCTTGTACTGATCTGTGGATCTCCAGATACAAAAAGGATTGATTGCTCTGGGCACAGCCCATCAGACAACCCAGCCAGCAAAGCAGAAATCCCGCAGCCACACTCCTTTAATACAGGGAAGCATATGCTGATTGCAGTTCAGCCCACTTTTAACCAGACTTATCCATCGTCTTACCTGCCAATTCCCGACTATCCTTCGCATTAAACGTCTGAAACAAGCTTGGAAACATCGACGTCCCGTCGTCGCGGGCCCGAATGTAATACGAGGTGTCAGCGTCCCGGCGATGCTCCATCTGGCTAAAGCCGTTCCCCAAATATGAAAAGCGGTTCTTGCTCGCATACGTGACGTCGTAGTCGTCGTAGCGCGGCTTCGCCATCGTCTCGATGTAGTGCAGCACGCTGCCCGGCCACAGCGCGGTGACCTTGCCCGTCACGGGGCTCTTGTACCATGTCTTACAGTTGGAGTTCCACACCGTCCGCTCCATGAATAGGTCTTTCTGCGTTATGAAGTCATCGACGGCTTCGCGTTTGGGGTCGAATGTTTTGATGTCCTCTTTTTGCCACCGATTGAGGAACTCTGCGATGTAGGATCCTTGCACTTCGATGCTGGTTATCGAGGGGCCGCTGCCTACTGGGGAGTTGGGGCCGAGGAACATGAAGTAGTTTGGGAATCCGCTTGCGGCTACGCCTAAGTAGCTGCGTGGCTCGTGGGCCCATTCGTCTTGGAGGTTGTGGCCGGAGCGGCCGATCAGGGGGAAGCGTGGGCGGAAGGTTGTGTCGAAGCCGGTGGCGCAGATGAGTATGTCGAGCGCGGTCTCGGTCCCGGTAGAGGTGATACAGCTTGTAGGGGTGATTTCGGTGATTTCGCCGTACAGTGCAGTGACGTTCGGGAGGGTCAGGCTCTCGAGATAGTTCACGCCGGGCTTGGACAGAGTTGGTCAGCGGCGGCGATTGATAATGATAGAAGGAAAGGATACAAGGGGAAAATACGGTAAGTCGACGACATCCCACCGGGAAATTGGGAATCAGCTTGTCGGCAAGCTCTTCGTTGTTGATCTTCTCCTGCATACTGGCCTTCATATACCCGGCTGTCTGGGTCTGCATAGGCCAGTCTTTGATGAAGAGCGGATACACGCCTGTCAACACCTTTTCGGTGGTCTTGCGCATCTTCAAGTGTTCCTCGGGATTTTCACGGAATTGCTGCCTCTCTTCATCTGTATGTTCGCGCATTTCTGACCCAAATGTTGGGATCACCCACGTGGGCTTCCGGATGAAGGTCGTTACATGTTTGGCAACTTTCTGGATCTGGGGGAGGATTTGGATTCCCGACGAGCTAGAGTGGTTAGCGTACATACATAGTGTATTTGGAAAGTAGGCGTACCCATTTCCAATCAGTCCGACATTCTTCCCCGTCAGATCAACGTTGTCTTCCCAGGCTGCGGTGTGGAGCAGCGGACCCTTGAAGCTTTGGATACCGGGAATTGTAGGCCAGCGCCACGAATTCAAGACACCACATGCATTGATGAGAAAGTCACATCGTCGCTCAAAGGTAGATCCTGTCTCGTGTTTCTGAACCTGCACTACCCACTCGGAGGCCTTCTCGTCCCATCGGGCTCCGGTCACTTCGTGGTGACTCGCGATGTACTCACGGAGCTCGTGCTTGTCGACAAAGCCACTGAAGTATTGGAAGATCTCGCGCGATGAGGAATAGGTGGAAGACCAGTCGCACTTGGGATCGAAAGTATACGTGTAGTTGTGACTATTCCATTCAGCGGGATGAACCTTGGGTGCTTGACAGACAGAAGAGATGGACTTACGCAGGAACGTCGCATGCGCAACCCGGATACCGATTCTCGAACCAAGTTCCCCCGATGTCTGCATTTTTCTCGTATATATCTAGCACAAAGTCTGTGAAATTATACTTCAGTTTGTATGCCATATAGATTCCCGATGCCCCCGCGCCGATGATAACCACGCGCATGGTGCGATTTGCGTGAAGCGGCGCATCGCGGCACTGTGGTTTGGGGCCGTTACCGACATGTTGCCCATCTGGAACTGTCATTTCCTTTCCGTTGAGTGATGGAGTTAGGTATAGCGGAGGAGAAGGCTTCATCATGGCGCAGGGGCAGAGATTTTATAATATACCCCGCGATCTCATGCCAATGACCCATTTCGCAAAATTGACATCAGCCTAGTCGGCGCCATTCTGGACCTCGCCTTATGTTCATGGTTTATTGGCCAGATGGAGGGCATCTGTGAAAATTTTTTGAATGCGATAGGTGCTCAAATCACGCCAAGGAGGGGGGGAGATAGTAGTCTCATATTAGCCTGTTCGTATGATGATTAGATACTCCTCCGGTCCGAGGTCCATGACTGAGGTCTTTGTAGCGGAGAGCTCTCAGGAACCAGTTGTTCAAGACTCCTCCAGTCCAAGATCCGTGCTTAAAGACTTTGTACAGAATGCCCTCGAGAAACATTCCATCTGGAGTAACAGTATTGCTATCATGGAGCTGCGTAGTTTGTCCCCTTCCCTCGCATCCAAGAACTGCTATGACCCACTTTAACTTAGGGCTAGTAGATATCACCATCCCAGAGGGTTAGTGTCTGCCATCTAGCTCGGATGTTCATTCGTGTTAGGAGATAGTCAGCCCCGCTGCCACGGCGCTCACTATTGGCGTGATCTCCTGTAGGGGCGGCATACTCCCACGGACTCAAAGGAGACATTGGGATGCGGAAACTAAACAATGGGACGCTAGGCCGACAGGAATTGATTCCCTTAACGTGTGATTGCTGGCCCTTGGTCCGAGGCTATGACATTGGTATGCGATATTGGGATATTGGGATTATACAGAGTGACGAGGTTAACATATTGATGCTATTGTACCTGCCGAACTTGGGTTCTTTCGTTGGTACAATCGATCCATACATCCGCGAAGGATTAGTAATTGATGGGACCCTGAACGATCTCTGTAAATTCAAATTACCAGAATTCGACATGTAAATACACCCAGCCTGCTCTGGCCCATGAACCAACGTAGCGTAAAGCCCCCCCCTGGCTTAGGGCTGATCCTTATCTAGATTTCGGCGAGTGACGTCGGTCTATACCTCGACCGTGTCGAGATCTGGTAAGACACGCAACCATTCGAACGAGGCCTCATGACTTGCCACGGGTCTAGCATTCAGGAATGGCAATATACAATAGCTGTGTCAGGGCTAGAGTTTGGTGACGCGGTTTGCTTTCCGCTAGACGGTGGTAGGTCCCTGGGGTGTGTCCGGCCACCAAGGATGGCTCCCAAACTCCACGGACGGAGTGAGCCCCCACCGGGATCCGGTATTTTCTTCCCTTCACCCTCAAGATACCTGGCCTGGTCAATAGGCACAGGAAGGTCCTTTTACGGACATGACCAAGGTCCATCCACCAGTCAAGGCGGAGCTCCCTCCCTTCCGGCTTCTTTGTCGAAATTGGTGACGTCGCCGTTGTGAAGACTGATGAGGAATCGACAGTTGGCGCAGGGGTCTACCAGGCTGCGCCATATGACCCCAGATAGTCGGTCATCGTACATATGTGCGATGCCTATGTACCTCTTGGACAAAGCCAAGCCATGCACCCGCCCCGCTTCTTCAGCCGTTCTGCGAGCCATCAAAATCCTGCGGAAGGGATAGGTCTCGCCGCAGCGGCCAAATGGCGTACCCCGACCTCTTCCTGATGCTCGGATGGTGGGGGTCCATGCCTGCGACCAGTTGGCGAGTGTCAACAACGGCGATCTTATCACCCCATATCGGGCGCGGTCCAAAACGGCCAGCCAGGATCCTCCTATCCCACGGGCAGCAAAACCTCCTCTCGAGGCGCCCAGGCAGTACTCCCCTGCCTCAGTCCAAGTGCACTGGAAAATTGCCGGCCATTTCCCCTCCCCGAGGAGCTTCATACACCACTGCCCAAAGACAGCGGTAAGCGGAAGGTAAAAATTCCGCTTTGTGGCCCCCGTGGGAGCACTGCCTAGACTACTCATGAACAGCCCTAGAAGGTCTGGAAGCGCCCAATATGCGATTCCCTCGTGCTTCCACTTTATGAGACGAAGGCTTGCTACCGCGGACGGCCAGTGAGGATTCGGTTCGCGAGCGATGTTCTGTGACGGGGGAGGGATGAGGTAGTCGCTGCCGTCGGGACAACTGTTATAGAAGTTAGCAATCTCCACGCCACGCTTGGCTTTATAGTGCTGCGGAATCACCGACCGAAGTCGCGTCACGTTCTGATGTATTGACATCAGGTTTCCTACACACTGGGAGGGAATGCCGTATACCCCCGGGCGGTTGACGATATCCTGCAAACAGACAACAATCTCGTCCAGCGTAAAGCTGTAGGCGATTCGAAGATCAGCCTGGCCGTTGAGCCAGAGAAGCAGATGCTCAGCCATTGTGACAATGCTGGTGATAGACGTGCCTCTACAAATCTTCTACAAGACTACGAAGGACAACAACTTGTTACTGTAGGCGACTGCAGTCACGTTTGCCCTTTCTCTTTCCCAATCGAGCTGGAGCATTTCCCCTCTACTGAGCTATTTACTTTTTCTCTAACAAAATGGCCTCTTGCAGCAGTTTAGGAAGGATCGTAATAATTAAAACAAACCCAGGCTAATGAGAGCGGGTAAATATGCTGGGTAGGCAGAGTCATGATTAGTGCTACTCGCATTTCAATGTCAGTCGGAAAGAAAGAATAGGATCACAGTGGCTACACAATCCAGAAGGACCAACGTATATGGTAGATGTATGGATCAGTTCGCGCACCCGCAATCCAATGCTTAAATGAGGTCATCACGAAACTTTGACCCCTGCTGCTCCTTGATACTGACTCATCACCCAACTCTTAAGAAATAACTAGACCCAGCATTTCTACCACCACTACTACTCCTACTACCACGCACCAACCCTTGTACATTGCAACAACTGCTCTCTCACATCGAACTAGCGTTTGCCATGGAAATTCCGGTACGTCACAGAAAGCGCGACAGCATCGAGTCTAATGGATAGAATAGGCGGATCAAATGCCCGATGGCTGGACGAATGACCCTAAAGAGCTCGAGGGATATTTCAGCCCCAATTCGCAAGAGGTGGAATTTGCGAGAGACCATGGTCTAGGGGACGTCTCGCTACTGCTCGTCAACACACGCGATACTGGGAATCTCGGGTTTATCATCACATCCGGGGGGCGTTATTATTGGGGTGATTTCATGATTGATTATCTCTTTGAGATCACCCAGCCAAAGACTTTCTCGGCGATTCTATGCCGTCTTGCCCAAGGGGGAATTACGGCTTTGGGAATGAAACGGATGAAGCAGATACCGCTCGAGGGAGAGAACAAGGACGTCTGAGTCGATTGAGTCAGCGGGATAGTCTTCCAGAATGAATCTACATGGATCATCTCATCGTCTTCACAGTCGACGGAAGACGAGCGAAGGTGGTAAATTCGAAAACCATTTCCAAATCAATTTGACCCAGTTCTGTATCTCTCACAAAGACCTTCTAGCCCAATCCAAGTGGTGCGTGTACCCTGTATAGTCCCCGACGGGAGATCTATATAATTCCCCCGGGCTTTGATTAGGGGCCTAGTATACCAAAGATAACCAGTGAAAACCCCAGTAAGATTGCTGGATAACCAGCCGCCATGTAACGATGTGAACAGAACCACCTTGATCGGCAAATATCTACATATCCATAGAATCTAGCAATCTTCCACCATCTCTATAGAAAGTGCCTCCCCGATACGCTATACCGCATCCAGCAACTCTGCAGTCACCTGCCATCGCCCTTAGTCAACCGATCCCCGATCCCCTCCTCCAAAACCACCAACTTCCATCTGGATTTCCCTTCTCACGCCAATGACTCCCACGCCCTCTCGATCGACCAAGGCCAACGGTCTGGCATCGTTGGCCTGTACGGAGTGCCGCAAACAGCATCTGAAATGCGACGCCGGGAGACCGTCTTGTGCGCGATGCGTGCAAGGTGGGACATTATGCCAGTATTTGCCTTCGCGACGGGGCGGTCGCCGACGGGCTCGCGACTCGCCCTATCACCAATCCCGCTCGGTCCCGAGCGCGTTGGGTGATATTTCTAGTGTCCGTAAACGGTTCCTTCTGACGCATGGGTTTAACAAAATTGACGGTCCTTTTTTAGGCTCGATACCCGACAATGGGCTCCGTGCTGCAAATTCACCCCAATGCGCAGACGCACACCCCTGACAATACCCCGTCGGAGCGAATCGGGGACTCGGATTTGTCCAGCATCTCCACCGACCAGATCCCCTGGCCCACGATGCTGCCTCCAAGCGTGTCCGGTTCGAATTATACCGAGCAGCCCGGTCGGTCCTGGACAGACGATGACCGTTTACCGCGCCTCTATTATGAGAACTTCCACGCCGCTCATCCCGTGCTGGTGCCGAGTACGGCATACAACGACCGGAACTATCCACACTTTCTGCAGCTCGTGGTGAATTTTGTGGGCTCCAACTATGTCCCCTCGAGTCCCAGCCAGGAGTTCAAGGCCCAGATTGCTGCCGAGTTGGCCAACAGCAACGACCGGTCCCCGTGCATGGTCCAGGCCTGTCTGATCTACTCAATTGCCCTCTACGCTCGCAATGAATGGCCAGAAGCCCAGGACGCCTTTGCGCGCAGTCTGGAGCTGGCCTTGGAGCTGGGCATGAATCGGTCGGATTTCGCCTTGTCCGCGCATCCGGAGCAGTCCGTCGACGCGGAGAGCATGCGCCGGACGTGGTGGGAGTTGTATGTCACCGACATCTACCGGGCGGTCACCTTCAAATCGAATCCAATCCGTTGCAGTGCCGTCTCGGCCGAGGTGTCCCTCCCCTGCGAGGAATCCATCTACAATGGGGGTGGTGATATTCCCAAGCCGCGCATGATCCTCGACTTTCGGCGGCGCATCTTCGCCGCCGATGACGATCTGTTTTCCTCGTTCAGCTACCGCATTGAGGCCGCGATGATCTTATGCCGGGTGTTGGTGCTCAATCGACTCCGAGACTGTCATCGCGACCACCTGCAGGCCGTCGAGAATGCGTTGGTCAGTTGGATAAATCATTTGCCGCCCAAGAAACTGGACATTGTCGACTGCTACGGAAATGTCGACGAAATGATGTTCCAGGCGCATTTGACCATTTCCTACGCCGCGATGCTGCTTCATCTACCTCGGAGCGACCTGCAGCCCGTTCTGCAGGAACCCGACGATCGCTTCTGGCCGGGTGCGTCCGCCCAGTTCTCCTCGACCTTCACCCGCTTGGTGCACAGCATCAAGTCGACCGAGGCGTCGAGACGGGTGTCAGATCTGATTTCGGTCTGCCCCAACGTGCAAAAACATACCCCATTCGTCATCCCGGCCTTGGCACTGTGCGGAATGATCCAGATCGCCACGTCCAAAAGCCACTCCGAGGAATGTTTCGACCATCACTGCAATCGTGTAACCCTGGTGCTGGGCTGCCTGAAAAGCACGAAACGGACGTGGTCCGTGGCCGGGACGGCATACGATTGTCTCCGGTCATCCGCCGCGGAGGTGTTGTCGCGCTCAATGGACCGGTGGAATGCAGAACCACTGAACAAGCTGATTCCCACCGAACCCGCGCCTAATGGACCTGAACGGCCCAGCTCGGGCGGTCGAACCGCCTTGCGGACGATGGATGGGAGTGAATTCATGCCCCCAGACTTGGCCCCCGCGTTCATTGACCCCACCTGTTACAATGCCTCCTTTTTCAGTCCCGTTCCAACGTTTGATCTAGGCTAGAGGATATGAGAGGACACATTTCCTGTGAAGGAATTCTTGTTGGGGTCTGGCCCGCCCCTTGATAAAGCGAGTTTAACCGACGACCGGCGGTCGGCGAGTGACTACATCATTCGCCGAATGGTCACTGATAAGCGATATCATTGGTTTGTCGGTTTCTTTCCCCACATGGATCCACGATACCTCCTGCGGTCGGGGATTGATTTATCTGCATTGGTTGGGCCTGGACACCCTAGTGTTACACATAGTAACATTACTTGTCTGCGAGAAGCCAATTCTTATCACTCCATGCTGATCACTCGTTCAGGAGAGAGTACATCAGGAACCCTGGTTACATCCGACGTCTAAGACGGTCAGCTAGGCCTGCTGCAGCCTCGGGAATGCCGAGCTTGCTCAATGCCAGGCTGTATTCTACTCGGCGAAGGAATGTGGTTGGACAGCTCGGATGGTTACATTGCCGTCCAGGCACGATATTCCCAGCGTCTTGACAGCACCTCGCTCTTAAATAACTGTCGCGGTGCATGGGATAAACATGAGTAAATCGCACAGGTTTATCTTGCGTATACGAAATTTCTCCACTTGATTTGCATTTGTGTCGTATATATTACCTCCTGGTCTACGAGCCGTTGTTCCACCTGGGCACAATTTAAGGTTATCTAGCCATACCGCCATGCCCATCCCGGGGATGGCACAAGCACCGCACATTGCACCGTCAACTAGTTTCCCTGATAGCGCTGATATCAGCCAATCCCTTGCGATAAGTCATATGGAACAGCCCGTATAATTGATTGCCCAGCATTCCTTGACTAGTTGTTGACCGACCCTGTAAAGGGTGAGAGTTCCATGGCTCGGCGACCGGTCAATCGCCGATCGACTATGCATATCTCGGTGACGTCCTTTGGCAGCTTTCGAGTCCTTATATACTGGGTCTTTCGCTGCTTTCAAGAACCAAATATCCTCAACCTCAAGATTGAATTTAAACTTATCAAAAGAACCATACCAAACAAATAAATAATGTCCTCCGCAATCCTCTCCCCCAACACCGGGATCACTCCCGCTGCCACTCCCCACTACCAGTCTAACCCAGACCGATACACCCTCGATGACTTAGTAGCCTCTATAAAAGAACATCTCGGAGAGCAAGGTGGCATCTCGTCCGAAGAAGTCAACGAGGAATACCTCATCTCCCTCGCCAAAAAGTACAACTCCAACCCAGCGGACTGGGCGCCCTACTGCTACAACGACCCCAGCAAGAACTACACTCGCAACGCAATTGAAAACATCAACAACAAAGCGAACATTGTATGTTTCCCACACGCGCCACCTACTCCCGATCATCTTTACTAACGCACGAGTCAAAAAACAGCTCTTATTAGTATGGAACCCGGGCAAAGGCTCCCCCATCCACGACCACGCCAACGCCCACTGCATCATGAAAGTCCTCGCCGGCGAGCTCTGCGAAACTGTCTATCGCGCTCCCCCTTCGTCTGCCCATGACGACCACGAGTCCGGGTACGGTTCCGGGAGTGGGACCGATGGGGAACAGACCGACAAGCCGCTGCAGATCAAGTCGGTAAACACCCATGGCCCTAACGAGGTGGCCTATATCTCGGATGAGATTGGGTTGCATCGTGTGCACAACCCGAGTTCCTCGCGTTTGGCGGTTTCTCTTCATTGTAAGTTCCTTCGTCTGCCTGTATGCTTTGTTGCGGCCGGGTTAGATGCTTTGTTCTGGACGAGATGCTGACGGGCTACTGCTTGTGAAGTGTATACCCCGCCTAATGCTGCCGACTACGGGTATAACATCTTCGATGAAAAGACTGGGAAGGCGTGTTTCGTGCCGCAGGCGAAGTCAGTTGCGCAATCTTCAGAGTGTACCCAGTCATAGGTATCTTCTGGTTGGTTGATTGCGCCTTGTCTCGGTTTCATAGGTGGGAGTTGCGGGATTATATTGTCGTTATTATCTGACGCGTTCGAGCCGGCATGATTGCTTTCAGTATTGTTATTATCACACGGCATACTCAGCTGGAATGAGATGTGCACACTAATTTATTGAACGCTTTCCATTATAATTCATTCCGTTACTACATTAATTTACTGTGGGGTAGGAAAATTGGAAATCTGTAGATCTCAAACTTCTAATTTAACTTAATTTCCATAACTACTTTGCAATCAACAAATACAGAACGTGGCCACAAGAAAATGCATGGCAAACCAAACATTGGTTCACACCCGTTGAGTGGCCAAATCAAAACCAGTCGGCGACCCATCGGCGACCGACCAACTACCCCTTTCGGTGATTGACCCGGGGTCACAACTATACGTCAGTCCGCATTCCCATCATGCGATAAACGTCCAATCCAGTCGTGGAATAAAGCAATCAACCAAGTCAGGTAGATAGGTCACTTTGAACCGGACACTCCCGTCTTGATCCACCGGGGCTCCACCCGTCTGGCGTCGGATTCTTATACCGCGTCTTCACCGCATCTTGTCGCCCGCACCTTGGATACGTAATATTGCCTGTTTGGGTTGAGTAGTGAGACGTCTCAGACGGTCTCCATTTTGCTCTTGACTGGGATGATTCTGTCCCTTGCTATGTCTAGGGTGGGAGGATAGACAGGGTTGCTATGGTGTCGGTTGAAGACGCGAAACTAACCGTCTAGGATATTAAGCCTTCGCTAGCCGACTGCCTGGTATAAGCGGCGATGACTGGGATAGGGAAATGGGTAATTGTTGGACATTTTCAAGGGGATGATTTAGGGGCAATATCAAGTCTTGGGAGTGTCCTTCGGACTGCTTTTATGAGGCCTTCGAGCTCACTCGGTGGGTAATGTCCTGCTGACGGTTTGTCTTATCCATAAAGAGGGCATGACTCGATAGATACTTTGATTACCCCTTCATGATCCGGGCGATGGTGTGTCTTGAGGGACTGAGAAAGTGCCCGGGCTTTGGTTGACAGTTATTCTCCTTGGAGTCTTTCCCAACTGCGATAGTACTATCAATATTGTTTGCCTTTGGGCTTATAGAATATCGGCGCAGTACCATATTAGCTTCTCATTGGGCATTTGATATGCCCAGGAACACGGCGCCTGGATTCAGGGTCTAGAATATGCTAGACAGCTCAGTCTGAATAGCGGATCTCAACACACGTGGGGCTAACTCTGCTGCCGGTGCTTTGTGATACTTGCGGCCCACGGTACATCGGCAATCGAAATGCAGTTGGAGATTACCCACTACTAGTAATGGTTCTTCTCACACTGCATCTGCCTACATTGCTTGCCTAGCGAGTGGCCTTTGCCTTGTTTCGCGTCCATCATGATGTCCTGTCTAGTATAAATGCTGTGCCTAGTAACGATAGCGACCCGGAGTTTCTCCGTACAATTTGCAGTGCAGTGGCCAGTACAGAGTATGTCTCAATCCCTAACTGTTACAATGAACCCGTGTTCAACACACTACAACCTAATGGTACATAGCAACGAATTAATCTGGAATGGGTCATACGTGGCTTCGCTAATTCTATGGCTGCAATAGCGCTCGAGTAACCTTAACGGCTACATGGGTGTATGACAACCACGTCTTATTCTCCTAGCGTATGCATAGTTATCAGACCATTGTAAGTGTTATTGCAGATGTAGAGAACCATCAATTGTATGTTTTGGGATATTGCTCTGCTAGATGTTGAGATATATATGTCGGACATTTACGGTGAAAACATAGTTCTTGCGGCTTTAGTATTGGAGCTCATTGCAGCTGCAGTAACACTCAACTGCTTCACATTCCTCAAGAATTGCAAACCTAAGACAGTAAATACTATTCGGCATTCAAGAGAAGTTCACAAGTTTTCAAACTTGTAGACTACCCAGGTAGGTAGGTATGCAAGTAGAAAGAGGGCGTGGAGGATAACAGGTGACCGATAAGATAAGGCGGATCACGGGAAAAACAAAGCCAATCCATATCCAATCCAACTCTTCATCTTTCATCTTTCCTCCCAATTATCATATGTCTGCCTAACCTATACCAATTATTATTATCTTTTATCTAGATAGGTATCGAATTGAAATGCGAATTCTCCTTCTCGACGGTGGTCTGGGAACCACCCTAGAAGCCTCGCCGTATCACTTGACCTTCACTTCCGACACACCTTTGTGGTCCGCTCATTTGTTGGTCGCCGATCCAGCAACTTTGGGTGCTGTCCATGCTTCATTCGTCGCCGCCGGTGCTGATATCATACTCACGGCGACCTACCAGACCAGTTTTGAGGGTTTCGCGAGAACGCCGCCTGGATATGGCCCCGACGATGCAGCACGGTATATGCGGTCTGCGGTGACATTGGCCCGAGATGCAGTGGGCCCATTGGCAACGGATGTTGTGGAGCATGACAGGAAGGACATAACTAGAAAGGGCGGAAAACGGCCAGTTCACATTGCATTGTCCCTGGGACCATACGGTGCCACCATGTCTCCCATCGCTGCCGAATATTCCGGCCTCTACCCTGACGCGATGAACTCCGAGGCCGTCCTGCGTGACTGGCACGCACAGCGACTCAGGATATTCACTGACGACGAATGCTCGTGGAACAACGTGCAGTACGTGGCCTTTGAGACCCTGCGGCGAGCCGACGAAGTTCGTGCAGTCCGTGGCGCCATGGCAGATGTTGCTGGGAACATACCGGCGGAGAAACAAAAGCCCTGGTGGATCACGGGCGTGTTTCCTGCTGATGAGCTAGACGAGGATGACATACGGAGCTGGGTGCGTGCAGCCGTTGGCGGTGTGGAAGAGAGTCTCCCTCGCCCCTGGGGGATCGGGATAAACTGCACCCGACTTGATCACATCCGGCGCATTGTGTCGGTCATGCAGCTAGAACTAGCCCAGATGGCAACTGCCGGTGGGGAATTCGTCGACCAGTGGCTTTCTCGATCGGGGCGACCTTGGCTCGTGTTGTACCCCGATGGCACGCAAGGGGAGCGGTACGACCCTGCTACGAAAGCCTGGATAGCTCCCGGCTCGGAGTCCGACAAGGAAATTGTTGCACGACCCTGGAGTGAGCAGGTCGGAGATGTCGCACACGACTTGATGAATGCACACTGGGAGGGCTTAATTATTGGTGGGTGTTGTCGGACGGGGCCGCGGCAGATCGAAGAATTGCGAGCAGTTGTTGATGGCAGACTGGCTGGGAAATTCCAGACTTGAGGGACGTGCCAATGCCTCTCAGGCGATATGAGGCAACCAATGCGTTGGCTCATCCTAAGTCATCCGCTAAGCTTGCCAGCGATGAAACCCTCGTGATATTACATTTTTATTTTTATTTTTCAATTTTTTTTTTTTCCTACCACCACGCCTTTACGGCTCAACTCCAAGGACTGTGGACTATGGACAAGCCACACATGCGGGGTAAGGAAGACGTCATGCTCTAATCTAAGCATGGCAAAATCCCCAGCCCGAGGAGTTGACACCATCCACACGTGGGCCGTTCTGGAAGAAGCACCACCGCCCATATTACATGCATCTGGCATTCACAAGGCGAAGAGCGAAAGTCTGGTACGATAATGTCTATCTTGACATGGTGGCCATGCAATGCCACAAGTCTCTACATCGCACGCTGTAACCTGCCGGCAGACGAGGCGTCGTATCAGTTGGTCTATCCAGTGAACGAACCCATGGCCATGCATAGTGACCAGCATCCCCCATACAGCTGGCCTTCGCCGCCCTGGACACGACTGTATGGCGTGGATGGCGCCTCATGTCGGGATGGATATCCAACGAATCATCCCAATCATGAGGCCACGTGAAAAGGAGCCCCTTGCGCAACGGTTGCTGGATCTAGCAAAGGTTGGTAGACCTTGAGAAGGAACCAGCTCTAGCAGGGGGAATTCCTTCGACGACAGGTGGTGAAGGCCAACTCAGCACTACGCTCGCAACCCGCGACGCCGTCCTTCTCTAGGCACCACCAAACTTGGCGCTTGATCAGCCGCCAACAGAGCACGATAGGGCATTCCAATCGGAGCAGACGGAGGTGTTGGGCCCTGACTTGGGTTCGTCTCCAGCGATGGCTCGAAGCACCCAAACATGGCCATGCGCATTCTAGAGCAAGCATGTCCCGCAGTACGGAGCAAATATAGATAGTAAAATCGACCGGGATGGACTCAATTTCCGCTAATTACCGGCGGGGGGAACGGTTAGCGCGCGTTATTAATATCACTAATACACCCCAATATAGCAGTCCAACAACCAACATCTCGCGATATTAATAGCCATTTTGGCCCGCAACTCCCGCGATCCAATGAGGACAGCCCACCAACTTCCCACGGCGTTGGAACACACAGCCTTCTTCCTCGGCTAGCGGTGAAGGGCCCATGCGATCACCACGCCCGTCGCAAACAAATGAGAGCCACAGAATGGCGATTTCCAGGCCGCGCCAGACCCAGCAGGCTGGTTCTGCGCTGATAGTCGCTGCCCTTGGGGCGCGATGATCGTGGTCTGTGTGTTGTTCTGCGCCTGCTATATAAGGTCCCGGGAGGGAGCGATCAGCTTCCAAGCCGTCCCATCACGGCTCGACGTTGATCGCTTTCTATCTGGCCTGTACTGGACCTGTTCTCAATTGCATTTGACCGCTTCGTCCTCGTATATTCTCGAAACTCCGGTGGCTTGCGAAACATCGTCATGCCAGACCTCCCTCATGGTGTAGAAATGGCACGGGATGGGAAGGCGCTAGCCGTCGCAATCCGGGAACGGGTTGGCCATATCAATCGCCTCTATCGGTCGGGAAAGCCGCTGTTCCCCCGCGAAATGTTGGCCGATCTGGATCGACAAATCGACGATGGCAATGAGGAGATTCACATCGTGGATTTGGAAGGCGTGGGACAGACCTACAGCAGGAGCGTACCTGGTTGGTGTACAGACTTTGCGTAGGTTTTTGCTCTTCCTCGTCTGGTTGGACTAGGTCGCACACATCTCACTAATACGAGCAGAAACACGTATCGGATCAGTTATCACAGCATCCAGTCGCTCACTTGCGTCCACCCCAGTTTCCCTGAGTTGATCCTTCGCGATCGGGCTCCCGTGTCTATCGGTTATACGAGTGCCTGGGAACCCTGCAAGACGACGCTGGATGATGTGCGTGATGTCTTCTTCGCCAAGCGCCAGGCCTGGAGGACAAGTGCTACGTGCCAGGGACTCCTACAGCATTTATCGTCCATGGAGATCCGACCACGTATCACCAAGATTGTGTGCCTTGGACTGGGCAGCTTTGGTGCGATCAACGGCTGCCACTCTACGCGCTGTCACGCCCAGCATGCGGCCATAGAGACAATTGCGACAGCTTTGGCCCGGCGCGGGGTCAGTGGAGGGCATGAAATCCAATGCTTCGCGCAAGACCCGGCCTATGACTCTGTGGACCACGCGCTTTTGCGCGAGCTAGGGATCTATCTGCTGGATGATCCCAAAGGTTTTTTGGAGATCGACGAAGAAACGCTTGTTTTCTCGGTAAGTCCAAACGTCCCTGTCAAACAGATTGTTGCGGATGTCCAGTGGCCCGCCGCGATGATCTGGAATACGGTCGTTGCGGAGGAAAAGGAAGATACACGCTGGGTCAAGCGAACGGAGGAAAATGGGGGCATTTCATGGATGTGGTGAGTTCAAACGATAAAAAAAAAAAGATCTCTTCCTCAATCGGAGGATATATAACTGATATGGTTAGCCCGTTCACGACGGATCCTGACTCGATGCGCGTGCGGAGCATGGTGAAGAAATACAGCCAGGAAACCCTGCAGGACCCAAATGAATACTTTGGCGACTTGACCATCTACATGAGAGGGCCCGCATGATCGAACATAATGCGTGTAACGCCCCAGCTTCGAGAGGGCTGCTCGTTTGCCAGGAACACCTGAATCACATAAATAGTTAGAAGACAGACCCCGCAATGGAATGATGTGTTTCCGACGTTACATTGATCTTGGTCTATGGATCTAGTTTCTTCATCGGAGCCACAAGTACCGGCTTACGAATCAGGCCAGCCATCGGAGTCATCTCGCCGAGACTGGCAAATGGCTGAGTCCGATAGGAGCTGGACAACTGGAGTACAGCTAAGAACCGGGACCCCCTTCAGCATGCAGGGCATGCGCAGCTTGTGTCGTAAACTCTATTACCCATATCCCGTCCTTTGTGGGACGTTCCCAATTCGTGGAGTCCGCATGGAAGCTGAGGGTGGAGTTTCTAGGAACCCTCGGCCTGATGATCAGGGTATGGAACACGTCAGATGTTTGTACATGCTGACATGAGTTGCAGACGCCACCCATGTTGAATGAATCATGAACGTCGGATTTTCCGCTGTTTGTGGTGTCACGCCCACCAGGTGAGTATGGTAGACGAATGGGCTGAGTTACTTGATTCTAGATTGACCGATTCGAGTATTGCCCATGAAGCCACTGGATTTCATGAGGTCGCCGGAGACGGCGTGGGGACAGACCTACGGCCAGGAGGTCGAGTCCCCTTTCTCACCACCATAAATGTAGCCATGGCTGCTCCATTCCTGTAATTCAGTAATAACTGTCTTGTCGTTTCTTCTTCTCAAGGTTGATTCTTTAGCATAGCATTGGCCCAATCTGATTCGCGTATAGACTTGTTGATTAGTCCAACCCCCTCCATCTTCCGGCCATGTCAAACTACTGCTATTCGGACAAAGCTGTCACCGCGCAAAAGACATCGGTTTCAACACCAGTGACCCCGTACGATGCTCTCAGTCGCTACCTCAAGTTTCCCAACAGAGACTCAGACGGGTGGTGGCGACGTGTCGCTCCGTTCTTGAACAAGTTGCTGGAGCGAGCTGGCTACGACACACACCAGCAGTATCAGTACTTGATATTGCTTGGATTGCACATCATTCCTTTCCTTGACGGGGTTCCCGACCCGCAGCGTCCTATGGACTATGCGTCGGTGGTCGGAGGTATCGGTCCGCTGGAATTCTCACAAAATTTCACCAAAGACGGAAGCAAGATGCGGATCGGCTTAGAGCCCATGAACCACAAACACCGCAATGGTACAGACCCATACAACCGGTCTGCGATGGGTGAAGCCCTCATGGGCCTCAAGTCACTGGGCATCTCTGTCGACCTCCAGCTCTACCACCAGTTGGTGCCGCTGCTGACCTTGACCGACGCCGAGGAGCTTGAGATGCCCAACGCAACGTACTTTGTGAAGCCCGCCTCCAACACGCAGTATGCCCTAGCGCTGGACTTAGACAAAGGCGACGTCACAGTGAAGCAGTATCTCATACCGAGCCAGAAGGCCGCCGTCACAGGCCTGCCCCCCTCGGAACTGATCTTCAGCGCCATCCGCACGGTCGACGTCAACGAGGTCTTCACCGACAGCATTGCAATGCTGGAGGACTTTTTGAGTGCCACCTACGACCCGCCAGTTGCGGTGTTCGTTAGCTGTGACCTCGCCCCGCTCCATTCCACCCGCTTCAAGGTCTACGTCGCGGAACTGAGCCAGTCACTCGAAACCATCGCGCGCGACTGGACCCTCGGCGGCCGCCTCAACGACTCCGAAACTCTCAAGGGCCTTGCGTACGCACAGGAACTCTATACGCTTTTTGGCATTCCGGACGGCACGCGCGATATTATCAGCCACCCCGTTATCCCTGGGGATCCCCAGTCGTTCAGTCACGTCATGTTCAACTATGAGTTGCAGCAGGGTGACCCTCGTCCCAAGCCCAAGATTTATTACGCACTGAACGCGTTGAACGATATGGAGAAAGCGAAAGCCTTGGAAGGCTTTTTCAAGCGGGTTGGGTGGGAGAAGCATGCCGCTGAACTGATTGACAATTTGCAATCGTATATGTGAGTTTGAGCTCTTTCTTTCTACGTCTCTCAGACCATTTCCTTTTTGCCCCACGTGCTGTCTTTGTATTTTTACGATGTTCAATGTACCCTGCTAACGAGGATAGTCCCGGCGTCGATATCAACGAGACGACCGAACTGATTGGCTGGCTATCGTTTGCGTATAGCGAGAAGAAAGGTCCATACTTGACAATTTACTATCGTTAGGTGGTAGGAGATACGCATGTCCATTTATTCGGAGATGGTAGTGCAGGGGTAGAGGAGCATTGGTTATACACGAAGTCACAATTTGGAATGTGTTGATACTTTGTTAAATATTGGTAGAAATTCTATCGACCGTAGTTGATTATGAATGAAATTGAGAGCAATTGTGATTCCAGCTTTAATGACTTTCGAAAAGGAAGTGAGTCGTTTTACTTCCAATATTCCAGACATCCAATCCCACCAGTCAACATGCGAGGACTTCCAGCGAAACAGACTATGACTGTCACAAACCCTCAATATTCATCTTCCGAATAGCCACGCTCCTCTCGCGAATCGCCCTGCCCTTCCAAATCAACACAACCGGTGCAAGCGTCAACACAGCCGCCACGAATCCCAGCAAGCTACTCGCCCACCGATACCCCAACCGCAGATACATGGGCTTCGCAGCGAGCGGCAAAAACGCCGCAAAGATATTCTCCCCGAAGGCGACGGCGCCGATCGCGCTCGCCGCATACCCAGCATACGAGTCCGTCACGTAGATACTAGCAGCCGTGACGATGACCATGATCGCGTACCCGATCAGAGTGAGCGCGATGGCCGGAACAATCCAGTGCGTCTGCTCCGTGCTCCAGCCGTACATGAAGAGGCCGCCGGCGAGGGCGACGGCCGTGCTGGGGATTGAGAGGTGCAGGATTGCTTCTGGGATGGGAGTCCCCGGGTTTTCGGGGTTGTGGGCTGCGCTGCGCGTGTAAAGCCGATTTTGGTAGAATGTTGTGAGGAGGAGGCCGAGGATTTGACCGATGCCGATGGAGGATTGTACAAGGCCGTCTGTGTGCGAGGGCCAGCTGTAAGTGCCGCTGAAGACGATGGGGATGGATTGTGTGGAGATGAAGACGAGGCCGAAGGCGAAGGCGGACCAGAGGGTGAAGGCTGTTACGGTTGGTTCGGTGGTTAGGAGGAGGGCGGAGCGCACGATGGTCTCTTTGAATGTGCGCAAGGCTTCGTTTTTGTTGGGCTTGGTGGTGGTGTCCGCTTCGGGGAAGAGTCTGGCGCGCAGGATTGGACCGCGGCTTTCTTTCATGATGATGATGACAATGGGCGCAAAAGCACCGTAGATTATCAGTTCAATCCAGAATACCCTGTACAAATGCTGAGTGGTGGAATACAACAGGGAAGATGTGGAGTAAACTGACCATCGCCATCCCAGTGGCTGAAAAGCAGCACCAAGGACTGGCCCCATCGTCACCCCAAATACCAGCGTGAAGACATACAGAGTCAAGGGGAATACGCGCTCCCGGTGCGATAGGAAGATATTGGATGCAAGTCCGTCTGCGCTGTTCTGCAAAGTCCCGCCGAAAGCTCCGGCGATCGCGCGACACACCACCAATGTGGCGAAATTTTGCGCTAATGCCTGCGGGATGATGAAGATAGCGAAGAGGATGTATGACGTCTTCACGATTATCAGCTCAGAAAAGGTGGTATAGATATGCAAGTCTGGAACGCACCACAAAGCCAATTCGCATTCCGTACGTCTCCATCAGCGGCAGTGTGGCCAGTGGCACAATTGCTGCTGCGGCATTCCACGCCGTGACAGCGAAGAAGTTATACTCAAAGAAGCCATTAGACAGGTTGAAATCGCGCGAGATCGGTTCGGCAGCCGTCGTGATAGAGGTGGCATTCAACCCGACGATGAAGGTGACCCAGCAGGAGGTGAGCATACACGTCCATTTCTTACGAGGCGGCCAATTGTAAGGATTGTGGGGATGATGAGCCCACTCGAGGTGCGCAGGAGCTGCCATCTAGGCCGACAGGGCTCATATGAGGGAAACCTTGTCCATGGATGTGGGGGCTATAGAAAACAAGCTTCATGGCGCGAAATCCAACGCGTCGGTCGGAAAAGATGGAGACAGGGCTCCAGTCGGTCCAGCGTGATTGGCGACCCACTGCATTCCATCAAGTAATCGAAACCGGCCAGTTCTCCCTCTATCCAGTCAAATGTCAATAAAAAGCCTACCCAATACGTGGATAGTGTTAACCCACTGTGGTAGCGTTGAGAGTGGAAATTAATTGGGTTCTATCCTGCTTATCTTGAGATACAAATTATCACATCAACAAAAGACAAAAGAACGAAGAAAAGTACATGAATTCCCATACCATCCGAAGGTCAAGCTCTTCCAACGCTCACCGCGACGGCGACAGCGGTATACATGGAATGGCTGATGGTCACCTCGATGCCGCTGAACTTTTTTGAATTAGCCACTGCCTTGGCCCTTCCATGAAGCTGCGAGTTGGTCAGTGAATTTCTCGGAAAATTTGGATGTTATGACCACTTACAATAACCCGAGGAATGCCCTGATGGCTGAGAACTTCAATATCTTTCATATCCGCCCCGGCTCCCTTAGACACTGTTTTCATGCATTTGAATACCGCTTCCTTCGCGCACCAACGCCCCGCGAATGAGGACTGCGGATCGAGTGCATTCAAACAGTATTCACGCTCCGCGGGTGTAAAGTTACGCTTCAAGAAACTGTCATTGTCGATGCTGACGTTTGAGATGTCTTCGATGTCGACACCAATTCCATAAGGTGCAGATGCGTTGGGACGCTGCAAAACCTCTTGTAGCATTTTCTGAAGCTGATTCGAAAGGGCTGGTGGTTCCGCATTATCCTCGCCCACGAGCCTCCCATAAATGGTGTCAGGCTCTCGCTGGGGCCATATGCCCTTAGGGGATCCTTGGATGTTTCGAGGCACACCGTCAACGAAACGGATACTCGAGTCGAGGAAAGTGGCGCGCATAGCTTCTGGGTTCTTCCACGGTGGATCTTCTTTGACCTGAACCATTTGACCATTAAATATTCGGGAGATGAATTCTGTGGTGGCTACCCGTTGCCTCTTCATTGCTCTATCTCGGTAGTCGTTGTAACAAGCATCCGTGATCGAGGCGAAAATAAATTTTGGTGCCACTAAAACTGCAATTGCCCCTTTCTGACCGAACCCAAACGATGTGAGCATGGTAGCATCCACCTGTAGAACCCGCATTGTCTCCATCGGATACACAAGGTGTTCAAACTGTCGGAGATGGCCATCAATGTTGTCTGCATTGCGATTTCCGGGGATTATAGAATCCCGAAGCATCTGCATACACCCATTCAATTGCCAGGCACCCGCTGCGCCTTTGGGATGACCAGTCAATGATTTCTGACAGACGCATAGAAGCGGATTTCCCCGCCGACGACCGAGGTGATTCATTTGAGTATTGATGACATCTCCCTCGTTGATCTCGTTGGCCTTGGTCGACGTTCCGTGCATTGAGACCACTCGAATATCGTCGATGGTCAGACCCCAGGTCGCCAATGCTGCTCTCAAGGGTGAGACCGAAGAATCCTGGAGGCGAATGTTGTTTGCCCAGCGGTGTTGTGCGTCTCTAAATTTCAGAGAACGGACATGGTCCACTGCATCCCCATCCCCGACACGTTCCATAGATTCGCCGTCTGAAGACTGATATTTCATTGCTTTACATTCATCATCAAAACATGCTCGGCGGAACTTGAAGTCAAGGAATGGAGAGTTTCTAGCACTTTCGCTTTCACGGGCACTAGTTAATATTCCTTTGCCCGGTGCAGGAATGGACCGGCCGGTTTGGTCGCTTGCCATCTGTGTGTATGCGACGATGCCGTGAATTGGTAATCCCATTTCTAGGGCTGTCGAGGCCGTGGTGATGATTTGCACACCACATCCAGCCGATTCCGCAAATCCGCTGCGTGAACTGGCCGTAGGGCGTGAAATCTCACTAGGCTGACGACCCTTAGATAGTTCGTCTGTGCTATTGGCCGTGGCGTTGATATTGGCGAATTCGTATGCCAATTCTTCACCATAGTCATCGCACCCGCCAACGATTGCCATTTTGCAATTTCCGGATCGAATGGCCTCGCAAGCAATATCCAGCGACTCAATGGCCGTGGCGCATGCACCGACGGGTGTCTTGAGTGGCCCTGCAGAGGAAAGCAGAAGCATGTTAATCCATGCCCCCATGGTATTCATGAAGTGTTCCGAGATGATGTCTCCCCTGACTGGACGGTCCAGGTGGCGGTCGCGATACATCTTCTGGATAATCTTCAGCGGTCCACCGCCTGTTCCCAGGCAGTTTGCAAGTTCCGACGCGTGGATGTATTGATACACCTCGTAGGGATCAACAATCCCTGCGCATAGAAATGCTTCCGAGACACAGCATAAAGCATAGAGCGTGGTGACGTCCGCCTGTTCCACAACATCTCGCGGAATTCCGTACCGGGCAGGATCCCAACCTTTTGGGACGGTCCCTGCCACAACCTGCTCAAACGGAACGACCTTTGGAATCATCATTATGGCGCCCGTTTTCACAAACACACGGCAAGTTTCTGTACCCTCTATTGGCTGTAAAGAAACATGCTCCCCGTGCCGCCGTTTGAAGTCCTCAGCAGTGGACAAAGAGGTTTCGAATGGTGGTAGATCCTTCTCGACGACCACCTCGTGTAAATACTCCTTTCGTTGAGGAGTGTATGTCGCATCCGGTTCAATGTGGCGGACTCCACTGTGTTTCATGATGCGATCATGGTATTTGTGGGGGATTTCATTATCCGGGACGGGCGATTGCGTATCGACGTCAATCCATCCAACGTAAGGACGTCCCTCCAATTCTCCGTCGACGTGCCTGATCAAGCCCATAACCCAGGCCATCTCGACATAACCCTCTAATGTGAATTTCCCTTGGTATTCCATTTCCCACCGCGTGCGTGCGTTTCCCCAAGGACCCAACTCGGAGAATCCCACGACGACTATTGTGGAAGATAAATCTACCATTCCATACAGACGGGGTAGCTTGGCCTTGTTTTCTCGATATGCAATGAGTCCAGGGATTTTAGGGAACGCGAGTGATAGGTTAGACAAGCGTGGAGGCGCTTCCTGTTTGGGTCCTTGGTGCTTGGCCCCATGAAGGACTGTCTGGTGACGAGCATTTTCTTCTGCGAAGGCATTCTGCAGCCTCAACTTATCGTTTAATTTCGCGCGAGCTGAAGAGATCTGGTCTTTGATATCCCACATTGAACCCAGCCCACCCGTCAAATCTGCATATATTGGAGCCTCGTCTGCAAGGGATGTGATAGCTGGCCTCATCAGGGCGAGAATGTTGAATGCCATTTCAGCCTGAGTGAATGTCATTACCCCGAGTTTTTCAATTTCTTCGGCCACAATGTTGGAACTTCGCATCAACCCTGTGCCTCGTGTCCACCCGATGACGGCGCCACATATGGTTACATAGGTAGACCAACTTTCGGACCGAAAACGATTGAAAAGCGACCTCAAGCCGATCTTTGACTCGGCATATAGACCATCTCCCCCGAAAGTACCCTCGTTGCAAGACATGGGCAATATTACCATCGTAGGCCTGGTCTCGATACGACGGGTTTCTTTTTCACGGCGAATAAATCCAATCAGCCTCAAGATGTTCACTAGCATAGTTCTAAGACAGAGCTCTTGCTGGCCGCCCAGGCCCTCGAGCTCTCCGGTCTGCGGAATGGCTGCAAATGGGATAATAAAGTCAATATCTCCACCCACTGGGGAGTCAGCGCCATAGAGATGCTCGACCAGAGCTTCACAGTCTTTACTACTACCCTGGTTCGTAGGTAGAAGTGTTAAAGACGCGCCTTTGGAACCATACTGACGGTACAATTGTTGGTAAAATCCAGCGCTAGCAGAAATCTCCCGGCTCGTGGTGACGACGACTCGCGCACCGCCGCTCAGGAGGCCTTGAATGATGTGGGCTCCAATCGAATCAGGGCCGGCACCCGTCACCAGAACTGCCTTCCCCTTGTAGCTGAACCCATCGCTAGATCCTGTTTGTAATTCGGTTTGATAATTTTTTGTGGCAGATGGGTCGTACAGCCAGTCTACTTCCTCCCGTCGATACTTGATGTGTACAAAAGGGATAGTGAAGCGCTGGTCGACGGGAGATGCACGGCCCCGGCGCACTGTGTCAAGGTATGAGCCAAACGGTCGACACGTCTCTGTGTATTCCATCTTAGCAGATTGGGTAAAAATAGTTTTAGGTCCCATCGGCTTGTGTCTGTAGACAAACAGTGGGTCGGAAGTAGAACTTTCGTCCCCAAGCCTTCGAATTTCGGCCAAGAGGGGGCGTATATTGCAATTCTGGAGCGGCGAGCGACTCAGGTAGGAGGGAGACGAGTCCAGATAGGATGAGATGATGTCTGTGCAGCTAGACTGCCATCTGTTTAGAATCATCGCCAACCGGCTGTCAACTGGATAAAGAATACCGTCTGTCGGTGCCTGCCAGTTCTCGAGAATCCAGCGAATGAGATCTTCCCGCACCCAATTCCACCAGGAATCGTAGTTTCGCACCTGACGTGGGTTGAAAACCGGTTTGATTCCGTGGAGAAATTGTTCGTCAAACTCGTCGTTCCATCGGTCAAGCTTCTGTTGTACTTCCAGAACACCCAAGTCTTCGTCGGATTGCTGTCTTTGTGGGTGATTGTCGATTCCAAGATGCTGAGCAAGGAGCTCGAAATGTTTCCTGTGGAAATCCTTGTTTTCGCCCTTCAAGCGTTCGAACGTAGCCGAGTCCACGGTCACCTGTTTTGTCACGGTTGTATCATCACGTTCCACGGCGATCTTGTCCAGAGAGATGTTGTAGAACTCTGAATAACGCTGAACCAGTTCGTCAAAATACGATTTGGCTAGCTCGGGCGTCCCCAGTCGGGTAGGGGGTTCCACTGAAGTGGCCAGACAAATCGGGATGATAGAATGCGATCTGGTCAGACCCCATCGTGATTCTAGATAATCGTGAACCGCGTTTTGGTTGAAACCTGCGGGCATTTTTCCGGATATGAACCTCGATACTAAGCTCGACATAGCTTTCCCCGGCTTTATGGACGATCCATTGTGCAGTGCCTCGCTTAGTGTAGCCAAAGGCATGTCTTCGGCACCTTCAGGGACCTTGCCAAACTCTCCAACCAGATCACCTATCAATTCGTTCTGGAGCGTAGATTTACCTACTTCATTAGCATATGTCTGTTTGCTATGGAGCCAAAGAGCTTACCTCCTGATAGATCTCTAATTGCCTCGTTCATTGAGACCTGGTAGAAGGGCCGACGAAGTTTCTGGGCTGTCAGGGCCAAAACCACATGTGCAGTCGACAAAGCCATGTTCCCTGTCGGGACCGCTTTTTCCGTCTGGACTGAGGGTGGTAGCAGAGCCTTGGTCCTGGGCGGCGTGTCAGAAAGACGTTTACCCGCGGAGTTCTCAATGGCCTGTATCTGTGGCGCTGGCGATGGAGACAGCTTCAACGATTGATCGACGCCCGTATATCGATAGAATATCTCATCGCTGTGGTCTGAAGAGGATAAGAACTTGAGTTGAGACCACTGAGACGGTGCGAATACTGCGTAGTATTTTGAGGTCGATCGTTTGGCCATCGTGGCTAGTGTTGTACGCGGGCCAACCTCAACGAACCGCTCGATAGAGGGAAGGGCATGGAGTAGTTGATTTTGTGTTTCGATCCTATAGTAGTCAGCGACAGCTAGCAAAAATACATTCGACTAGCGAGTGATGAACTTACCATCGGACCGGTGATGCCAATTGATACCTGAAGGATTAGTGCCTGTATACTAGGAGGGTCGAGGGAACCGACTCACGAGAGGATTTCAATAAGCAACTTGTAGGCCAACTTCTTGCGGTCCTCTGGATCCGCAGAGCTCAAGATCGAGCGCATCTTGTCTTGCGAAGTCCACAAGAATCACCGATGCTTCTTCAGTCTCTTGATCAACGGCGCCTTGAGTGGGAAATATTTCGTGAGCCACTCGATTTGCTCATAGGAAGCAAGTAACGGCGAGAGTCCGTATATTCACCCTACCGCTTCTCTGTAAACCGTTAGCCCTATCCCTGTCTCTTGGTTTATATTGTTGAGTAACCAACAGGATTCCAGTTTCCACACCCTGCAGTAGACCCTGCCTCAATAACGTGTCAAATAAACGGTGAAGCGTCGTCCCGAAGAGCCGCGTGGTTGTAGTTATGCGATAGGCTCAGTCGAAATATTTTCCCTTTTCCTCCACGAGACTATCAGTTCAATCAGGTGGGACAGCAAGTTAGATACTCCGTCTTCAAAACTCCGATGGCGGATAGAGATTCATATCATCTGGCTAACTCTCGCAGGCTGATCCAAATCTGTTTCGGATGCGTGCGCTTAAAGGTACAAATTGATGGGTGTGTGAACAAGCACTGTCTCTGATCAGAATGTCTGACATGCGTTGGTAGTTGCAGAATGGAGAATAGAAATGACTCAGAGTGAGAAAAAGGACCATATATATGGTCCGAGGGGTAAGGACAGTGAATAAAATAAGTTCCAATGATGCTTTAGGTCACCAATGATTTATCCTTTTGATCCTATTTTTAGGGGTTGGCCTTTCCTGTACCTAGTTGTTTATGTTATCACTGTAACAGAGTGTTCTCTCCCGGAAGTAGATTCACTTATCTTCATATCAGGTAGCCTTGGGGGTGGCAAAGCACAAACCACGTGTTGGGGGGGGTATTTAAAGAGGCAGGAGAGAGAGTGAGAGAAAGAGTTCTTCCTTTAACCTCAGTATCTCCATTTTCCTCCCCTGTCATGCCTGAGGCTTCACATGTCACACCCCCTGACTTAGCCGGCCCGATGGCGCTTCATCCTTCACATCCCTCATCTTTTTCCCCTTCTTTGACTCCCTCAACTTCTGCTTCTTCCGTGTCTCCTGGGTCTCCAGATGCCTTGGTGATTCCACCCGCCACAATTGATGTTGTTTTCCATCACCGTGGTATTTGGCTGGCGCTTCCTGTAGATGCAGCCTATTTTACCCTACTACAATCGTTAAAGGATGCATTCTTCTCATCTCTGTCAGGCAGATCAGAAACAGAGGATGACATCCAGTCACCAGTGGACCTATCTTTAGCGTATCTCGACTTCATACAGGCGGAGAAGACAGGATTTCCGGCTTTATTTGCTGGTCTGAACGCGTTCAACCGAGCCTTTCTGTCGGAAAAGTCCATCGATATCCATTCCTTTGTGGCGGAGACTACGAAAGATCCAACCAAACGAAGACGATGGCTACAAATTTACTACCGAGCAGTGGATGCGAGTGGCGACCAAGGCCTGCAGCATCACATTGTTCATGCCGTTGGATCATACAGTACCCGCAGCGCTTTCGTCGATCATGTGAACAGAAACCGAATCCATCCCATGGCAATCTTCGGAGGCCAGGGGGACGTGGGTCGTACATGTGTGCAAGAACTATCAGAGATCTACAATGTCTACTACCCAATTCTTAAAGACCTTGTGACCACGGTTGGGCCACTGCTGTCTGAGCTGTCACAGCTGCCGAAGTGCAGTCGTTACTATCATGGTCGTGGCTTAGACCTTCAATTGTGGCTCGAGCGAGAATCCGGGGAACTCGACACGGAATTTGTTGCGAGTGCGCCCGTGAGCGTGCCCTTGATTGGGGTCTTGAGCCTGGCACGGTACACAGTAATTTGCTATGTGTTAGGCCTCACGCCTGGGGACTTGCGAGCCTTGCTGCGAGCAACAACTGGTCATTCACAGGGACTTCTAGTATCCATCGTTGTTGCCATGTCGGACTCGTGGTCTTCGTTTTACGCCAATTGTCGTTTGATTGTGGAAGCGCTCTTTTGGCTGGGATGGGAGAGCCACCACGGAGCGCCTCGCAGCTGTGTTTCTGCCATATCTTCTTCAAACAAGATCGATACTCCCTCCTACATGCTGACTGTCAAGGGAATCCAACAAGCGACGATGGGCGCCATTCTGAACCGGATTAATAAAGGCATGTCCGAGAATGCTCAGATACATCTGGCTCTGATCAATGCGCGAGATCAATACGTCGTGGCAGGGCCCGTAGCGTCTCTTTCACACCTATGCAGTTACTTAGACTCCGTTGCCGGGTCCCCTAAAGATCAAAGCCGAGTCCCTTTCAGCAAGCGAAATCCTTCCATCAACTACGGGTTCCTGCCAATCAGCGCACCATTCCACACACCATATCTTGAAAGAGCAGCGAACTTAGTGAAGAAGCATTTGGATGGAAAACAGATCCGTCCTGAACAGCTATATATCCCAGTTTACCACACACGGACGGGCCAGGATCTGCGGAGCGATGCTGGGAATATACTCCATGTTGCATTGGATGCCATTGCGCAGGAACTTTGTGACTGGCCTGTGGCTTTGGCAGGACCTCCCGGCACACACGGGTCGCTTTTGGGCACACCGCACATATCACACGTTATCGTATTTGACCGAGGCGGATTGAGTCCCTTGGTAAAACGTGTCAAAGACGGATACGGGATTCGCATTATCCAAGGCGGCGACCTTGACAGTCGTGATCCAGAGATTGGGACAATGCGAGATCTCTTCTCCCCTCGTTTGCTGGAAACTTCTCCTAGGCTCGAAAGTTGGGCTCAACGGTTTCAGCCACGCTTGAAGACAGGCGGTATTACTGGGCTGGAAACTCGTCTCAGTCGTCTACTAGGGACTCCTCCAGTCATGGTGGCCGGGATGACGCCCACCACCGTCCATTGGGATTTTGTGTCCGCTATCATGAACTCCGGATACCACGTGGAGCTCGCAGTTGGAGGTTATCACAGCGCGGCTGATCTGTTCGCTGCTGTGCATGAATTGGCGAAAAATATTCCTCCTGGGCGCGGAATCGCCTGCAACATCATTTACGCTAACCCGCGGGCAATCCGTTGGCAAATTTCCGCCTTACGTAGACTTTCCCAAGAGCAAGTTCCCATCGACGGACTGACCATTGGGGCCGGGATCCCATCGCCAGATATTGTCGCCGAATACATTGGGACTTTAGGGATCCGGCACATTGGATTTAAGCCAGGATCCATCGAGTCAATCCAACAGGTGGTGCAGATTGCAAAATCTCACCCAAATTTCCCGATCATCCTGCAGTGGACCGGGGGGCGTGGCGGAGGACACCACTCGTACGAAGATTTCCACTCACCGATCTTGAGCACGTATGGACTCATTCGCCAGTGTTCCAATCTTTACCTGGTTGCCGGGAGCGGCTTTGGCGATGGCGATAGTGTTTACCCATATATTTCTGGCTGCTGGTCGACCTCTTTCGGCCATGCTCCAATGCCATTCGATGGCGTGCTGCTCGGTATTCGCATGATGGTGGCTAGAGAGGCCCATACCTCGTCTGCCGTCAAAGCCATTATTACCAATACACCCGGAGTCCCAGATCAAGAATGGGAAAAGACGTACAACTGTCCCGCTGGAGGAATCATTACCGTTCGGTCGGAAATGGGAGAGCCCATTCACAAGGTGGCAACCAGGGGCGTGCTGCTGTGGGCAGAATTGGATAAAACCGTTTTCAAATTACCATCCAAAGATCGCGTCACTTATTTACGCCAACATCGAGAGCGGATTATTAGTCGCCTCAACGCGGACTTTGCAAAGCCGTGGTTTGGTCGCAATTCTTCCGGAGATGTGGTCAGTCTCGAGGAGATGTCTTATCTCGAGGTGCTCACTCGCAGTATCGAACTGATGTATATTGCTGGTCAAAATCGATGGATCGATGATTCCTATGTGGATTTCGTCTTCCGTTTTGCCACCCGGACTTTGGGCAGACTGTGCAGTAACATCGATCAAGACGGCAATTTGACTCGCGAGGCTCTGGCGGGGAACCCATATTCCTTTACTAGTACATTCTCCCTGGCGTGCTCTGATGCGTCAGAAGAGGTACTAAACCCAGAAGACTGCTCCTTCTTTCTGATGGAGTGTAAGAGGCCTAAGCAAAAACCGGTCAATTTTATCCCCGCCCTCAACGAAGACTTCGAGCTCTACTTCAAGAAAGATTCACTGTGGCAGTCAGAGGACATCGATGCGGTTGTTGGGCAGGACGCAGAGCGGGTCTGCATACTCCATGGACCAGTTGCAGCCCAGTACTCTCAGGATCGAAACGAATCAGCAAAAGAGATCCTAGACTCGCTGATGGAATCTCTGATCGATCGCATTCAACAAAACATCTCAGACGACGGCACTCTGGGCTCGAACAGCGGACCCATTACGCCTGACTCTTGGTCCACGGTGTCAGCGGTGGGAAAGGAAATCCCAATCGATCTTATAGCCAGCACGTCCTCCACGTCGGTTACCATAAATAATCGGTACTTTCCATCAGCAGATTCTCTCGATCAACATCGGAATATTCCTCCCTGGATGCAAGCTCTGCTGGGCAATAGGATGATCTTGCAGGATGGGACGCGGTGTAAGAACCCGTTTCGCCAGTTGCTCGACAGTAGTCATGCCACCATTCACACCGACCCCGATCACCCGGGAATCATTGAGATCACCACGGGTACATCTAAGTCGATGTCGTCAATGCGGGCATCGTGCAATAACGGAGTGGACATTGTGGTCGAAATGACATATCCAATGAGTTCACAACCTCTCCAGCTCATGTACCAGTTCGACCCAGGCTGTGTACCCTTTTCGCTAAGCGAGGTAACGGACTGTCGGAATAGTCGAGTCAAATTGTTCTACAGCAAAATTTGGTTTGGCAAAAGTGATTCGTCCATGAGCATGCGCGATACATTCAACGGGACTGAAATGGTTCTGACGCGAGAATTACTAGAGGCTTACATTGACGCCGTGGGCCCGTCTTTCCACGACTACAGGCTCATCTTCCCGGAGTCCCAAAACCTACCAATAAGTATCGGAATTATCGTGGTCTGGGATGTCATTTCGCAGCCTCTGATGCTGAGCGAAATCGACGGCGATCTGCTTCGATTGGTCCATCGCTCTAATTCATTTGAATACTACTCCGGAGCGGAGCCTCTGCGCATTGGCGACACCGTCAACTCCAGCGCCGCCGTCCAAGCTATGCATGTGGAAGATACAGGGAAAACAGTGATTGTGGAAGCACAAATCATTCGGTCTGGAAATCCCGTCATGAAAGTGACATCGACATTCTTCTTCCGGGGTGCATTCAACACCGTTAAGAACACGTTCCGCCGAATCAAAGAATCATGGGCGCTTCAGCTGCCGTCGCAGCTCGATGAGACAATCTTACTCGATAGAGATTGGTTCAAGCCACAAAGCAACCTACCGTCCTTGACTGGCAAGACTGTCGTTTTCGAATTGGAAAGTTATGTCACATTCAAAGAGGGTGGTGGATACAGCAGCCTCCAAGTTACGGGAACCGCAGTCTCCCAGTTAGGGGGATATCAAAAGGAACAGGTCGGATTGGTGGACTTCCAAAGCGGCGACTGTGTTGGAAATCCTGTCCTCGACTACTTCCAGCGTAAAGGGTCACCGACTGGCAATACGGTTGAGTTCAAGACACCCGGCTGGTCTGGGCCGTCGTCGATCGAAATTCAGATGCCGGCCTCTAACCAACCGTATGCCGAAGTTTCCAAAGATTGCAATCCCATACATGTCTCGACAATGTTTGCCACTTTGGCCGAACTACCGGGGACTCTATGTCATGGGATGTGCACCTCAGCAGTCGCCGCATCGTGTCTTGAGCACCTCGTTCTTGGCGGGGATTGTACACGCCTGCGTCGGTTCTCGGCCACTTTTACCAGCATGGTGATGCCATTGGAGAAGTTGGTGGTTGAGCTCGAGCATGTCGGCATGGTTGACGGCCGGATGCGCTTTGGCGTTCATGCACGCCGCAAAGAGAACGGCGAGGCTGTGTTAGAGGCCGAGGCTGAGGTTGAACAGCCCGCCACGGCATACTTGTTTACCGGGCAAGGAAGTCAGAGCAAGGGTATGGGACTGGACTTGTATGAGAGCAGCCCAGTCGCCAAAGCCCTGTGGGATGACATCGACGCCCATATTTTTGAAACATACGGTAAGTTACCTGGTCCTCCTTTTCCAGGCCCGAGCTGATAGCCACAGGCTGGTCGATTTTGAGTATTATTCGCAACAATCCCAAGACGTTGACCATCCACTTTGGCGGTCGACAAGGGCGCAAGATCAAGCAAAACTACCTCGACATCACAACCGAAATAGTACTTCCCAATGGAGTTCGCACCAAGAAACCTGTCCTGGCCAACATCACTCCCGAATCGACGTCATACACCTTCAGTGATGCCCGGGGACTATTGTATTCAACCCAGTTCGCACAACCAGCCATCTTGCTGTTCGAAGCGGCAACGTTCGCGGAGATGCGGAACCAGGGATATGTTTCTCAGGGTGCCATGTTTGCTGGCCACTCCCTGGGCGAATACGGGGCGTTGGCAGCTTTATCGCCATATGTGCCCACCAAAGCTCTAGTTGAATTGGCCTTTTACCGAGGACTGATGATGCAGGCCTCCGTATCGCCGGAGCAGAGCGCTACGTATGGCATGGTGGCAGCTAACCCGCAACGCGTGGGCAAATGTAAGATCCCCCCTTCGCTTTCGAATCAAGACCCACGCTAACCACGTTCCTTTGTTTGTTTAGTTTTTGATCAAGCGGCTCTTGGCATTTTAGTGAAGATAATAGCCTCAGAGAGCCAAGAGCTGCTGGAGATTGTGAACTATAATTTGGAGGGAGAGCAATACGTGTGTGCGGGAACGGTATGACATTTCCACAGACCCCGAGACATAATACTAACTTCCAATAGACTACCAATCTTTACGTATTCGGGAAGCTCATCGATCGCATCGCGCAAGCTCCCGACGGCGCCCAACACGTGCAGGAAGTCGTTCACGCGACGGATGCAACGAGCAAGCTCCACACGCTGACGCGGGACCTCATTGGCCAGGCCCGGTCGCTGGCATTGCCGATCACCCTCGAACGCGGACAGGCGACAATCCCCTTGCAGGGCATTGACGTGCCGTTCCACTCAAGCCACCTTCGGTCAACAGTAGATCGGTTCCGCCAGTGTCTACACAAGCCGGGACTCTTCGAGGGGAACGTCGATTTCGAGGCGCTGGAGGGTCGATACATCCCGAACTTGGTGGCTAAGCCGTTCTCTCTGGACGAAGACTACATCCAAGAGGTTTTTGAGTTGACGGGCAGTCCAGTTCTGGCGGAGATTCTGGGGTTGGACAACAGCAATTGAATTAAGGGTTGATTAATGGTTTTTTAGGATTGGCTAGAATGAATGTATCTCACATTGTGTTAATATAATAGATGGACATGATTGTACCTGATAACGATAAATTGTAACAAGTTCCTTTCCACTCCATGACACTGTAGTAGTCTTCGATAAATATCTAGAATGTTGTTGTTGGTGTGGGTGGCATTTGTGAGCACGGATCCTCAGATCGATGGAAATAATCAAGATCTTGCTGAGATGACATTAGCAAACATGAATATTGACGGTTGTGAGTTTATACGAATTAACAAAACCTGTAGAACATGAAGTGGCAGGAAGGCCCTTGATGTTTACATAGTTAGTATTACACTAATTACAACTACCTATTTTGATCAATACTACAACAATTAGCCTAGGACAGACATTATGATAAGAATTCAATGAAAATAGGGGTTATATTACAATGCTCACTTGGCATCAACATAATATTATCACTAGAATGTATAAGAGTCCTCACTCATTCATGGTGGGGAGATGTAGTATCCTCTTCATGGGATATATATTTATAGATTCCGCCACAAAAATAAGGTGGAAGATATACAATAACACTAAAGATACCAACTAAAAAATAAAATAGCAATCTGGATGATATAATATTCCATGGGGTTTAACACTACAAAGATATCAGCCAATGCTATCCACTCTACTTCATACATAATGAACTGAATGTACTTGTTGGATTTGTCCACTGTAAACTAGCTTGCTTTACTATCACTGAGACGGGAAACAGAAAGAAAGATCGAGCCTCAGAATAAAGGGAAATGATGAAAATCAAAAAGCCCAGCAAGGGACAGAAAAAGACGGGCAGAGTTAAAGCCACAATACAAAGAAAAAAGAGAAAACGATAGGAAAGCAGATACAAGCTCAAAAACAATTTTCCGCCGACTGACCCTCGACAGACTGTTATCAATACACCACCAGTATCGCCACGCCAGTGTCAGATGATTGCCATATTCCCCTGGTATTCCTTCTCCAACTCCTCCAGCATACCCTCAATGTCAAAATACCAGATGCGATGCGATCGTCGCGTGATCTCTTCATGTGCGCGATCCATGTCGGCTCCGAAGTCCGGGTGTTTCCACTCGTAGATATCGCATGCCTCGCGACTGCTCTGCACCAGCCACTGCGACCGTTCGTGTCTCACAGAGCTGAAAGCTGCAAATGCAGCCTCCAGCGCTTTGGCCTTATCCACCACCGTCCCGCTCTCCACGCCCCGGGCCACACCGTCTAGCAACACCGACAGCGCGAGCGTATCTTCCACGCCGATGCCGGCACCAGCGCCATGATGTGGCGAGGAGGCATGCGCTGCATCGCCAGCGAGACAGACACGGCCGATGGAATATGTCGGGGCGGGATAATCAAGGTGGTCGAAGACGCCCCACTTGTCCATCTCGGGGGGGAGCAGATCGACGATCGCCCGGACGGTGGGACCCCAGTCTGCGAAGACGGCGGCGACTTCGGCCTTCGTGGCTGGTTGGGCCATCGGGCGAGAGAGAGGCCAATCGGTCGGGTCAGCCACGAAGGCTACTATGTTCATGAGGGCTTGCTTTGCGACGGGGAAGGTGAGGACGTGCGCGGCTGGTCCTCCGTACATGTGTTGGGTACGGGCGCGGTCGAGGCCGAGACGCGCGATTGCAGTGTCCATGGGAACCAGGCCGCGGTACGCTATCTTGTGGGTGTAGTGGGGGTAGGAGATAGGGTTGATGGGACCGAAGAGGAGCTGGCGGACGCGGGATTTGATGCCGTCGCACCCGATTACTTCCATCAATTAGGTGTGTCATGACACATGAGGATAGGGAAGAAAAGACATACCGGCATCGACCTCCTCAGTACTCCCATCGGAAAATGTCAAAAGTAGTCTCCCCCAACCCCCCTGGTCAATACTCTCCAGCCGACGCTGGAAATGAACTACGCCAGATGGTATCAACTCCATCACCTTCTCCAAAAAGTGAGCCCGATGACATCCCTCGAAGCCCCTCGGCCCTCCGTACAGCCGATAGAGCTTACGACCCTCCAGATCTTTCCCGATGCCCTGTCCCGGGGAATGGGTGTAGCCGTCCAGGAATTGCATGTTGTTGTTCGGATTGGCGGGGTCCCCGTTGACAGTAGCCACGCAGGCGACGCAGTCTGGCAGACGGCTGTCGACTAAGGACATGCATTTGCGAGCGTTCTTGGTGAAAGCAATGCCGGCGCCGATTTCTCGCAAAGTACGGGCTTGCTCGTAGACTTTGACGTTGATGTTGCGGTTGTGGAGGCCGAGGGCAAGTATCGAGCCGATGATGCCACTGCCAATGATTGCAATCTCAAGAGGTTCTCTTCTATCGAGATTGGGTTTAGAGAAATTGTGAGAGATGGTCGATGATGTTGTGATAGAATTTGATAAGAAGTTGGAAGAGGCCATTTTGGATGGTGATGGTAACGATGATGGTCTCGATGGGTATCTGGGAGCTCGGAGGAAGTGGAGAAAGATGAAGATGAAGCCATCCTATCGTTCACCATCTGGCCCTTATGTCTGATAGCTTCAGTACACATGTCACGTGGGCCTGTGTCTTCGAGTGAATGCCTGAAAGTGCAATCACCGAGACTCGAGTCACGTGTGAAGCCATACAAGTAGCAATTGAGGCTGATGGAAGATAGCCCTAGGTCTCACAATGTTAGTGGCACAAGACACCTGTCGTGAAGAATACTGGATGGGAGGATAGTGGATTAGGGATATTATTACGAGGACTCCACACACACAAACGGGCATTGCTTCCATTTGCGTCACATAGACATCACCTCAAACCCTGCGTATTTGCAGAATCCACCTGACGACCCAAATCTCTACCCACAGCCATGCCGCACCGAGGTCATGAAACCCGGGGTATGGCCAAATGCAGTTGTCCGTCTGAAACAAAATGAATCTCTGGCCAGACCAGCTCAACCATATCGGACGTCGGACCACACCAGACGGAGTAATTGTGGTCCGAACACGTGTAACCGCGATGGGAATCGAAAGTACCTCGATATCTCGGACCAGGAAATAGGTGGAGATGATGTGTTCACCTAAAGAGGGCCGTTCTAAGACCATCCTCGAAAAGGTGATTCATCTGAGACATTTTCCGTATTCAAGATCGGGGGTGTCGGGTGGCATATCGTTGAATCATCATGGCGTTCAGAAGATTCACCAGCGCTAGCATGCCAGAGCCTGAGACAGACAGACAGACTGTAGAGATGAGCGATTTTGAGGAGATGGTGCTCGAGGAGGACGGCAAGCGGAGCGAGGAGAACTCTGCCCATGGCGATTTCAAGCTTTCCGTGTCAGGACAGTTGGTTTTCCTGACGCTGTCGGTGTTGACGTTGATGGTTGCGCTGGATGGAACGTCTATATCGGTGGCTTTGCCGGTAAGAACATCGTCTCCACTTAAGAGCATATGCTGACAGAACAGAAAATCTCTCTTGAACTGCATGGATTGGCAATGGAGGCGTTTTGGAGTGGGACCTCGTTCCTGTTATGCTCCACTGGTATGCACCATCAGTTCAATCCTGCAAGATCCACATCTAACCAGGACAGTATTCCAACCCACTACTGCAACACTGTCCAATATCTTTGGTCGTCGTCCAGTCCTATTCGTCTCGCTCACCTTGTTCTTCATCGGTTCTCTTCTCGCCGGCATTGCCAAGAATTTTACCGACATCCTTATCGGCCGTTGTATTCAAGGAGTCGGCGGCGGCGGCATTGCAGTGCTTTCCGAGATCATTGTTACGGACCTTGTTCCGCTCCGTCTGCGGGGCCGATACTATGGCATCCTCAGTGCCATGTACAGCGTGGGCTCCGTGTTGGGCCCCATCTTGGGCGGTGGTTTCAGCGAAAAGGCCTCCTGGCGCTGGATCTTCTACATCAACTTCCCCTTCATCGGTATTGGCGGCTTCCTCGTGGTCTTCTTCTTCCGACTCCCGACGCCCAAGGGGTCTCTTTACCAGAAACTCGCCTGTGTGGACTGGACCGGAGCTGTCCTTTTCATCGGGAGCGTATCCGCCGTGCTAATCCCAATCTCTTGGGGGGGCATCATGCATGCCTGGTCGTCATGGCGCACCGTCGTGCCCTTATCCGTCGGCGCAGCAGGCCTTGTCGCTTTCTGCATCTGGGAAGTCCTCCTTGTATCCACCGAGCCGATGATCCCCCCCGACATATTTCGCAACCGCAGCGCCACCATCGCCCTAGCGACCTCCTTCCTCCAGGGTCTGAACCTCTGGTGCGCCCTGTACTACCTCCCTCTTTACTACGAAGCCGTCCGCGGGTTTGGCCCCATCCTCACCGGAGTCGCCTTGTTCCCAGAGACCTTCACTATCGCACCCGCTGCCATCCTTTGCGGCCTCATCGTCACCGCCACTGGTCACTACCGTTGGGGCTTATGGATCGGATGGAGCATCAGCGCCATGGGCGCGGGTCTTCTCTGTCTGCTCGAGGTGGATACCCCGACCGTGGCGTGGATCTTCCTGAATGTGCCCGGAGGTGTAGGCATCGGGATTCTGACGGCCGCCTTAGTTTGTGCCGTGCAGGCATCCGCGACACGCCATAATCTCACTGCGTCGGTCGCTATGGTCGTGTTCTTTCGCTCATTCGGTCAGGCAGTAGGCATTGCTGTCGGAGGAGTTGTCTTTCAGAATCGCATGCGTCACCATCTGCAGGGGTACGTGGAGCTGGCGCCTCGGGCGGATGAGCTGGCTCGCGATGCAGCTGCGTTGGTGACGACGATGCGCGATATGACGGACGAGACGGCGAAAGCGCATTTGAAACAAGCGTATACGGATAGCTTGCGTGCGATCTGGGCTGTGTGTTGTGGAATTTCTGGAGTGGGCTTGGCACTGAGTGTGTTCGTTAAGAAGTATGATTTGAATCGCGCGTTGAAGTCGGATGGCGACGAGGAAGAAAATGACAAGAAAGAACAGGTGGACGACGATCAGGTGACGATGTAGAGCCCTAACGAGGTGAAGGAAGAGGAAGGCGTCACGGAGGTATCTTGAATAGAATGGATATCATTGCGTCCTGTTTTTTCATACTTGTTATTATCTATCCCGGCTGTCTCATTGAGCTTGTTTCTATTCTCCAGAATATTTCCATTCTCCAGATTGTTCCCATTCTCTAGTACATGCCCGTTCTGCATACCATTCCCATCCTCTAGCATATTCCCATGTCCATTACCAGCCTAATCCCATTCATCATCCTGGTACAAGGAACGCACGAGTAAATTCAACCGACATACTCGACCAGCTCTCCCCATCTCTCATCCTGTCGGAGCAACATCATCTCTCCTTCATGCAAACACAGCGTGACTCCCAAACAGCCCCCCTTCCCCTCTCCAGCAATATAGCCCACGGAAGGAAGGGGTCCAAAGGTAGGCCTGCGATGCATATCGGGCTTACCAAGTGGGCCGAACTCGGGCGCCTGCACGTGGGCCATACTCGAGCAAGAGAGATCGGTGCGCGGGTTGAACGCGCCGCCGTACGCGATGTTTTCTTTGTTGGGCTCGTTCACGAGGAAGGTGGCGTAGCTGCGCGCGGCGTAGAGCGTGTTTTCATCAACAACGCGGTGGCGGACGAGACCGGCGAGCTTGGACAGAGATGCGTTGGCGAGCTCGCCCATTGGGAGACGGGTGTGCACGACGCGGACCATGTGGCCTAGATAGGCGGGCGAGATGCCCAGGACGCGACGCATGTCGAGTGCGCGGTTCAGGTTGCTGATTGTCTCTGGGGTGTAGTGGTTGCCCTGGGCGAGGCGGATTATGGTCAGGCGCTGCCACAGGAAGGCGGTCCATGCGTCGTTGACTGAGACGCTGGTGATACTAGGGGGGAAATCCGCTGGGCGACTGTTGGCCTCGGTGAGGATGGTGGTCGATGAGCCCGTGGAGAAGCGGAAGCAGGCCCATTCAAAATTCGCGAGAGACGGGAAGATCATGGGACGCATGGCAGGAGGTCTCAGCTCGCTGTGGTCCAGAAGAGGCTCGTCGGGCCCCAGCAGCGGGATGAGCACGCGGCGATCGCGGTTGGCCTCGTCGAGCTCGAGCGGGTGGATCGTTTCATGTCTGAGGAGGGTGGACAAGAGATTGGCGACCTGGAAAATCCCGTTGCCGTCGATGATGTTGTGCTGAGCCGCGATATTGAACAGCAGTCCGCCCTCCACCAGGTTGGCCTGGATCTCGATGACCGGAGCGGGATCCTCGTCGCTTTCAACGTAGCGTTCGGGAAACGCGCGACGAGTGGCGAGGAGAGACCCCGGAAACATGGTGATCGGACCACTGGCGGCAAGCATGGTCTCGTAAGAAGGCAGCTTACCCGAAAGATCTTGCACGCGCACGATGGGATGATCGGGGGCTGTCCATGGCTCATGTGGCGCTACAGTGTACACGCCAGAGTTTCCGGCAACGCGGCCTTGGTTCACGACCTTTCCAGCCAGAAAGGGGACGATCGTGACCAGCTGGCGGGCAGCGACTTCAAGAGCCTCAAGAGTTGTCGGGCGATCTTCCGCCTTCAAAGGAAAAGTCAGCAGAATGTGGATATAGCTCTGCAAAAGAGGGAGCTGGCCGAGAATGTCTCGGATGTGGTCGAATGACGCCATGAGGAAACGATCAGCAGCAGAATGCAAGATTGTGGAGGCTATGCCAACGAGATACTGATGCCGCTGGATCAACAACAGACATGAAATAACAAATAATGGAATCAGAACCAATACGGAGGGATAGGAAAGATGGATGGAGGAAGATGAGTGAGACGGTGGGAAGGTTGTTTGCTGGTTAGAGCTTGGGAAAAAAATGCTCAGACTAGGAGTCTCCCCAGCAATCACTGGATAATCATCCAACGACCGGTCGAGTTATGAATAGAACTGGTCATACATGGTCCAATGATTGATTCTCATGAATGACAAATTGTCTAGCAGTGACAGGGCTCTGCAGGTGATTTCATTCCGTGAATCACCCCTTTCTGTATAGCTGACACTGCAGATGCCACACCCGGTGTTTCCGAACCATGGAAAAAGAAATCTGCTGCAGGGATACAGGCATGTCTACTATACACAATTGACAGGGGTAGATCCAGGCTGGGTGACAGTTCCGTAAGTTTTTCACCAATCGAAGCATCATAGGGCTTTAGCGTCACTGGTAGTAGGAGTCCGTAACAGAATCTATACCCGGACATCCAGGCTATCACCCAACAAAGAATAGACAAAAGGTGGTATGCAAGACCTGGTGACACCCCTACAAGATACCAAACCATTGTGACAGCAATTTCCAACAGACAGTTCCAGGATCGACCGTGCGTTCTAACCTGCAGGATGCTGGCACGGCCCACCAACCCTAATTGCACCCACAACAGGCATGGCCTAGCCCGAGGAGGAGAGGGTATCACACGCAGTACCCCTTTGGGTCATGACCTGACACAACAGCCATATATTTCCGACCGGTTTGAGAGCCGGCCACACGGCAGACGAAGCATGTCTCACCATGCCTCGTATGGGGCGCCTGCTCTGGTTGGATCAGGCGTCGATTTCCCGACGACGAACGGAGCGGAACACCGATTGCCGGTACCTGAGAACGGATCAGTCATTCAAGAGGTTTATAGCAGAAATAGAGGTTCTCATGCACCTGCGACAGGGTCCAGGGGGACTCCAGTAAGGAAGGGGGAGATGGACAACAAGCACTGACGCTTACCACGACCCTATTTCCCTCAGACATTGCGCACCGCACGGTCGCTTCACAGCAGCATTGTGTTGACGGTGGTCCCTGCCACTGCGGGATGGATACAATGCATGCCATCGACGCCATGCAGGCCCGTTGAAATGCCAATCCACCAGTGATGTACGCCCCACGCCTGCAAGAAAGGGTTGATATATGCTCTCAATCGCCAGGCCCAGGCCACATCAGGACCTAAACCATTGACATCCTGTCTGTGGAAGATACACGCGGTCCTACCACTGGCCTCTGAGGGCGCCATGGAGCGATGGACATGGATGGGAGGGACAAGAGAAATACATATGGGACTGGAGTGAGATGAAGCCAACAAAGAGAAGGCGGAAACAGACAAAGAAGCCAAACGAGAAAAGAAAAACAAAAAATAAAAAAAAGAAAGAAGGAAGAAGCAAATCGAGACACAGATAGGATGGACGATAGTACGGGATGGCTGACTTGAAGCCAAACCCTAATTTTATAGACATCCCGCAACAGAGATACGAAGGCCTTTTTCCTTATCGTATTGACTTGCCGGAGCTGAGTTCTTGTACTATACCATCTATACTACACATTTGAGGGCACTGCCACTCCCCGTAAACGGAGTGGATAGACGTGCCCTGGAGGACCTCGCAGTCTCTCACACCTCACACAGCAGGGAGACCCTGAACCCCCGTCCCTCCTCCAACAATCCAATCCTATTCCATCCGACCCCTAGCTCAACAGGATACAGTACCAGACAAGAGCAACGATGGTCTCCTCACCCCCCGTCTCGCGCCAGCGTCCCGGTTCCGCTTGTGAGGAGTGCCGTCGACGCAAGGTACGCTGTGACCGAGGACGACCGCAGTGTCAGGTCTGTTATGAGACAGGCATCGAATGCAAGATCAACACAGCACGGCTGCCTCGGGGCCCACGAAAGGGCCAGTTAAGAACTCTACGGACCCGCATTGGTAGGTTGTCCCCATTCCCCTACTGGGTCCTGGAAGAGCTTATCACTGATACTGACAGTGCAGCCGCCTTGGAACGCTGTCTGGCGGAACAAAACCCTTCGATTCACGGCCAGGTCACAACTCTGCTTACCGGCACCCTGCTTGACGGGGACTCTGAGGAAGATCAACTGCGCGAGATGGCCGTTGTGTCCGATCTGGGGGTGGAGCCCTTCACCGACGAGTCGGCCGCCGTCTCGCAATCCCCCCCGGCGTCTGACTCGTCCCTCCGACAAGGTGGACTGGTATCAGAACTGATGCGTGCTGATTTGTATGTTCCCGAGCGATCAACTGTATGTGGTTTGATGGCAGAGGACTAACGACAGCAGAGACCAGCTATACTTCGACCGGGTACACCCATTCGCCCCCATTCTCCAGCGCTGGCGATACCACGCGTGGGCAAAACAGCCACGTAAATGTGACGAGCGCTTGTGCCTGCAGCACGCCATGTGGACGGTGGCAGCATCGCTATCCGCGCAGTTCCAGTCCTTCCGTGACATTCTCTACCAGGAGACACGAAGCATGCTGGACATGCTGGATCAGCAGAGTCCGCGTCCGGACGGACTAGGCCTGGGTATGGAACAGGCCCAGGCGTGGGTGCTCATCTCTCTCTATGAGTACATGCACCTGTCGCCACAACAGGCGTGGATGAGTGTAGGCCGCTGTTGCCGGTTAGTCCTGGGCATGCGGCTATACGAGATTGACGACCCAGTTAGTCCGATTGCGCTGGCCCGCGATGCGGAGTCTGTGCTGGTGGATTGGACGGCGGTTGAGGAGCAGCGTCGGACGTTCTGGATGGCGTATTCGCTAGACAGATTGATTAGTTTTCACCACGGACTGCCGTTTACGCTTAGTGAGCAGCTGGTTGGTCTACCATTTTTGTACAGACGTTGTGCAGTGCTGATAAAAAGCAGATATCGACTCGTCTTCCCTCGTCAGAGGAGGAGTTCCAATCGGGACAGCCAGTGCTTGCGCCGTATTTGCCCGAAATAATGGCGCAGTCCATGTCAACTTCCCCGGAAGGGAGTGTTCCCACTCTGTCCTCATTTGGGGAGTGCATCGTGCTGGCAACGATTTGTGGACGGGCCTTGTCGCATCGCCAAAAGGTCGCTGTCGAGCAACTCAGCGGGACTGGGTTGGCCGATGGATTCTGGACGCGCCATCATTGGCTATATGAGCGGTTGAGCGCTCGTATCCAAGCGCTCAGTGTTACAACCCAAGCCGACCCGATGGGTGTCTTTGCCCGGTTGATTGCGCAGACAATGATCCTCTTCTTACATAACGTGCTTGAGTCGGTGGCTTGGAAGACGGGGGACCACCTGCTGGGGATGATTGAATATGAGCGGTTGTGCGTGCTGGCGGCACACGAAGTAGTTGGATTAATGAAGTTGCAGGGACAATTGGGGTATTTTAAGGTATTCCTAGTCTTCTCAATGTTGTCGAAGACTGTCTCCTAGGTATAATTCTGATGCTTTCTAGGTCCATCCGTTGACGCCCATTCCGTTGTTGATGTGTAGCGAATTCTTCACAGCGCATAGCTACCTCGATAAGTCGTTTGAACTCTTATTGCAAGAGGTAGTAGAGTGTCTGCAAGATCTGGATCGAGTCAAGAATCCAATTCCCGTCCACAGTCCACTTAGCTAAATTTTGGGTTATTAATATGTTGATATGGAGTTGGGATTGTTCAAGCGATGGAATTAGGGTCAAGGGTATAATATAGTAATAACTTCACATCATCTATCGTGAAATCACATTGCCACCAAGACCACAGTCAATAAATCTATAGCACTGTATTTCATACTTAATGTTGAAAATATATAAATCCGCCACTGGCCCGTTGAGTCCACGGCCGTTGTCTTGCAGCGGGCATGCGGATCTTGACTGTTATAACTCCGCTGCAGCAGATCCACCCATTGTCAATCACCACCAAAGCAATCTAAGACAGGCTAAGATGGTTCAGAGAAGGTGACACAACCAGTGGCAACAGGCTGAGACTGGGAGTGCACTGTTCCCGAGGAGATAACCCGACAACAAACTCCGGTGCGTAGTGATTACGGGCAGGTACACTAGACGATAGAATGGATCAGTGAAGAAACATTGAATGCCACTGCCAATTCTGGCTCATTTCAGTCACCGTGATTGCCTCGGTGACAGTAATCTATTCACCGAGGCAGACTTTGTATGCTAATGTTTGGTAAGGTCCTTGGACCTTCTCTTCCTTTTCCTCTTCCTCTGCCATCCTTCTCCCCTTCTTCCTCATCCCTCTGCCTTATCATAGCAAGCGCAATAGGTCAGCATGGAACACAAGCTATCCCCTCCTGCAGGGGGCAAAGTGGTGCTTCTATTCGGCTGCCAATGCCTCTCCTTCGACGCCAACGACTTCCGCCGCCTGCGTTCTATCGTCCTCGATTTAGACGAGCATTCATGGGTGTTACACGTCCTTGCAGAACTGCCCGTCTACTATCGAATCGCATCAAAATTAGTTCCGCAACTGGGTTCTATCCCAGCCGAGAAGCAGCTGCAGGACTTGCATCAATGGTTTTGTTCCGGTGAGGTCAAGGAGGACTACTTCCCTCTCCCATACGTGCAGCTGGCTCCTCTGTTCATGGTATTGCAGTTTACGCAGTACGCGCAGTATCTGCATCTGACCAATTCGGAATATGTGTCCACTGGTGAAATCCATCCAGCCGAGAGCCCCGTAGTGGAGATCGCAGGCTTCTGTATTGGCTTCCTCGGCGCTGTCGTGGCTGCCGCCGCGGCGAATAGAGAACAATTCCACGAGTATGCCAAGGTCGCCGTGCGTTTATCGATGTTGCTTGGTGCAATGGGGGATGCCCAGGAGGTGGACAATCGATACACTTCACTGGCGATGGTGTGGAAGGCGCCCGAGGCGGAAGAGCAGCTCTCCGTCGTACTGGAACAGTTCCCTGGGGTATGTATCTCACCAGATAAAAGAGACAATAGTCCTAACAGATAGTAGGCATACATCACCGTCCGCTATGACACCAACAGATCAACTCTCATGTGTCCAAGACACTGCATTGGACAGCTCCAGAAAGCCCTACACGATGTCGGCGTCAACTCTAGTCCAGTCGAGTTCAATGGTCGCTACCACTGGAGTGGACACGAACGGGCGGTTGGTGCCCTACAATCGATGTGTGATAAGGTTGTCGGATTGCAGTTGCCGGATGCTTCTCGGCTTGTGAGGCCCGTTCGTGACAACGTGTCTGGGGAGGTAGTTAGCCAAGGACCTCTCCACCACCGCGTCGTGCAATCTATCCTCGCTCAGCAATGCCAGTGGTCTCACACATTCTCCACTCTACACGCCGCCAATCTGACCTCCCCGGACTCCATCTTGGTCGAATTCGGCACAGAGCGTTGTATTCCACCCTCGTTCATGCGCATCATGCGCAGCCGCGTTGTCCACTACACAGATCTAGAACTAGACCTCCTCTCCCGGCTCTCTCCTCTCCACCCCACGCCCCCTATCTACGACGACGACATTGCCGTAGTCGGCATGGCTTGTCGCGTCGCTGGCGCGGACGATCTCGACGAATTTTGGCAACTTCTCTGCTCGGGTCAGTCCCAGCACCAGGAAATGCCCGCAGAGCGCTACGAAAACTACGAAACGCCGTGGCGACCGGGCGCCACTCGCGGGTGGTTCGGCAACTTCATGCGCGACATTGACGCCTTCGACCACCGCTTTTTCAAAAAGGTCCCGCGCGAAGTCATGTCACAGGACCCACAGCAGCGACTCCTTCTCCAGGTTGCGTACCAGGCCCTCGAGCAGGCAGGGTACTTCCAGCGTGCCGATCCCGACCGCAATATCGGCTGCTATGTCACCTGCTGCACTGTGGACTACGAACAGAACGTGAACTGCCATACGGCGAGTGCATACGCGGCTACGGGATTGCTGCGCAGTTTCATTGCCGGCAAGATGAGCCACTACTTTGGTTGGCGGGGTCCGTCGCTCTGTGTCGATACGGCGTGTTCCGGGTCGGCCGTGGCGCTGCACCAGGCATGCAGGGCTATTCTTAGCGGGGAGTGCTCGGCTGCGTTGGTCGGTGGGGCAAATATTTTGACAAGTCCCCTTGCATTTGACAATCTCAATGGAGCGTCGTTCATCAGCCCGACCGGTCCGTGCAAGCCATTTGATGAGAAGGCTGATGGGTACTGCCGGGGGGAGGGTGTCGCCGCCGTGTTTGTGAAAAAGATGTCGGACGCTTTGGCTGACGGCGATACGATCCTTGGGACTATTGCTGCGACGGCGGTTGATCAGAATAATAATTGCACGCCGATTGTGGTTCCCGATGCCGCTTCGCTGGCGGGCTTGTTCACCAAGGTGACGCGCCGCGCCCGTCTAATCCCCAAAGATATTTCCGTAGTGGAAGCGCACGGGACTGGAACACAAGCTGGGGATCCGGCAGAATACAGCAGCGTGCGACAGGTACTAGGCGGCCCGCAGCGTGGATCGTCCCTCGCGCTCGGCTCTGTCAAGGGACTGGTCGGACATACAGAGGGTGTCTCGGGGTTGGTAGCACTTGTGAAAGTGCTGCTCATGATCCACGAGGGCCATATCCCACCGCAGCCGAATTTCCGTTCGATGAATCCCCATATTAAAACCGGTCCCGAAGACCACATCGACATTCCGACGCAGACGATCCCGTGGAACGCGAAATTCCGCGCGGCGTTGATCAACAACTATGGCGCCTCGGGCTCAAATGCCTCTATTGTCATCACACAGGCTCCATGCAGCAAGGAGATGCACAAGTCTTGTGTCCACCGCGGAGACGCAAGCATTCCGTTCCGCCTGTGTGGGTCCGACGAGTCTCGGCTCCGCGATTCTGCCGAGAGACTCCGCCGCTTTCTCCGCCGCCAAGCCCTCTCCGCTTCCGCCAGCATCGCCGACTTGGCGTTTGCGGCGTGTCGGCAGGCTAACCCAGCGCTCGACCGTCATTTGTTGCTTCGTTGTCGGAGTATTGCAGAACTGGACCAGAAATTGACAGCTGTAGTTGAAGGTGGTAAAAATGGAATCGTGCAGAGGAAACCCACGCGTCCGGTGGTTTTGTGTTTCGGGGGACAAGTGTCCATATCGATTGGGCTGGATAGAAGCATCTACGATGCCCTTCCTTTACTGCGCGGTCATCTCGATGAGTGTGATAGGATATTGCGGTCGCTGGACCATCCCAGTTTGTACCCCGGCATCTTTGAGCAGACGCCCATCGCAGATCAGGTCGACTTGCAGACCAAACTCTTCGCTCTACAGTATTCCTGCGCCCGCTGCTGGATAGATTCCGGTGTACCCGTGACCGCTGTCGTGGGGCACAGCTTCGGCGAAGTGACGGCTCTTTGTGTGTCCGGCGTGTTGTCTCTGCGTGACGCATTGGTCCTGGTGGCTCGTCGTGCTGCTCTCATACGCCATGGCTGGGGTGCAGACTCGGGTGCAATGTTAGCCGTAGAGGGTGACCGCGCAGAGATAGACCAGCTACTTGCGACAACGAACAGTGGCATCACGGATGCCTTCCCAGCTACGATCGCCTGTTTGAATGGACCACGCAGTTTCACTGTAGCTGGGCCCACGTGGGTCATCGATGCGATGCAGCAGATCATCAACAGACCACTATTTAAGCACATGAGAGCCAAACGCCTGTCAGTCACGAACGCGTTCCATTCTACCCTAGTCGATCCCTTGATTCCCGAGCTCGAACGCGTCACCGATGGTCTAACCCTTCGAGAGCCCACGATCCACCTGGAAAGGGCCACAGAGCATCCATCAACAGGCATTCCTCCCTCGACCGTGGTTGCAGATCACCTTAGGCAGCCTGTTCACTTCAACGATGCCGTGCACCGTCTCGCCGAGAAGCATCGCTCCGCTGTATGGCTCGAAGCAGGGTCCAACTCCACCGTCACCCTCATGGCGGCTCGCGTTCTCGCGTCTGTCGCTGACAATCATCATTTCCAAGCGGTCAATCTCAATTCTGGAACGGGTCTACAGGGCCTCACCGATGCAACCATTGGCCTATGGACAGAAGGCATATCAGCGACATTCTGGGGATATCATTCATGCCAAACAAAAGAGTACACGCCCGTGCTCTTGCCTCCGTATCAATTCGAGAAGAGCAGACATTGGATGCAGAACGAGAAACTGCCTGTCCAGGCCACAGGACTCTCCACGGAATTAGCAGCCTCAAAAGCATCCACAGTGGTGACGTTCACAGGCTACCAGGACAAGAACGAGCGTATAGCCAAATTCATGATCAACACCTCCCATCCAGAATACCACGATGCCCTGAGAGGCCACGTCGCCGCGCAAACTGCACCGCTAGCCCCCGCGTCTATGATGCTCGACAATGTCATCGAAGCGCTGCGAACCCTTCTCGAGTGCACTGATAAAGTGCCCGTTGTGCGCACTGTCACCAGCGAAGCGCCCCTTTGTCTAGACCCCTCCCGCACGGTGTGGATCGAGTTGCACGCGCAGGATACAGAGAAGCAAGCTTGGAACATCAGATATCTCAGCGAGAACAGTGATAAAAGATTCCGGACGCAGGTCCTTCACTGCAATGCCCAAGTCAGCATGCTCCGCCCTGACGATCCCGGTCTGCTGGCCGAATTCGCTCGCTACACCCGTCTGTTCCCGCATCGTCGGTGCAAGCAGGTCCTAAACGACCCCAACGTCGATGATATTCTCCAAGGACGCGCCGTGTACAAAGCGTTTTCCGAGGTCGTCGCGTACTCTGACCTATACAAAGGTGTGTACAAAATCGTTGGAAAGTGCACCGAAAGCGCCGGTCGCGTGACCAAACAGTATACGGGAAAGACCTGGGCAGATCCATTTCTCTGCGACTCATTCAGCCAGGTTGCGGGTTTCTGGGTGAACTGCATGACTGATCGTCCAGAAAGTGATATCTTTATCGCCGCTGGTATGGAGCAGTGGATGCGCAGTCCGCGGCTGGCGGATCCGCACACGCCGCGTCCTGCGCGGTGGGATGTCTTCGCTACGCATGTCCCTGGGGAGGATGTGTACACCAGTGATATCTTTGCGTATGATGCAGAGACGGGTGAGCTCGTTGAGGTTTTCCTGGGTATGCAATATACGAGAGTGGCGAAGAAGGCGTTTCGGAAGTTGCTGGGGATGTTTGCGCCTGATTACGGTGCCACTTCTGCTGTCGACAAGTCGGACGCGGTACCCCATACTGTGCAGACGAGAGATCATCAAAAAGAGACAACAAAGAAGGAAATTAAAACACCCGATTTGGGTGCCAAAGTGAAGGCCATCGTGGCAGAGTTCTGCGCTGTCGACTCGAAAGAGATACACGACAATAACCGCATGGCCGACTCGGGCGTGGATTCCCTTATGGCGATGGAGTTGGCGCGGGAGTTGGAAGAATCCTTTCACTGCTCAATCCCAGCAACTGACCTGATGGAGGCCGAGACTTTCCGCGATCTGGTAAACTGCGTCCGGACTGCGCTGGGTGAAGATGAGCCCGAAGAGGAGGGTCCGATATCCAGCTCAGAGTCCGACGGGGAGGTTGATATGGGGCCGTCGGCAGCCGACTCAGTCACCACCGTGTCCTGCGACGACTCGGATCTGTATCTCCCACCGCAAACCGCGCTTGATGCATTCGGTGAGACGAAGAAACTCACCGACGCCTTCCTCGCGAACAACCAGTGCAGCGGGCGCGTGCATATCTTCAATCCCGTACAGATTCAACTCTGCGTGACGCTCACCCTCGAGGCATTCGAGACGCTGGGCTCATCAATCCGCACTGCAAAACCGGGTCAGCGACTGTCTCGCATCGTCTTTGACCCACAGCACCGCGAGCTCGTCGACTATCTCTATCTGCGTCTGGAAGAAGCGCGCATTGTCGACCTCGACGGTGCAGCTGTCATCCGCACGACGGTGTCCGTCCCGCCCAAGAGCAGCGCCGCACTTATGCAAGAGATCGAGCGAGCGTACCCTGAATTTGCCGGTGCCAGCAAACTCTCCTTCTATACAGGCAGCCACCTAGCTAGCGTCCTCCGCGGAGACCAAGACGGCCTACAGCTCATCTTTGGCACGAAAGACGGCCAAGACCTCGTCTCCTGGATGTACGGCGACGAGCCCCACAATGTCGCGGGGTACAAGCAAATGCTGGACTTTATTCAGCGGGTTGCGAGCAAGCTGGACAGAGCAGACAATACCGGTCCACTTAAAATCCTCGAGATGGGTGCCGGCACCGGCGGTGGCACGAAGTACTTTCTTCCTGGCCTGGCCAAACTAGGCTTCCCTGTCGAATACACTTTTACGGATATATCCCCTGCATTCCTAGCTCAGGCGCGTCGTCGCTTCAAAGAGTATTCTTTCGTGAAATACCGCGTGCATGACATTGAGAAGGCCCCGGCAGAGGAACTGTTGGGAACCCAACATATCATCATCGCGAGTAACGCTGTGCATGCCACTTCCAACTTGCAGGACTCGACGCGGTTCATGCGACAGGCTCTTCGTCTAGACGGGCTTGTGTTGATGTTGGAGATGACGCGGCCTGTATTTGCGATCGATATCGTCTTCGGCCTGTTCCGCGGCTGGTGGGTGTTTCGGGACGGACGCACTCACGCCATTACCAGCGAACGTCGCTGGGAAACGGATCTGCACGCTGCTGGGTACGGACATGTGGATTGGACGGATGGGCACTCGCCTGAAGTGAGTGTTCAACGGGTCCTCTTTGCGATGGCATCAGGGGAGCGGCGCGATAAATTGCCTATCGCCAGCGCGCCGGCAGTTGGTCCCCTGGCGGGGGTCGATAACACTCCCAGAGAACGATTTACAACGGGGTATGCTCGGACTGGCGTGGACGGGCTCACGTTTGACTCGATCGCCTTCCCGCGCAATGCTAATGAAGTCATAACGGTGCTGGTAACAGGTGGCACGGGCAGTCTGGGCAGCCATCTCGTCGCGCATCTTGCGCGGATGCCGTCGGTACACCAGGTGGTCTGTCTGAATCGGCGCACCACCATATCCGATGCCACCGAGCGACAGAAACAGGCCTTGATTGAGAAAAAGCTGTCCCTCTCACCAACAGAAATGGCCAAACTCTGCGTCATCGAAACCAACACGGCCGACGCACATCTTGGCCTCCCGCACGACCGATACGAAGCGCTAATGGCAACGGTAACGCACATCATCCACAATGCCTGGCCCATGAATGGCTCGCGCTCACTGTCCAGCTTCGAACTCCAGTTCAGTGTAATGCGGCAGCTGCTAACCCTTGCGAAGGAAATCTGTTGCCAGGGCGTAAAGCCCACGTTCCAGCTCGTGTCGTCCATTAGCACAGTTGGGTACTACCCTCTCGTCGAGGGGAAGGCCACCGTCCCTGAAACAAAAACTCAGATCGAATACGTTCTGAACAATGGCTACGGCGAAGCCAAGTTTGTTTGCGAGCGTATGCTCCACGATAGCCTGCTCCAGTACCCGGATCGTTTCCGCGCGATGGTCGTCCGACCGGGCCAGATCAGCGGGTCGTCTAGTACGGGGTACTGGAATGATGGGGAGCATCTTCCTGCGCTGATCAAGTCTGCAGAGACGCTGAAAGCCCTCCCAGACCTGCGAGGCCCGTTGTCGTGGACGCCTGTAGACGCTGTGGCTGCTTCTTTGGTCGATCTGCTGTTTGTCGAGTGTCCTCGTGCAGTGTACCATATTGATAATCCGGTGAGGCAACCGTGGGAGGCGATGATCCCTATCTTAGCCAAGGGACTAGCCATTCCAGTCGAGAATGTTGTACCCTTTGCGGAGTGGATCCAGCGTGTGAAGAACTTTCCGGGTAGTCGGGAGGATAACCCGGCGGGGGTCATGGCGGACTGGTTGGAGGCGAACTTCAAGAGAATGTCCTGTGGGGGATTGTTGTTGGATACGACACAGGGGGTCGAGCATTCTCCTGCTCTAAAAGATGTTGGACCGGTTGGAGAGGAAGTTGTTCGAAAATATTTATCCGGCTGGATACAGAAGGGATTCTTGGCTGGGCCCTACTAGCTGGTGATGTTCTGGCTGTGTATAATAGCTGTCGAGATATCGGTTACTTGTTCTGTAGCAGAGGTTTCATTGAACTAACGGGATTTGCACCGGGTTTAAAAGATATCTGGCACTTTGTCTCTAACGAAATTTTTCTACAGTAAGTCTTCAACAATCAGATGGGCAGCTGCTCGCCGCGGGAAAGATTGTCCGAGATGGAGGTCTCTTGACGCCGCCCATACCAGACAAAACTGTCAGCTGGCCATGAGCTGCCAGGGACCGCTTGTCACTATCATTTTCTTGCAATAGACCTATTTTAAACCCACCTCCCACTATTTGCAACATGGCGATCTTCGAACTTGGGGGAACACTCGAGCGGGTGGGTTAATGTCAATGGGAGATACAGATAGAGGGGCGTCACCGAGAAGCCCTAATTCAACCATCTACAATCTTGGGATAAGCCTGGATAGACCATCCAGTAATCGACTACAATGATACTACACCGATATCCGAGATGTAGTTGGCCAAGATATTACCCAGTGACAGGTTGCTTGGCAGTCACCGTGAATGATCACTTCCACATGCCTTCACTGCATCCCAGGCAGGGATTGCTTGTCTGGGTGACTGTGGGGTCATCGCACAAAGAACTCGCCATCATTCCCGAGTCATTGACCAGTGATTGATGGAATTTACCGGCTATATATTCCTCTTTTCTGCGGCTTGATGTTTCTTTTTCTTCGCCTTCTATCCATCCATCAACCAGCAGGATGTCCCTCAACGCTGCATCCCTCTTCTCCGTCCAGGGCCTCGTCACCGTCATCACCGGTGGTGGAACAGGTATGTCCTCACGATCGGTCATATATGTCACTAGGCACCAATCTGTATAATCGATGCAGGTCTTGGTCGCACGATGGCTCTTGCCTTCGATGCCAACGGTGCCGCCAAAGTCTTCATACTCGGTCGTCGCGAGCAACCTCTGCAGGAAACCGCTGCGCAAGCCACCAACAAAACTATCATCCCCGTTGTCGCTGATATCAGCTCCCACGCATCCCTCGAAACTGCCTACCAGACCATCGCATCGCAGACCACTCATATCGACCTCCTCGTCGGCAACAGTGCCGTCCCCGGATCTGCTGTCCCTCGCTTCAACCCGGACGGCTCGCAACCCACCCTCACTGAGTTCCGCGACCGCCACTTCGCCAAGTCCATGTCCGAGTTCACCGACGTCTTTGACGTCAACGTTACCGGCAATTACTACACCATCCTCGCTCTGCTCCCTCTCCTCGACAAGGCAAACCATCGCCGTGCGTTGTCGTCCTCTCCCGACGTGCTCGCACCTCCCCGTCCCCAAGTCATCCTGATCTCCTCCATCGGCGGTATTCTACACCACCCGGCGAGCGTCGCATACGGGCTCTCCAAGGCGGCGGTGTTGCAAATGGTCAAAGTCATGTCGGCCTTGCTGGCGCCTTATCTTATTCGCGTGAATGGCATTGCCCCGGGTCTGTTCTGGACGGAGCTGTCGCGTCCGCTATTCCGCACGTTTGGCATCGATGGACGTGGCCTAGCGGATGGGTCGGTCCCCGCGTCAAATATTCCCATTACTCGTGCTGGGGCGCCTCAGGATCTGGCGGGTCTGGTGCTGTGGATGGCGAGTGCATCGGGCGGGTTTCTGAACGGAGATAGCATTGTGTACGATGGGGGCAGGAGTAAGGTGTCGCTGTAGTGTCGAGGGCGGCTACATCTGGGGTAATTGATGGTAGACATGGGGCATTCTTGAGGGAAAATCCTCATTGAGTAGTGCATGGGCTCGGGTTAACACTCTCGCTGTTGGATGTCTGGTTTTTGCGAGGTTGAGCTAGACAGCGCCGATCCACGATCTACGTGTGACCTGAGTACTTCATATCTTTATTCCACCTAGCAGCATTTCTGCTTCTTTCAACTTTGTCATTTGTTTATTTGCCCCCCTGTTTGTTTTTGCCGATGATAGAAAATGGTCTATGGCTTGATTGTGATGGGAATCTACTAGACAAACAATTCCATAGAAGATATCAAGCAAAGTCCACTCTTGATCATTGCAGCGCCTAATCTATCCATGAGCCTCCACCACGGCCCGATGATCATACCATATATAGAATTAACTTAAGGCAATGTACAGCGTCGTCATCTAACTAAATTGGGTCAATTACTGGCTTATCATTCCATCCCTTTCACCAACATACAAAAAGGCAGTGATTAGTAACCTAGCGTGTTAGCCCCCACCTATCAGTCTATAAGAGCCGAAGCCCTTACAACCCCCTCGTTCCCAACATATGTCGTTGATGAGGTTTGTCTGATAAAACTCGGGCGAGGTGAGTTACAGCCTGGACAGCTAGCCCAGACCCAGCTATCTCGGCGCTTCTGGATTGACCACAATGGCTTCTCTTTCGCCTACTCCGTCCGACCACTGTGGTACAAGCTTCATTCCGATGTCGATTGATTCTGATATTACTGGAAAAGGGGTATGTGTTTGAAGCCATGGAGTCTAGGTCATGGGCTGAATGAGGGTCCAGGTCGTGGCAAACTACATCGGGACTGCCGGCTTTGCGGTCCTACTCATTATCGTATACTTCCTCGTGGTATATGACCCGTTGCAGGATCCTTTTAGAAAGCCACATCAAGACGCTTCGCAGTCATCATTTCGTCCAAATCCGGTAGACGTGGTCTTCTTGCGGCTTGTGAGGGATACATGTACACGCATCTTCCGTTGGCGCCGTCGCAGTGTTAGCGCAAGAATGGAGCGAATTTTTATCAAAGTATTGTGCCCCAATGGTTCATTTCAAATTGGTGAGGTGGATCTGGTGTTCTAATATTGTTCAGTGTGCCATGGCAATGGGTGACCTCCAGATTCTGACTGGCTTGTCGATTCTCGTCAGCGGATACATTCAGCTCTCCAACGGTCTCTCATCGTATCACTGGATGGTCATTATCGACTTGGCCTGGTTTTCGTGTCTCACTCACTTGGCTTGCTTGACGCTTCTCCGCAATTTCCTCTACAATCACCCTCTTCAACGGACAGTCCGCCTTTTCTTCATGGGTGTCCTGGCCATACTCCTAGTCGTGGGTCTCTCATTTACGAGTCGCTACACATGGGTCTCTTTTGACTACTACACCAGTCTCACAGAGTTCATGGCTGGTCCACCTTTCTCATCGTATCCCGATCCGGTGGCTATTACCTACCATGCCACATGTCAGATTCCAAATACTACGAAGGACCCCGACTGGCAATACCTGTCAACAGTTTTCTCAATCGTTTTGATTGCTATGGGCCTTTTGAGCAGGGTAATAAAATTGTATAGATTCATTTCCGTCGGCGTATGCGCTCGGCTTAGATCCTGGGTCAGTACTCGAATACGACGCTACTTACGATGGGTTTTCTCTCGGTGCTGCTTCAACAAGTCACCTAGGAGTCTCAGTCGTACGCTCATCTACCGTCCCCTGCTGGCAGTCTTTGTGGTGGCAGAGCTAGGCCTAGACTGGTGGTCTTCATTTCTGCTAGAAGTAAGACGTTCGAGGGTGCACTTCCTTATCATACTCTAATAGCAAATAGGTAGGCTACTTAGCTTTTGGTTTTGTGTGGGGAATCTTGCGTCTCTTTGCCGTACTTGATATACCAACAGCCATCTACAAATGGCAGAAGAAGTGGAAACATCCAACTATACTGACCCCCGAAGGAAATCAAGAAAATTGGGGCTTTGGACAGGTCATTGCAGTTCTTTTGCTCATGGCGCCCCTCATCAATATCATCGATCATCTAGAACACGGTGTGTGTCGCAGATCTTCCTGGTGTTCAGCGGGTAAACCAACATGCTAAGATTGCAACGCCAGATTGCACGTCTACCGTCAGGGCCGAGATGGGTCTTGGGAATAGCACGCCTCTGTCTGTACCTCCCGAAACCCAATTGCCCCAGATGAATCAACTTCCTTCCATGCGTGAGAGCATCGAGGACTCCGATGACCCCGACAATGGCTGGGCCGCTCGTACCTCAACCATCAGTCTTGCAACTGTTTATATTGTCATTTTAAGCATCGTCATACTTGGTTACGCGGCAGGACTGGATGTAGGGGTGGGCGATTCGGGTTTTGCTTTGGCTGGGTCGTCAATGCTTTTACAGGATATTTTCAACCTCTTGGGACCTATATTGATGGGTCTCGCTGGCATATTCGGTGTCGTTCTATCTTCCTTGACCATCGAGGCAAATCTCCCAAAGAAACATTTCCGTGTTCGGCGGATCTTGCGTTGCAGCACTAATGTTGTCTTCATATGCAGTGCCCTCTTTGTTTTGTTTGGTCTGGGTCCATTTCATCAAACTAATGGGTCGGTCTGGTCAATATTCTCGTTCGATTCTTGGGTTTTCTTTGTCTCTGCCGGTGCTTTTTACGTCTCCTTTGCTGTCATTTCTCGAATTTGGGAATATGGTATTACTCCTTCCGCAGACACTACTACATAAATAGGTTTCCTTACTGCTCTTCTGTTGCATAGGCACAGTCCTGTTGATACCTACTGTCACACCAGTGTGGTTGACTTTGGCTGTTTTAATTCTGTCATTGTTGACATGACTGACTAGGCCAGCTTGCTGGGATAATTATATCTGAACCACAACTCAACTTACGCCCCATGTGCCACCGTTGAAAGATTCCAGAGGTAGGAAAGTGAGTCGGTTTCGTGGTATCATGTCAAGTGGAGACAACACGCAAATATATACTGATGTGTATTGTTGACATACACAATTTACCTTTGGCCAACCATTCACCAGATGTGTTATTCTGATAAAGGATAAGGTCCCCAACCATTTATGTTTTAAATACGAGTATTTGAAAATAAACAACACGAAGAAAGGAGAAGAATGGATATAACATCCAAGATGGCTCGGAGGAGCAACATCACATGACTGACACATCCCCATCAGGCTTAGTGCGAGGTGGGTACCATGCCTGAGGCCCCACACCCACCTGTCCATGATTCATGACTGATTTGGATAGCTTCAATCCACCCCAACAGCGGACGGGATGGTGTTATAGCTTGGCTGCACTGCACCCACTGCCTCACAATGCCACCATGAATGCTGTCGATCCTCGAGTGAGGCGTAAACCTGTCCCCAGTCAGGTCAATCGGTCGCCTGTCCGAGGCGTCACCGCCGCCTCTCCGTCCCCGAAGCAGCAACCGACATCTGCCCCCTATCCTCCACCCTATCCGGACCATGATCCTCCCCCGTACGAGGCGACCAACCTGGCAGTGCCGCAGCAGAGATTGCGACCCTCTCGATCGGCCCAGAATTTCCGATCGCCTTCCCCCCAACCCAACAGTGTATACCCTCCCGTGCAGCGAGCCGCCACCGACTTCCGACCCGCCTCATCCTCCTCCCACCGACATCTGGTCCCAGACCCTAATCATGGCCAGCCAGCCGACGGCTCGCCCCTGCAGGCCGTGCAGAAGGCGTACGCTGAAGCGCGACATTTCCTCGGCGGCCTGATTGCCCGTCCGACCGAGTCAACCCGACATGTGACGATCCTGCGCCATTCAAGCGGAATCGTCTTCTATCGCGGTCCGACAACGTCCGTCACCATCTCAATATTCTCGGACGCACTTCTCCCACCGGAACGAACACTGTGGTTGCAGAACAAGGGCTGGACGGGGAAGGCGGGCATGAAGGCCAAGGCGCTGTTCCATCTGACCGATGACTGGCTGGAGGTGACGCCCGCTCTGGCCGTCACGGCGGAGCAGGTGGCACCGGGGGACGAGCGTGCGTGGCAGCGCGACGTGAGCAAATTTCGCAAAAAAGCCAGCGGTCGGCAGAAGACGCACCTGTGGCGCCAGACAGTCGTGGCGCGCATTCCCATTGAGGCCGGTGACGGGTATTTTAGCCTGGTGCTGTGCCACGGGCCCGGGAAGAAGAAGACCATGTGCACCAGCCCAGTTTTCCGTATCCTATCCACCAGCGTCAATCCCAGCTCAGTGCGCGGTGCCAGCCTGAGCACCATGCCCCTGGAGATGGGCGCGCTCGTCTTGGGGATGTACGCGCAGTCTGCGGCACAGACAGTGCTCGCCCCCGTCACTTCAGCGGTGCAGACGCGTCTCCAACCATACAAGCCGGGTGTGGTGACGCAGACGGCGGCCAAGGAGGCCTACTCCCTGAGTCATGTCGGCGACCATATGTCGACCGTTCTCTCGGGCTACGAGGGCCAGCAACGTGCGGCGCAGTCCCGGGACCAGGGACAAGGACCGGCGCTGGCTCCACCGTCATTGGACGACGGTCCGCAGCCGCCGTTTCCGGTCGATTTCAAATGTCGGGCGGCGTGGGATCTGCCCCCAGTCTGGACCCCCGACGCGGCGTCCGAGCCGCCTCGGTGCATCATACAGAAAGCGCCCGATCATATCTGCGACCACTTTCTCGGATTCTTCGTCGTATGGGTGCGCATTGAGAAACGGGGGAAAAGTCCTGTCCCGCGGTCCGCTGGTCCTGCTGCCCCTGGCAGCGAGGACACAACCCCCGTCTGGCATCCCGGCGTACTTTCGATTCGACAGTTCGATCCCCGTACGCAATCCCGCGTCCAGCTCTCTCAGACGATGAAGAAAACCGTCCACCTCCGCTTCCTCGACGAAATCCCTCTGCCGCCCGTCCAGGACCTCCCTGCCATGTCGCTGACCCTGTCCGTCCGCATCATGGCGTTCCTCCGGGCTGACCTCCCGCCGCCAATGGGACGCACGCCAGAGGAGCTCCATGCGGCGCGGGAGGCAGCCGCGGAGGCGGCGATGCTGGCGGAGGCGTGCGACGCGGACTCGGCGCTGGGGATCCTAGCTCATCCGGCGTGGGCCGTTGTCGACCGCGATGAGCAGGCCTCGTGGATCGAGCGCACGAGGCAGGGGCTTGACACCGCGCGGCATGTCGGACAACGCGCGATCGAGAATGTGCCCTTGCATTGGGTGGGGGTGCGTGCTCCCACGGTGGATATGTCGCATGGTGGGGGGTTCTACGTTCCAAGGTAGATGTATGATACGGTGGTCCATAGGTGAGTGTTATCGTATGGGTATATATTGTATTGACCGGAAGAGGGTCTAGAAGTGTACATTAGGCTTATCATAATATAATAATTATTGTATCAACTACGCAGGAAGCATGAGAGAAGCCTCACCACAACGCAGTCGGATCTTCCGTCTTTTCTTTCCATATCTCCATCACTGCATGTCGAACGATTCCCCCTTCATTGAACTTCTCAAAAGTATGTTAAGATTGGACCAGCCATGACACAGTACAACAATATGAGAAAATTAATCAATACAAACTCCCCACCCTATCCGGCTCACGGACTCATCCTCGTCCCTTCTCCAATCATCCACCAGCGGTCGGAGCCCCTGACACAGTCGAACCTCGTCGTCACTCAACCGATTCACCAACCGCTGCGCAAGCTTTACGACCAAGCCCCTCTCTAGAGCGCCTAGCCGATGTTGTCCGCGAGAAGCATTCAACAACTCCACGACGCGGACAATATCTTCCGCGATGACCTCATCAACCACGCTTTCCAGCGCCGCAAATTCCAATACTAGTGCCAGACTGCTTACCCGGGTCGAGATCATCTCCACCATAGCTTCCACAAATTGCGTTAATCGGTCCTCACGTTCCGCATCAGGGATATACACCGGGGACGGTAGGACCAGAACCTCTAGCTCGAATGGCGTTGGCAAAACCGGAGGTTTGTGATCTGTGATATCGCGGAGGGACGCGACATAATCCATGACTGACCGGAGAGCCTCGTCCGTGACGGTATACCGCGTTCTACGTGATTCCGCACCGATATCCTCCTTGGTAACCCGGAAAGCACGAAGCTGCTTCAGGGAGGAGATAAGTGGATCTAATGTCACACGCATCTTCCCGGCTTTGGGGAAGTACTGCGCGGGATAACGTGCGATCTGGCGCGTCCTACACGCAAATTCAGAGACCACGGTTTTCCGTGTGATTCCGTCAGCAACGAGGGGGGTGAGGAGGGCGTCGTCGCGTAGGAGTGGGAACAAGATGCTTATGGGGTCTGTCTCGTGAAGTCGCGAGACAAGCTCTTCCCAATGCTGCCCGGCGTTTGTCTGTCGGTACTCTGGGTTTGATGTGGCCAGAGTGTCGCCAATGGTGGCGTACGATTGCCAATGGAGGGTGTGAGTGAGCGCCCACTCGTTGTGCTTGGTCAATAGGTACCGCGCAGGGAGATAGATGGACCATTTGGATAAAATGGTGTCAATGAGGTAGGGGTCGAAGGGCCCAAATGAGGGAATTCCGAGCTCGGCACGAGAGAGGCCTAGCGGCGCAAGGAACGCGTCCATCCAAACATTGTGCGTGTTCTCCGAGGCTGTGACGAAGGGGAGCAGGACATGCTGGACATACTTAGCATGAAGGGCTGGCGGAAGCTTGGCCTGTGCCTCGATGAGGACTTGTAATCCTGGACGCTCCTTGATGGAGGATACGTTGGGGAGAGCCGTCGTCCAGGCGGATACGTCTCCGGCAGAATCCATTTCACTAGGCTCTTGTGCTATCTCATGGGCGATGGATTTGATGAAGGTAAACAGACGGTCGAGTCCGGCCGGAGAACCACGCACGGGATCAAAGAGATTCAGGGCGGCCTTCACGATTTGGGTGCGGATGTCGATATGGTGTGTGGAATGGAACACGTCTCCCAGGATCCGCAGCGTCGTGTCGAGCGGGAGGAAGTCCGCCTGGGAGAGTAGCTGCGCCAACATCTTCACAGTCGTGATCTTTACATAGTTCGGGGCGTTGGTCTTGGGCGTGAGCCGAGGCGACTGCTGCTTCTGGGGGTCTCTGCACTGTTGCTCGACGAGCTTTTCGCAAACGAAGCCTGAGAATCGCTCCAGGAACGCGGCCACGCTATCTGGGCGTAGCCGCCGACACAACGAGAGCAGCTTCATGCACCGGTGGTAGGCTGACTCACTAGGGAACGACTCAATGACCCGCAGGACAGGCGCCACAGCCAGTTCCGGACTATCCGAGAGCACGAACGCTTGGATCAGCGCGAACGCCGTCCTCAGCACGACCTTGAAGACCCCATGCGGCCGCTCCAGCGTCTCTAGTGCGTCTAGCACCCGGTCCAGTAAGGCAGACACCAGCTTGCTGGGAACGGCGTACATGGACGCACGTAGCACGTCAAGACACCGCCCCATAGCCTTTCCAACGTCGTCCCACGCGACTTCCAAGAAATCCTTCTTGATATACATCGCGGGATACCGGACCGTGTCGGCGTCCGGGAACGGTGCTGCTAGGGGGCTGCTCTCCCTGCTCTGAGTGTCTGTTGGGGTTTTCTCGGCGTGCAGATTGTGCATTGCGAGCTCCAAGTATAGGAGGGCGGATACAATGGTGGCTTCGCGCGCAGGCAGGGTCATCTTGCGCACGACATGAGATCCTGCCAATGCGCGCTCGAAGCGGAGTTTGGGCCACGCCCAGTGCCTATTGCTCAGGTGCCATAAGGGGGTGTCATCGTAGGGGATATAGTTTTCGGAATCTAACTCTCCTTGGAGTTGGTAGTAGAGCAGGTTAGTAGCAAGGCGCCGCTCTTTGAGATTGGACAGCTCGTCTGCAGCGGGCTGGGCTTCCTCAAGGACCGAGGATGTAGGATCCCAGGCTGTAAGGGCAGTGGGGTTTGTGCTCGGGAGATAGGAGGCTGCTTGGGCAAGGCGAGGAGGGCGGACGAAGTTCGCTGCCTCAAAGAGGAGCTCCTCTTCAAGCAGGTTTACGAGGTAGTCACGCAACACGGGGAAATACTTCCCGTATTCATCTTTGCGGGACTGATACGTGTCCCAGAGGGCTCGGATGGCGTCTGTCTTAGCGCGCTTGTTTTGGTGCATGTCGATCAGGGCGCACACGGCGACAGGGATACTATCAACGTGGTCGTCATCAACGATCTCGTCATGCTGGGGCTGAGGCACGAAAACTACCCTCGGAGAGGCCTCCAGGACAGTGTTTATGCGACCAGCCATGTACGGTGCCGTCTCCGGATGTTTCAGGGCAAAGGCAAACCATGGTCGGCCAGGTAGCAGACACTGGAACTGCAGGCCTTGTGGCCATCCTTCATCCAGATCCGCCACATCGGAGAAAAGATTAACTCGTTGGGCCCGGTGTAGGTCGTTCCGGTGACGGGCGTACTCGTCGAAAAAGCGCAATACGGCGGGTGAACACTGCGGCGGCAGTTCCAGAGAGTGTAGATAGCCGTCGTCGTCGGTCCAGCTTTCCTTTTCGCTGGAGATCATACCATTGTTTTGTTGGCTGGTTGAAGCTTCCTCTTCTTTGTCGGTTGATACTTCCTCTTCGTCGTCGGTCGAGGATCTCTGGGGGTTTTCGGAAGTACGCTCCCAGGCAATTAGGATAGGAACAAGGGGCATGAGTAAGGCGTCGACGATCTCGGCCTCGCTGCCTACTCCAGCACGCCGGTACCGGTTGATGCCGCGAATGCGAGCGGCAACTAATCTCCGCAAGAAAGATGCGATGCCCCTAGTAAAGCTGCGGTGATCTATCGGTTCACAAAGCGCTAGAAGAACGGTCTCCAAGAGTGCTGACAGGACCTTGTGGGCGGACTTGACAGTGGCGCGCAGGGCAGCCATGTCTTTGGGTAGTCGCGACGACGGCATGTCGACGCAGCCGAGGCAGGCGTTGTCCCTCGTCAAAATGGTTTTCGACATGATGTCAGGAAACACGACCTGTATAATCAGCATTATCCACCAAATCCGTATTGGGAACATGATATACCGGATCGCGAATGAATCGCCGGGTCCACAACACCGCCTCACGGCAGAGGTCGAGATTGTACGTATCGAAGGCAACCTGAACAGCAGCGCGAGAGGCACTAGACCGCTCCGTGGCGTCACGCTGGCTCTCTGCGTGTTTCTTAAGGTTGAGGAATACTGCGACTGTTAGACACAGGCCTTTTAGTCTTCACTATTGGGGGCTCACGTTGTCGACCCATTACCAAAGCTTCCGTCCCCTCCGCTTCCCATTGCGCCTTCAACCGGCACTGCTGCGAATAATCCAAGCCGTTCGCCGTCGGCACGAAGCCCTTGCACCCGTGGATGGCCAGCATCCGCTCGAAGATTACTTGGGAATCTGCCGCTGGGAGTATGCAAAGGACGTCATAGTGCCACACGGGGACGAGTTGTCGCTCGCGTGGTTTAGGGGGGTTGGCCTGAAAATCAAAAGTGAAGGGGGTTGTTTCGTAGACTGGGTCGTAGCAGAGACCATCAGAAAGACCAACGAGATATTCAAGAAAGCGCCGCCGCGCGGGCCGGCTGACGTCTAGTAGCACATCCCGCATTGTGATGAAAGTGTCGTGCCGCTGTTTTCTTGGTAGCCGACGGTCTGGGTGCCGCCGGAGAAAGTCCGTCAAAGCGTTCTCCAGGTCCAATCGATGCTCAGGACGCGGATGCGAAGGATGGTCCGGGTGAGCGATGCCCTTCATGAAGAAGGTGATATCTGGGCTAGATTTTCCTGCGGCTACCAGCGACCAGCAACGGCGTAGCTCTCGAGCTACTGCACTGTCCAGTGAGCTTTTCAGGAAGACGCATGACGGATACTTGACTATCGATGTAAAAAACGGAACAACACGATCAAAGGGAGCATGGCGCCGTGCGGCGACACGGAACGCTTCACGGATGTAATCCTCCAGGTCGTGGAAATCCCGACGCAGAGAGGGATCTTCAGCAAGAACGTCGCACAGGTCCAGCACGAATGTCATCCCTGGCACCAGGCCCGCTGGTACACTGTCCCGAACAGAGGTATACGAGGTGGGAGAGCCGATGAGGGCAGTCTGGCACACTTCCAAAATCGATAGTCGAACATGCCACGGTGCTGGTATCCTTCCGACAGCCATCTGTCGCAGCACGTCGGCATGCAGAGGCGCCAGGCGTTTCAGCAGAGGCCCCACGTCTGGCGTATCCGGCAAGTTGCTCACAGCATCCTTGACGAAGGGGCCGGAAGACAGCGCATATAGCGGAGACAAGGCCACGAACAGGGGTCGGTCGGATCCCTGACTCAATCGCTGCAACAGCCGCTCTACGCAGTCGGTGCGCGTGCCGTCATCTTGGGAAAACCGACATCGCGAGATAGCTTTGGCTAAGGCCCTCACTTCAGACACCGGCGCCGCTTCGAAGATAGACGCCAAACCATCCGCGCCGCCTAGAGCGTTCCACCCCGCGCTCTTCCATTGCGGACCATGAAACAACCGACTGACGGCTTTGATAGCGGTGTCGCGGATACAAGCCGATGTCTGGTTTTGAAGCGCGGCACGTAACAGCTGCGGGTTATATCGTATGGCGAGGGGCAGCCAAATGGTGTAGAGGGTCGCTGGGAGGGCCTGGGTAGTGATACGATCGACAAGGAGGTCGTTTATGGCGTCGACGCGATCGGAGGGGTTCTCACCCAGCAGGTCTTTGAATCGGGCGTACACATCATGGGCCGATAGTAGGAGAAGCTGGCATGGCTGCAGAGCGGCGGAGAGCTCCATCGTCTGAGGTGTAAGAATGCCGACTTTGAGTGGTACTGCGTCAGTCAACGACTTTTTCGCGCCACGGATCGTGCGGTCTATTTATTTCTCTCCATATGACGACTGCCTTGGCCGAAGGATCGGATCAGCGAGGCTTAAGGTGGGGGAACACTGGGCTGTGCGGCCGAGGTGGGGATCACTCCTGTTAGTGTCTGCTAGCGATGATGGCTTGCAAAGCAGCAGCAAATAGAACCTCACCCATAGCCTCTGGATCCACCCAAATCAGTAGATCCATAGAGACAGGCGATGCGCAACGACAATTAACACCCAAAAAGGCATTACGCCACTCGACTGATGCCATCATCAAGGCTTGCCTGCTTCGCCGAGATCAACAGAAGTGTGTCAATGGTGCCTCTAGGAGAGTAAATCATATATGGCAGTTCTCCAACTTGTTTTAGGTGGCGACGAAGTACGCACTTCATTGGGCAGCATCTTGCGTGAGTGACAAGGAGAGCCGGGAGGACATGAGGGGAGAGTGGAGTATCACCACTGCCTCCACCCCAGTCATAACCTTGCACGGTGGAAGGCGTACTAAAAGCCGACCCATTATATATGTTGCATCCAGCTGGGTTAAAACCGTGAAAGGTTCGTGAGTAAGGGGAACATGGAATTCCCTGGTTTACTCAAGTTAATTGGGTTGACCCGAGTTAGGGCTTCACGGTCATCTGTTTATTCTCAAGCACGAACAACTTTGCTGATGGAAATAGAGTCGCTGCATGAAGATGTTTCTACGCCCATCGCACTTCGATGATCCGCTTGGTTGCTCGATTGATTGTGGTAGAATGAAATGGTATTTACATCATGTCATTATTATCGACGGGACTGGTATAATCCTGACCCCAATGCATGGCACTTCTTTCAGTCGGTCTCCATCAATCTATGCTACCTACCATATCCCAAAACGCACTAGACCCCATTATCGACGTGATATTAGCCCCCGCAAACGCGAATCGCAACTCGGGATCATTCCACATATGTTCCCTCGTCGTCGTGTGCAAACTCGCCCGGATATCCCCCGGAGCAGAATAGCCCCCCTTCTCACCCCATCCAGGGGACAGATGGCGAGCTCGCAGACCAGGGTGCGCAGCTCAGGGGGCAAATGCATGAGTGGGGATCTCTCTTTTGGATTAATCGAGTCTTAAATACTAAAAGCAGAACCATCTGACCATTGTCTACTTGGTTGGGGAAACATATTGGTGGCACACAATCTTGTCGTCGGAAGACCATGCTATATCGGTGCCATGCGACACACGGGGCTGTGCAGGATAGATAGCGCTACACCAATCAAGTCCTTCTCCTCCAATATGAAGCCCACGGTTCAGCAATGCGATCGATATTGAATCTAGGTCACCGGCTAGGCCCGAAGTGAGATGCAGTCCGACCGCTGACCAGCAGCCAACGAGATCCCTGACATCCTCAATTGCGCCATGCGCGGCGCCGATGAGTTTAGGTATCTTAATCCGGATAAGCACTGGTAAGAGGTGCGAGTTATATTAGGGGCCAAGATCCTCCTGCCTGGTTATGCCCAATGAGGCACGACATCGGACACCTTGATTCGCCATGCGTTGGTCCCCGTCGGAATCCGGCCGGTGGAGGGTATAAGAAGCGATGATTTCCTTCCCCACTGATCTATCATGCGAGCAGCAATATGGGTATGTGCGCCCGATGTATATTTCTAGTTCACGCTGACATCCCCAGCACCGATGGACGAAAAGGTCGACGCCATTTCGGCCACAAACGCCCTCGAGATGGACTCGGAGAAACACGTCGACAACGGGGCGAGCGTTGAGGAGTACCCCCATCCCACAGACGAAGAATTGCGGACCCTGCGCAAGGTCGCCGAAACCCTCCCACTAGTCTCGTTCTCGCTCTGTCTGGTCGAATTCGCAGAACGCGCATCCTACTACGGCGCGAAAACCGTCTTCTCCAATTTCATCCAGTTCCCTCTTCCCAAGGGTATGGCCGCTGAATCCTCTTCTTCGTTCGCACTTGACACATTCCAGGTGGAAATGGAGCCGGAGCCCCTCCGCGAGGCACGCAGGAGACGGCGGGTGCCATGGGCATGGGATTGCAGGCCAGTTCCGGTTTGGTGCTGCTGTTCAGCTTCCTAGCCTATGTCTTGCCCGTACTCGGTGGTTGGTGCGTTTTCGCTCTGCTCTTGCTAGTATTACGTGAAAGTGCTGATTTTCCAGGTGGGCCGATGTCTACATCGGTCGCTATAAAGCCATCTGTGTCGGCGTTGGCATCTGCGGCATCGCGCATATCATCCAGATTGTCGGGGCCATCCCATCGGTCCTGCATCGCGGCCCCTCCAACTCAGCTCCCCCGTTCATCATTGGACTGCTTCTCCTTGCCCTGGGCGCCGGCATCTTTAAGCCGAACATCGCGCCCACTATCCTCGATCAACATCGTCACCAGAAACAGTACACCAAGTCCCTCAAGTCCGGCGAGAAGGTCATCGTCGACCCGGAGCTGACCACCACGCGGACCATGCTCATCTTCTACGGCTTCGTCAATATCGGTGCCTTCTTCATGATCGCCACCACCTATGCCGAGAAATATGTCGGCTTTTGGCTGGCCTTTCTCCTTGCGGGCATCATCTACTTTCTCCTCCCCATTTTGCTGGCCTTGGTCTATAAAAGGACCTACAGGGTCCCCGCCAAGGGCAGTTCCGACCTCACCCAGGCAGCCAAGATCATCTCCTTCGCCCTACGACGCAGTCGCTTTCGAGTGTGGCGCAAAGACTTCTGGGACGGGGCACGACCCAGCCTCCTCGCGCGGCAGGGCATCCACGTCGACTGGACCGACAAGCTCGTCGACGAAGTACGCCGAACAATTGGTACCCCTCTCCCTCCATTTCCCAGGTGGCCTTATTAACAGAGACAACCAGCGGTCACCGAAATCTTTTGCTACTATCCCATCTGGTACCTCAACAACGGGGGCATCGGCTCCGTCCTCACCAGCCAAGGCGCCTCCATGACCACCAACGGCGCCCCCAACGACCTACTCAACAACTTCAACGCCCTCACCATCATCGTGAGCGTGCCCCTCCTCACCTACATCATCTACCCAACCCTCCAGCGTTTCAACATCCGCTTCGGCCCCATCACGCGCATCACCTTCGGCTTCGTCCTCGCCATGCTGAGCAGCGTCATCGGCGCCATCACCCAGTGGAAAATCTACGAAACCTCCCCCTGTGGCTACGCCGCAGCGTCCTCCTGCGAATTGGGCGTCAGCCCCCTCAGCATCTGGTGGCAAATTCCGAACACGGTGCTAGCCGCGCTGTCGGAGTGCTTTGCCAATGTGACGGGTTATGAGTTGGCGTATTCGCGCGCGCCGGCAGGCATGAAAGGCTTGGTGATGGCCATATTTCTCTTCATGAATGCTCTGTCCAGTGCGATCGGGGAGATCTTGCTCCCGGCGACTAGAGACCCCTGGTTGATTTGGATCTGGGCGGCCCCTGCGATTGCGCTCGCCCTGCAGACCATCGTCTTTTGGGTGCGCTTTCAGTCACTCAATCATGAGCAGTTTATTCTGACGGAGGACGATTATCAGCCGAATACGAGGGCGGAATAGTGGTGACAGTGGTAGTAGTGTGTCAGAATATGAAAGGTCACCCACGAAGTGCAAAAGTGCACAGATATCTTTGGTGTCCAAGTGGCAATTCTTTGCAATATACTCGTAGTATTGGTGGTAGTAGTCGTTTGTCGCAATACAAGATGTACAAAGATGACTTACAGAGAGCAGGTGTCTCGATATCTTTGGCGGCCTAGAGGCAATATTTGCTACATAGTGCTAGTAGTAGTCCAAGTAGTTATGTGGTGATTATTATTCCAGCTATCTAGACAGCAACTGCAGTAACTATGTATATCGATCTAGATAGTCAACCCTCTCACTTCAGGCCTCGTCTCTTAGGATAAGCTAGCCATCTACTCATGGCGGATGTGGGGATAGCGCTTGCTCAACGACTTAGCTCCGATCTCCTTCACATGGTCGGTAACCAGACACTCGTACTCCTCCGAGCCGAAGTAAAGCGTGTTCTCATCGTCAGGGGACTCGCCCGAGGAGAGCTTGTCACCGTATTGCCAGAAGAGATCGCCCGAGAGGCCCTCCGTCTTCAGAGCAGTCTGCTGCCACGGCTTCTCGATCTTGCACTGGTCCGAGGTCGCGCCGTACTCTTCGAACAGGCACGGCTTGTTCGCGGCCATACAGGCGGCGCCGTGGGCCTTGATCCACAGGTTGCCCCACTCGTTGTCGGTGCCCCCTATGTTAAGACAAGTTTATTAGCACGGGACGATGAATGTGGAACAGAGCGGTAACGATAAATAGGGAAGGACGTACAGGAATCAGGATACAGGTGGAAGGTGCCGAAGTCGATGGTGTCAATAGCCAGGTTCTTCGCGAAGTCGGAGCCCTCGTCGAAGCTGAACGGGTAGGAGCCGTCAGATTGGGTCTTGAGACCGAAGCCCTCTGTTCATTGCTTATCAGTATACTGTCGATAACGCTCAGTCGGCAGATATATGGTAACTTACCATCACCAATAGCAACCATGTGTTGCGAGTCCAGACCCTTGATGTACTTGCTGGTTTCGGTGATCCAGCCGGTCAGGACGGAGGTCTCGCACTGCTTGCAGCGGGGCTCATTGGCGAGCTCCCACGCGAAGATCCCGCTGGAGTTGCTGTAGCGGCTGACGACGGCCTTGATGTACGTCTTGTACGCGGCCTGGGCCTTCTCGTTGCCGTAGAAGTCCTCGCTGGTGCTGCCGCCATAGGCCTTGGCGTAGGCGGCCATACCGCCGTAATCGGTCCAGTAGTTAATGAAGGGGATGATCAGCTGGATGCCGTGCTTCTCAGCGGAGGCGACCACGGTGTCAAGACGCTGCAGACCGTCGGCGCCCGTGTTGATTTTCGAGGTGCCGTCCGCGTGAAGCTGGAACCAGGCCTCGCCTTCGCCGGGCTTCTCGTTGACGTCGTTGAAGCCCCACACGCGGAGGACCTTAAGCCCGGATTCTTTCAAATGGTCGAACACCAGGTCGACGTCGGCGGGCTCCTGCTGGAATCCGATCCAGTAGGCATTCGAGCCAGCGAAGTAGTCCGTTGCGCCGTTAAGGGAGAATTTGACGCCGTCCGTGGAGGGGGCGCCACCAGTGGCGCGTCGGCGGTGGGAGGGGCCCCGCGGCAGCGCAGAAGCCAGCTGCGCGGTTGCGAGGGCCGTCATAAAATGAGCGAATTTCATGTCGGTGTTTTTTTGCCTTTTCTTCGGTGTGTTAATGAGTGTGTGTTGGTTTGTTCTGGATGGTGGATCCGGGTGCACGATGGGTTTATATATGTCCTGTCTTCATGTTTGAGGGTTGTGTAGCGGCCCGCCTTCCGTTCTCAGGAAACATCCATAGCGGGAAAATGGCGCAGGCGTGAAACACTCTCGCATGTGGTACACTGCTTGATACAGACAGTGGAGATAGACGGAGCTTCAGATCTGGAACGGACGTCGATCGGCTGGTTGGTGTCGGTTGGGAGGCAGGCGCGATATCCGTGCTGGATGAGGAATGGTCCAATATAGCGTGGGTCGTCGGCGTTTCACGTCGCCAGTCCTGAATGGTGGATCTTTTCTGTCCACCGAGCCCCTCAATTCTGCAGCTTCGACTGACACAGTATGAAGACCAAAATCGTGATGATCTTAATACCAATTTGAACCTGTTGCAGTACAGGTGGGCAGTTGTCCGCCTTGCATCCGTGACACGAAAGGACTAGCCTGACAATAGGAGAGCGCTACAGCCAACGTCAATCATTCCCACCGGCCTGAATAATCTGGGGTCTAGCCTCGATCTAACTGGAACCGGCGGAAACAACTACTGACAGCTCGTTGTGGTGGTTGGCGCCAAGATATCCGAGTCCCATGGGGAATGTCGAGCTCTGTCAACAGCAATCAAGGATGTATGGGGTGATGATCGACAGGAACAGACGGAGGTCCAGATCCGGAACGGACGCAGTCTCTCCAAAAATCAGTTGATCTCTTCGTGTCAATGTATGCAATTGTCCCGTGTGCCTGTGATGTTATCATTGGCGCGCGATCATGGCGACATCAGTCAACACAAGACAGTGGAAAGATCCGTATAGATAAAGTACACATCACTAGAATTAATGGCGCAATCTGTACCCATGAGGCAACCACAGGAGAGGGGTAGACGCGTTCATGTTGTTTGTCAATGTGACATTCACCACATCCTCAGGCTAGATGTCTCGATGTGCGTTTGCAGAGGGGGCTAAGTCGCGATATCAAAACACAACATAACGTCAACAGTACCTCTGGATCAAGTCATGTCAAACTCGCCATACCCGTCGCCCGTCACCAGATTTTGGGAACCATTTCTGGTCGATGTGCCTATTATAATGCGCTTCACCGCTCCACTATTACGAGAGACCCAGTCATGATCGGTTATCAGCCACTGTACCAAATACCGAATTGGTATATGGTGGGGCTTGATGTCTGATATTCCCGACAACTGTCAAAAATAGCTTCTGGGTGGCGGTCGGACTAAAGTACACTCGAACCAGTCTTCATGTGTCGCCGTATAACAGTACTCCACCGCGGTGGCCAGAAGCTCCAGCGATCGCATGGCGGTTCGCGGCTCTGGATGACTTAAAGCAGTGTTCCTGGTCGGTCGGATAGTGAAAACCGGATGGCAGTGGCAACATGGGCTCAAAGGGCACTCGAAATGTGAAATTTACAGTCCAACCCGGTTTCTAGACCGCAGAACCAGGTCGTTCCAGGTTTTTGACGCAAGATTGATTCGTTCGAGCCGTCGGAGGCGGCAAGAAACAGGATATCAGGCTTAGGTAATCAACGCGCCCAGAGCGGCCAATCAAATGGATCATCGCCAGAGCAGTTACATCATTCTATGCAAACTCGACAACAGACCATCGCGGGGGACATAAGAAGCTATGTTTTGGGGCTCATTGTGGGCGTGCGACACTCTGCAGGGATAACGATGCAGCAATTTGTACAATCAGACGTTTCGGGTTCGACCTTTCAAACCCCCAGCAGGTGAGCAAACCCATATCAGAACGATAGATCCGGCCAACTGAACCAGTCAGGTACACGGACCTATGTGTGGTGGACTCTAGAGTCCGAGATAATACATGGTATGTCAGACGTAACCTCCGTCCCAAGCATGGAGCATATAAGCTGACACCGGACGGGCAGCACCGCATTCGACCGTCTCTATCGGCAGCCCGTGACGGTCAAAAAAATCAGCAGACCGTTTGATCGGATCGAGGCAGTACGGTATGCGTATCAGCAAGTTCGACTGGCGGGGAAATTGCAACACGGCAACGTGGGTAGACCTTTGGAGCTGCCAATCGGGTCAGGGTGTTGACGGGCTACAGCTCGTCTTTCTCCAAGATATCTATATCTCCCCAACCGAGGATATGTAGGATTATGACCCAATGCGGACCATATTCTCATCCAGGTTGTGCTAACGACACTAGTTATCTCATCACCGAGCTCCATGGGATTCCGCTGGCCGGACTCCTCAAAAATGGACCGTTGGACCCTGCACTGGTGCAGTTCCTGATGTATCAGATTCTAGTAGGTACCCGGAATGACAGGCGGCTCTACAGAATGTGTGACTGACCGGTGTAGCGGGGACTCAAATACATCCACTCCGCAGATGTCGTCCATGGGGACCTTACACCAAGTAAAGTCTTCGTGGACCGCAATTGTGATGTGAAGCTCAGTGACTTTCACATCGACCGAGAAGCAGACCCTAACGGCACGGACCACACAAGTCTATACTACGAAGCACCCGAAATCATGCTGGCGTGGTCGCTGTATGACATGGCGGTGGATATCTTCAGCGCGGGGTGTATATTCGCCGAAATGATGCTAGGGAAGCCATTGTTCACAGGCAAAGATCATGTCCAACAACTGGGGTTTGCCACCGGTCTACTGGGCACTCCGCCTCAGTGGATGGTCCAAAAAAGCAGCTTAGCAGTAGGTGAGATGGTGACTGTGAAGACGCCCACCGGCTAATATCAGTTTAGAATATCAAATCGCGATCCTGGTCTGGCTACCAACCTCGTCGTATTTCCAGTATATTCGCACACCACGATTCAGAAGGTATGGCGCTCTCCATCCTCACCTCGTTGTATGAGACATCACTGACGGCATTGCACAGCTGTCAACTTGTTAGACAGCATGCTTAGGTACGATCCTCGCGATCGTATTACCGCCGACGATGCCATCACCCACCCCTATCTCGAGCGGTATCATGACGCGAGCGACGAACCTGTCGCTGTTCAAAAGTTCGACTGGACTTTCAAGGATGCACAGATCCCAGGAGCAACATGGAAGTGGATGATGTATGCCACATGATTTCCTTCCCCCACTCTCACTAATAACGTCTCTAACATATAACTAAGCTACTCGGAAGCAACAAGACACCATACAGAGCAATCTCTTTGATTCATCACTGTTTTACATGACCGAAGCGTTAATTACTTTATGTCGGCGTTATGTTTTGGCGGTTTTGGCGGACGAAATCAAGCTTGACTCCGGAAATTGATATGTATATAATATACCCTTTAATATGAGTGCAGTGAACGTATCAAATGGAGTTGGCAACATAACCCATCAGAGAATATCTCGACGAGACTAGGGACCAGGTCTCTACATGACAGGCCCTAGTGCATGACATAGAAGCCGTCGTGGCATATCATTAGCATTGGCCCACGGTGTAGAGCCGCCATGACGGATATGGAAATATCTGCCCCGTATTGTCTACAGACACCTCGCGAAATCATTGGCCACTTCCCATACAGTTCTACGATGTTCCTTTGCTCTACCACGGCAACGTCGGGTGTGTCTATCGTAGGAGATATGTGGAATTATCTTTGTTTCTGGTGACATTCGACACCGTGATCTCGGATCACAGCTTTAATTATAATATCATGTCGTATGGTTTGTATTAGCCAACGTGCTGGGTCTCGACATTGTTATGATGATACTCTTTTGTACATGGTCAGTGAACATATATATTGACATGTCTATATCCTTATGACACGAAGAAATAGTCGCAAAGAATGCCTTTGGAAGGTGATCGCACGTACACTTGAGCAAACCAACCCAACTTAGTATATACTAATTATCTGTCAGAACCCTGGTGGAAACCAGGCAACGTGCTTTGATGTTCATGCCGAAACTCAACATTCCTATTGTGGAAGAAGCAGTGACTGGCAATCACCTAAATATTTCGCAGACCTACACCATTTGCAGTCCTCTTCTCACACGTTTAATATTTGTATCTTGATATTTTACCCTTCGCAACATCTTTTTATATTGAACTCATCTTTCTTACCACTGTTTCCATCCAGTTTTTCCATTTATCAGAGGTATGCACTCCGTATTCTTGGCCAGATCTGCCTGACCCACACGGCCCGGATCCCCAGCCACCTGCCCGCATCAACCCTAATCCATAAGAACAGCACGCACGGGAACTTCATATTCAATCGCCTTTCAGCAATCAGGTAAAGATAACCTCAAACCATTGCCGCCGGGTATATAACTCTGTCGAGCGACCCCCATCAGAACACTGATAGTACCGACTTCAGCCACTCTCTCAATGTCCCGTAATAGGGGCGTATTAGCGCGACCCCACCCCAAGTGGGAACCTGTTCCCTTCACCTGGCGCTGATCTGACACTAGACTCTAATTAATAGTCGGGTGGTTGGGTGGCTCAATGGACAATTATCTCCGCCACTAGTGATGATCAATAGGCGGTAGTGGTGCCAGCGCGTGAGACGCTCAGTCGCATGAGAATCCATCATACTGGTGCCTTGAATCGAGTCGCCGTTGTGAGCGCATGCTCGGAACAGCAAAATCACTATGCCGCTGCAGTTCCCCCAAGCCCACGGCGACTGGAAATTTGACCTTGTCGGTCTTCTCGCAATCATCGGAGAATCGATCGTCTCCGAGGTCGTCCAACCGCTAACCGCCTCAAGAACAATTTTTCTCCCCCGACTGCTGCCCGCGCCTCATGCATTAATCCGACCCTCGCGACGGACGGCTCTCCCGTCGCGACCGGTCCTGGGGATAGGCGTCTACTCGAAGCAGGAAATCACCAGTCTGCCCTATTTCCCGGACATGATCCACCAGCTCGACCTGCTCCGGCCGTACGAAGTCCAGGAATACCACATCAGCCTCGCAGCCAAGGCCACCGGCGACCGCCACCAAAAGATCGCGACAGTCAAATTTTTCTCGCCGCTAAAACTCCTTACCGTCTTCAGCTTCCTCTGGACAGTGGGGATCCTCGTCTGGGCGATTCTGCTGGGTGACGGGCCTGCCGTGGTCGCCATTGTCTTAGTCTCGGCGGCCAGTAGCCTCCACAGCGCAGCGTCATTCTGGAAGACTAGTATCACCAGACTGTCTAGGCTAGGTGCGCATAAACAGGGTGACATTGTTCTTAGGACCCGCGAGGGCGCCTTTGTCGTCGTCCATTGCACCGAGGAGGTTGCCAGACTCTTATACACCGCGCCGCTAGGCTGCGACTACGTGGCGGGAGGAACGACATTCCAGATCCTCATCTCGGTGGGGACGCTTCTATTAATGGTGGGCATTGTGGTCATGTCAAACTGCAGCTGGACGATGCAGGTGGTCCTCGGCGCGTCGTACCTCGCCTTGAACGCACTCTACATGGTCTGTGCCTTGACGCCGGCCGTCAGTCAGTACTGGCATTGGGACTTGTCGTTATTTGAGATAGTTATGCAGAGGAAATTTCGTGACTCCTATACTGAGGCACTGTGGGAGGCAATCCGTGCCACACGGGAGACGGACTGGGTAGTCCGAGGGAGGCATCTCCCTAATACTTCCAGCTGGAATAAATGGCTTGACGAAGCGATGGAGAATTACGATAATGATGATTGGGAGGCCATGAAGGCTAGAGACCAGTATTTCGGTGAGGAAAGTCGTGAGGCTGGCGAGATCGTGCCCACAAGCGATGACTATGGCAGTTGGCCGACAGTGGATGGGCTCAGGAGGAGGCCTACGATCTTGTAGAATTGAAAGATAAAACGCCAGGTCAGTATTATTACTGACCAGTGAATTGAGTGCCTACCAGTTTTCACTCAAAGTCTTTCCATCGTAGTCTGGTTTTGTGCTTCCTTTTGTAAATATGATTTCCAATCCACAGCGGCATGACCAGATTGACCAACTTGTAATCGACACTCGGGTCGCGTTAATATTTACCACAGGAAATTAAACGCAGCGATTGACTTCAATTTTAACGCTATGGGCAGCCGAAATAACAATACTAGTCACAACAGACATCCGAAGTTACTCACAAAAAGATAATTCACGATTCCACTGCACTCTCCTCGTCCTCGTCATCCTCGTTATCCTCCTCGTCCTCGTCGTCCTCTCCCTCCTGCTCCTCTTCCACCTTCCGGTGGCCGCTTTCAATCGCCGCCTTTCTAAGACGGCAGGACAAGTTCGTTGCCACGTCGTCGGCCTCTAGCTCATCCTCTGGTACGTGACCAAAAGTATTCACGGTGAGGGAGGGCGGCAACTCCAGGCCCGAGATGTTGCGCGCAAGGGAAGTCAGTGTCGATCGCTCTAAGTAAGGGCCTGGGGAGGCCCAAAAGGTCTTCTTGTTCTCAACGGTACTGGTAAAGGCATCATTGCTGGCCCTCTTTGCATTCAAGTATGTGATTATGAATCTGAAGTACAGGTAGCGTCTGGCCGGCCGGCTTGGGGTTAGGAACACTAGTTCGCGCTCATCAAGCTCCTAGTCAAGGAGAATATAGTCAGCTTAGATATGGGGCAACAAACATACAACAGATGTAGCTCACATGGTATTTGATAGTCCAAAAGGGCCGGTCTTTTTTGATCATTTCGCCCATTGGAGGTATAGTCATACTTGCCGCCATGTTGTTCCTTATTGTCTTATCAACCAGCACGCACTTCCATTTCTGGTCGGCCTGGTAGTTTTCGGTGGATGGGATGATGACAATTAGCCCCTTGTCCAGGGCCATTTCTAGTTGCCCAAGGAGGGAAATCCCATTTCTGGGGTCCTCGAGGGGGGCATCATCCTCCCCAAAGAGGTACGAGATCTCGGGGCCCGTGAGCGACTTGCTAACGAGATGCGCGGCCTTGACCCGGGCTGAGGGCCACCACCCAGTGAGATGGCACCAAGCACCACCATCCTCAGCGGCTCCATATCTGTCCAAAACATCCTTTCTGAATTTTGCCTGCTGGTGCTTGGAGAACACCCGCTTCTGATTTCCGGACGCAGTCATCACTCGTGGCACGATGGAGTTCGCATAGGCCCGCTCATAAAAGTCCACGTCAGGCTCTTCCTTTCGATCCCTTTTGTAGGTGGTAATTGCCTCATCTATATCCTTCTCAATGATACGCTTGGACTTTTGAAGGGCATTGAGGTCGTGGTTAGTCGAGGCAAGGGCCTCGATAACAAAGTCGAGCTCACCCTGATACTCATCTTGGTCCATCTCGTCTTTCGCATCCTGGAGCCCTTTCCGGTACGTCCTGTGAAAATCCTGGTCTTCCTGGAGCTGGTTCAACTTCTCGGCCAGAAAGTCCGAGACTGACGACGAAGCCACCGATATGTTCGAAGTCGTGCTGACCTTTCTTGTCTGATGATCTCGCAGCTTGGCTTGGGTTGGTGGGGGCATCAAAGAAGAACATCTGTACGACATGATGGGTGGTAGGGGTTTCAATATCTAGATACCAGAGTTGAAATTGATGAAAAGGAGATGGAAAAGATGGACTGAGGGTCAAGTCGATGGAGTGCAGACGGTGTAGATGGAATGAACACGGAGTAGATGAAAGGAAAATGAAAGGAGAAGGAGGAAACAGTGAGAGGAATGACACACAATGACGGGGTAGGGAAGGTTAACGAAAGTGAAAGACAATCCCGAGTGAGGGTCTCTTACTTCAATTACCGAACAAGAGCCATTCCGGGAACTATCATACTGGAGAATGTCATCAGAATGACTGCCCGTTGACTCGTAGTCATAAGTATTGTCATTTCCGGAAATACTCGAGAGACCATACAGAACTCTAAACAGCATGAGGGTTCAGACCCGCCAATACGACTGAGCAATTCCCTCAATCAATGGTGTCAAGTGTATCATCCCATGCAAAATTTCTTATGATTGTATTTCTCTTTTCTATCACTCGCCACCAAGTCTTTCTAGCATCTCTAGATAAAAAGGAATGAACATGAACCTTAGGATATAACATATAAATTTAGATAAAAAAAAAAAAAACATACAACAGCCGGGATTCGCATGTGGTCACCCACCATACTACTAACCGGCCGGCGTGTGGCTTAAGTACGGCTGAGCGGACGGGAAGCCCTGTTCTCCACACCCTATGGTCGTATGTACTAGGTTCTTTAATGCAATGGAATATAATGGGTCTTGATATATTTAGCCTAGCCCTTAGGTTATCATCACTTCAGTCCGTATCCTTCAATTTCAAGCTATTCAGGTCTCGGGCCGTATCCATGGCACTCTAATTCGAGAGAAATACACGCCGAGCACACAGGACGGTCCTCATCGCACTTCTTTTTGCGTACCATTATTACTTCGTGCGGCTATAGGCATAGATAAGTATCACCGACCATACCCAGAAAGGGTTGTGAGATGGCTCTATCCAACGCTGCTGTTTTGGCCAAGGAGAACCGTGATCTCCGCGATCAAAACGATAGAGATGAGTGAAAAAAAAAAAAAGGCTTGGTCACGATGTTAAATGACTCTAAATAACAGTATCTCGGTGCAAGAGGCTAGGGATCTAACACTCCAAAGAAATCAGCCAGGAAGTATTATGGAGGAAGTCATAGAAAATTCTGCACTGTCTTCTTCAAGCTATTGATAGGGCTGATCCACGAATAATCTCTTCAAAGCGTTTTAAAAGAAACTCTTCATGTTTAAGCTTGGTGTCATCCTAATTGTCTAAGGATAGATTTCTGTTCAAAGGATTTGTTGGATGCTTAACCAAACCTGTAATTCAAAAGGTTGAGAGAAAATTGGCGAAGTGACTGAAGGAGCCACACTGGTTTATCTTACTTATCAACAGATTGAAAAGGCTTATAGTTACTGTGATCCTATTTCGCAGTCTATCAATATCCACTTGATCCCAATGCTCCATGCATGATGAGCCCTGTTCTTTCAATCACGGGCTGTATAAGCCAGCACATCTGATTAGGCGAAATTCACAGCCTTCTAATATTGCTTGAATCTCCTTCTTCTGTCGCTCATCCAACCCGTTGGCGGGGATGCCACGAACGTCATGAAGGACAGTCTACACTCGTTGAACCTTATTTTATTCCATGTACCAATTTATTTATTTATTTATTTTTTTCACTGGCCTCTATTCGTTGGCAGGGACCCCGGTGTATTTTGTGATCATACTCCCCTGAGATTGTCTTGAACTGTTTGGGTGCTTGGGAGAAGAATATCTTGAGATAATTCTCCGACGCTGCAACCGAAGCTCATCTTCAGTACAAATTGCATCATAAAATCCTTATAGTAGGATGACCCAACGTGTCAAGTGCTTTGTCTGATGGAGAAGGGGAAGTTGATCGCTATAGCCCGTGGCAGCTACATCGTTGGAAGCATTTCACTCGGCCCAACCCGAGGCCTAATAGTAACAGACTCCTGCGTGATTGGGCCGCAATTCATCTGTCTAATGTAATGCGAGATCTCCCTCATTCTGATGCTGAAAATTGAAGAATTCCTGAGCAATCTGAGACAATCTGGAGTAGTAACTTGATTTGATTGTACTTAAGAGTATATTATCTTGTCTGGTTGTAACCCGTCTGAGCACCGTACGCTGCGTGTCTCCCACTTTTTCAGGTGATGAGCAAGGTACTATGGGAGAAATTGATGATGTAACGCTGCTCTAGGTTGCCGTAGATAACCTCCGTGGTTGATTGAGTTGGTTGCTATGATTCAACTGACATCGCCACAGCCTCATAGGCATTTCGCGAGCGTGATCAGTGCACTTCTCCATAATTCGCCGAGCCCAATTAGCCAATGGAATGTTTTACAAATAGGTCTTTTACAACTAGGAGCGGGGTAATCAAGGCATGCAGTTCCACCAACAGGGGTCATGCCAGGCTGCCGGCGCCTTCGCCACTTACCTCCGGAGTAGGCCACTGAAAAGTTTTATGTGAAGAACAGCCCCAAAAATGGAATTCAATTGATGGGTGGTAAACAAAATATCCCCATGAGAAGCAGGGGGAATTGGGATTCATCCAAGACTGGGCGGGGTTGTCGTGGTTATCGAAGATTGCTAACCATTCACTATTTCTGGGGGGTGAAAGTCAATGTCGTATAAGTCTCAAGAGCTCTTTGTTTTCTAACATTCCAGATACAGTGAAAAAGATTTTGTCGATAAATGTTGGAAGTAGGCAGGGGAACTAGAATGGTGCATACGCCTCCGCGTCCGCCTAGGAAACCACAGAACCTGCCCTGTTCTAAAAATGGCAGGCTTCTTAATTTGCCGATTTGGATTCCAAATATACCCTTATTACAAATATATCCTTATTCCAGATATATCCTTATTCCAAATAAATCCTTGATCGTCCAGCCGGATTCACTGCCCTGCCAAGGGCGTCTGATTAATCCCTTAAATGGTGTTGGCACGATCTCAACCAAACCGCTCCCGACTACATCCAGATAAGTGCCCCCCCCCCCGGGTCTGCAGACGTAACCTTTTTCGATCCTTCCGAAATAGCAGCTTTTCAATCAGGTTTATGTAATAGAACAGGGGCAGGAAATTGGATCCAACTTATTCTGCCAAACATTCTAGCCCCAAAGGTCTAGCTACCTGGACTTACTTAACCTAGTGAAGCACTACTAATTTGTCTGACACAGCAGCGTCAGTCAGGAAGGCCATAGGAAAAACTTAGTTATATGGTCCTTGAGCAATAAGTCTTTTTTCAAGTCACTACAGCTTCAACACCCTTCTACTACAATTATTGAGATGAGTAATATTTGCAAGCCACCTTACAACTAGAAACGATTTAATCCATTGATTAAAAAGTCTGTTAATAGTAAAAGGGGGCCTTTTTTCCAATCAAGTGATTGTTGACATCTTACTGATTATAGTACGACCCGTGAATTCCCTTATAAAGGTCCCGGTTAGAGCTGGATGCAAATTCGTATATGAGATGTAATAGATGTTGCTTCACACTTATGTGGCTATTTGATTAATATAACAGTATTGCTGCGGAGGATAAATGAAGGGGGGTTATTAGATCAAAGCCAGAACAGGGAGGGCTAGGGCTGCAAAAATACAGCTATCAATTCCATGCTCAAAACATTCTACCTATATTGGTACAAAATCTCACTACAAGTATACTGGCAGAAAAGTTTTGAGATAACACCTTGACTATGGCTAATGTTGGTATATTCTAGGACAGTGTCTTAGATGTGATGCTGGACTTTTGTACAGCCCAAAAATGGACTCACTTATGCACGTGTTTTACTACTATTATAGAAATTGAAGGTTGAAATTAATTTTCTATACGTAGGAATGATAAGAATACAAATAAGATGCTTATATACGCCATTGCCACCATTGTTACAAACATATTCCAAGATGGCTTAAAGATTTGCTGAAAATACAATCAGGTCGCCCTGCCATTTTGAATGGACAGAAGAAAGACATTGAAGATGATTTCGATTTGATAATGAATATGAGTGAAATAGCTAAATCACAGAAAGCAGAAATATGCCGGACCCACTCCCTCCAGAACAGAATGATGGGGGGGATATTAGGATGTAGAATACTACTGATATGCGCAGCTTTATACAAATTAAATTGGATGACGATCTCTGTAATTCGGTATTGTACAAGCCATTAAGGAGCTCAAACATACCACATACAACATGAATCCAGCGAGCGTAAACATATGACATCATAGGACCTTTGTTCCTCTTCTCGTGTTGTTTGAACACTCTTACTGACCCGTTCATGGTTCTCCCCCATCCACACACCATCTCCTCACTGTGAGAAACTATACGCAATTGACGTCTTTGGATACCTCCTGCATATTCTTGAAGTGTCCTCTAGCAAGAATCCCTCCTCCCGCTCATCCTTGGAAGAGGGCCTTCCCCTGAAGAAACCGATTAGCCCCTCATTCACATCTAAACCTTTCCGGTGTTTGGCTCCAGGGCATCCTGCATTCTGGTCGCTGGCAAAGGGTTGGGCTGGACTGGGACTATCGAAATTGCTTCGGGGACGGGTGTTGGGTACGGTATCAGCCCTGCGGCCCATGCCGTACCCTAGTCAAAATAACGTGGACATGGACGTTTCCCGCCAATCAAACAGTGCAAGATCCTGATACCCCAGGTTTTCGTGGACCCCGATACCCTTGGCTTTAGCGGAGAACTCTAAACCACACTCTTTGAACCGATGTATTATTTATAGATCCCTCACAGCCTTGTCCACACACCCTTCAGTGGGATGTAACCTTGTTGGGTAATTGTCGGACACCTTTGTCGCATGACCTTATCTTTGGCCGGAGAATGAAAGAATATGTTTCCCCTATATTTTAGCCTGTCCCTTGAAGCATATCACGGTACATATATAGTGACGGAGAGAGCCTTCCGGGAGTGAAAATATTTTCAACCATTCTTCGTCTACTCTTCTCAACTTCTATTTTATGTGCTGTTGTATTCATTCTCCAAGCTATGCAAAGCCCCCCTAAATGCCCCCCACTTGGGAAGTTCGCGGTCGGCTGGATTGCAGCACTACAGAGCGAGTACCTAGCTGCCAAGCAAGTACTTGACTTTGAATACACCCAACCTGCCTTTGACCTCTCGTTAAGTGGTGGCAACGTCTACACCTTCGGCCGTATAGGAGAGCACCATGTGGTGATAGCCACGCTCGGACGATATGGCACGCTCCCAGCCGCCGCCGTCCTGAACGGGCTGCAAAAAAACTTTCCATTTCTACAGTTTGTACTCATGGTTGGCGTTGCTGGCGGCGTACCAACTGGGGCAGATGATGTACGCTTAGGGGATGTGGTGGTCGCCAACAGAATGGTTCCGTACTCGGTCAACAAGAAGTGCCCGAACGCAGAACAGTTCAACGGAGTCGTCGTCATACCGGAGGATAATCTGCTGTCAGCCGCCACCAAGGTTCGAGCAATGATTGAGGAAGACACCGTCGATCTCGAGAACATCATCATAGAGAGATTTGTCAAAAACAGGCGCATTCAGGACAAGTTCCGCCGCCCTGAGGATAGATCTGATCGTCTGTATCAACCCAACTACGAACATACCAGCGACCGCGACTGTGACTGCCTACAGGATACATCACGCGTCCCAGCAAAATTAGTGATCCGACCCGAACGAAAGCAGTATGATCGAATCAAAGTCCATTGCGGGGCGATCGGATCGGCCGATTGCGTGGTGAAGGATGCCATGGAGCGCGACAGACTGGCCCACCAGTTCAAACTTCTCTGCTTCGATATGGAATCCGCTGGCTTGATGGCCAATTTTCCTTGTCTTCCGATTCGAGGCATCTGCGACTACTCCGATTCCCACAAAAACAAAGGCTGGCAAGGATACGCTGCGGCTACCGCCGCGGCGTTTGCATTGAGCTTGCTCCACGTCGTTCCTCATCAAAATTGGCAGGCCGCTGGTCACAATATTGATGCGGAAGCTTTGCGCCAGCACATTAAACAAGTTTTCGATGGCGTCATGCGAGTGATATCCCCTGGAGGAGAAGGGGAGACATTGACACTGGAAGGCGCAAGGCAGGCCCTAGACGAGATTCGAGATACCGTCCACAAGCTAGATCAGTTGTCTGAGACAAGGACGCAGGAACTCAAGGAAACCACCCAGTCCGCACTGGACAAGAAAGCCGCCGATATCGACCAAGCCAAAAGCCGGCTAAACCAGATAGAGACGGAGCAAAACCACATGCGGAAATTGCTGGAGGAGTTGTGTGGGAAGATTGCACAACAACATGAGAAGAGCCCGCAGGAAGAACGGGAAAAGTGGGATACCGTCCACGACGAGGCTCAGAAGAACAGCACATGGTTGAAGGAGAGGACTGAATCGACCACTGCAGCGCTGGAGTCTACTGCAGAGATGCTGGGCAATGTGGGCAGTCTCACGAATAACTCCGAAATCAGGAAAACGAGCAATCACGTCAATGGCGCTATCGGGATGGCGAAATGGTTTTTCGATCAAACAAAACACTTTAGTTCAAATCGGGATAAAAAAGAAGCGTCCCCTTCAGACATTTCTTCGAGAGCAAATTCCGCGACCGAACGTCAGGGAGGCAGAAGGAAAACACCTATTGAGCGTCTTCCACCGCCCTCTTCAGACGAAGTCATTGCAAAGTCCGGACATGTTGGCCAGGGTGGAAACTTAAGCAAGCCCTGTCTTCCACCGCCCTCTCCAAACGAAGTCATTGCAAAGTCCGGACATGTTGGCCAGGGTGGAAACTTAAGCAAGCCCTGTCTTCCACCGCCCTCTCCAAACGAAGTTATTGCAAAGTCCGGACCGGTTGGCCCAGATGGAAACTTAAGCAAAGCCTGTCTTCCACCGTCCATTCCAGACGGTGTCATTGTGAAGTCCGGACCTGCTGGCCCGGGTGGAATTCTAGGTAAACCCGCTCTGCCGCCGCGAAACCTTAACGGGTCTGAGCGGGCCTCGACGAAAGAGTCCCTGCCAGCGCTACCACCACGACCGCCGCGTCCATCCCCGGTGCCCTACTTGGAAGCGGTACAAAGGGGATGTGTTATCCATCTACATCCAGTTACTTCCACACTAGTCTCACAGTCACCTCGTGTATGGAATTTCTATGCCAATTGCTCCCAGTCTGTGCTAACAAAACGCAATCTCACCAGTCACAGTCACCGAGCTCTATCGAAAACGAACCCAGCATGACCTCGACCCCTCCATCTTTGTCGTCGTCATCATCAGAACCCTTCTCAGCCCCAATCTTAAAAGTTCGCCGATCAGAGAGAACCGCACCGCCACCTCCCCCCAAGCCCTACCGTCTTAGGCCAACAAGTTCACTTCCGAGGGTAGAGGTTTAACCGAGAGACTGCAGAAAAGGGCTGACTGTTACTGAGATGGTTCGTTGTGTTGAGCGGAATGTTGATCAATCACAATAAATAATAGCTTATATAGACCGTGTGGAGTCCATCCGTGGTTGGGAAAGGGTGCAATTTTGGTCACTCCATACGTCTGGATATTACTCACAGTACAGTCTACTTGGATTAATTTTATTAAGGTGGAACTCTGTTTAGCACGTACAATGTCTTCCCTTTGAGCCTTGACATGGTCTTTACGCCGTGGCCTCCGGGCAGGTTTCGGAGGAGCGCGACCTGGGTGGTAGTAGTGGTGGTCATATTTTATGAGGCCCTCAGTTACATTCGAACAGGATAGCACACTGGCACTGCCATACTACATCTTATCCGAGCCACTAACAAGGAGAAATCCTGTAGCACCTTCCAGGTAGTCTGCTAGGACAAAATGTAGAGCATGATTGCATACACCAGTATCGCACGATTCCAAGACGCCCTATCCATCGAGTTCTTTCCTGACCTTGACATATATGCGATTCTGGCCCGGCCGCGTCTGTGCGTTAAAACAATCCCGCACGATCTCAACGTTCACCTTCGTTGTATCGTAGAGTTCGAATTCAAATTTACGCAGTAGCGAGGCGAGGACGATGTTAAGCCAGCAATAGGTCATACTTAAATTGGAGTTAGTGTCTCAGCAACGATGGATAATAAAGATGTGTTTCCTAAACTCACTCAGGCCCGAGGCACCCCTGGTTGCCTTTGCAAAATGGAACCAGATACTTCTCTAGTCTTCTATCCGCCCATCGCCCGGGCTGAAAACTTAGAGGATCCGGAAAGATGTCGGGGTCACGGAGAATAAAATGGTTCGACATGCTGACTGGGGTCTGGCATTGTGTTTATCAATTAGTTGATGATCCGTCCATGTACAAGGGAAACTCACGCCGGGTGGAATCTCCCAACCGTTCCAGTAAATTGCCTCGTCTGGAGAGATTCGAGGTAAACGAGAAGTAACAACAGCGGAGATTCGTAGTCCCTCCTTAATCACAGAGCTCTGTCGTGGACATTAGATATGATCAGTAGGCTGGTGGGAGGATATAACCCGGGTACGTGCCAGATAGGGAAGCCTTTCCAATTTGTCCCATGAAGGACAAGCTTTCTTATCCGGAATTGCGAGCATCAACTCCTCTCGCAGGTGTTGGTAGACGTCCTGATTATCAAGGACATGGAACATCGTCAATGCAAGGACCTGGGATGGGGCATCGGTCCCCGCGACAAGTAGGAACTTTGCTTCGTCGATGAGACGTGGAAGCTCCTTTTCCCCGTCGGGCAACTGGTCATTGTCAAGTATATCATAGAAAATCGATCTCTCCTCGCTTTTAACCGGGGTGGCAGATTTCCGCATGTCATACAGCTGTGTCATTCGTGCCGCAATCTCCTATCGTTCTGTTAGGGTCCTTCTATGGCTCAAAGGCGAGAAAATTACTTGCATCTTCAATGGGTTGGACATCCTTAAACTGAGGCTTTACACTGGCTGCAAGCCACATGGGGACGATGCGTGAAAGTGTAAACAGAAGAGGAAAATGTCGAACAAGTATCAGGCTCTCAAAGATCCCATTGACGCCCTTTTTCCACTTGTCCGATAACACTGGCCCGTCCAGGGTTCTCGCGCATAATCTATCTCCAAATGCGTAATGGGAGACGACGTCCACCGCGAATGACAAAAAGCAGGTATGAAGTTCTACAGCACCGTCTGTGTCCTTGGCCCTGCGTAGATGTCGACAGACTGCGTCCACCTTTTGCTGAATGACAGGCTGAAAGGACATGACCGATCGTCTGGCGAGGAACGGACTGATCATGCCCCGTCGCATACGATGTTGTCTATGCTCTGCTGCACCAAAGCTGGACCCCCTAGCCATCGTCGAAACAAGCCACCCATACTTATCCCTCTTCTTTGTTGGCCCAGCGTATAGCATGGTGTAAAAGTCCGGGTCTTTGATATGCAACTCGAAGGGATTAATACGGACAATGGGTCCATACTTTGCATGCATGCGTTCAATTTCGAACATGAACTGCCCACCTCGAATCACATCGTGGTACATTTCATACCACCTTGTTGCGGCGGCAAGTTTGGGCCCAGGAAACCTGGCCAGCGGGCTCAGGATTAGTCGGTGGATAATATTGAGCAGTACATAGAGAATAATGGCAAGTGCCAGAGCTTTGCAAAGAACTGCATTCATCATGATACAGGGAGACCTCCCTACTTAACTAGGGATTCAGATATCAGAAAAAAAATTGTCTTGATCATGCCGTGGCTGACTCACAGATTATTGGTGTTTTGGTCCAATTGTTTTATAGTAAATTGTTAGATCGTTCTTGCTTATCGCGAAATGTTATGGTTGAAGTGATTGAATGCATTCCTGTCTTTCCTCCCTTGTTCACCCCTGCGAATTTCTCAGGGCTTGGCAGTCTCAATCCAGCAGCTTTTATAGTTAGGCACTGTTACCCACTACTCTGGGCTCGCATAGTGTGACAGATCTTATTAGTAGACTAAAAGTAAACGTTCATCAGTCTAGTGCTGGGGTTTGGCATGCATTCGTCACTTGAATGAAGGCAGTCTCACATGTTAATTGCATTTTGGTCATCTGTGTGGGGCTCAAGATGTCCGTTGCAGAATCTATGCAGGATACATGTGCTCTAACAACATCTAGTAGTAGCGGTAGTGAGATCCTTGGATGTAATCAATTCATGGTTATTGACATTATCTCTATGACTTGTCTTGGTGGATCTTGTCCTGTGACCTATCATACATCTTGGATGAATGGTATGATATACCAGCACAAAACAGACTGCAAGGGTGCTTCATCCACTATTTAGGCTTTATAGTATTGGATATAGCATATATTCACTTCTTCAAGTCTGTTACCTTGTGGTGCGTCCGGGCGCAGCAAGTCTAGGTTATCGATCAATGTAAACTATGATAAAAAACGACCATGCTTTACCCTTTCTGACGATGGGAACGACAAGAGCTTTTACCAGCCACAGTTATACATAGCGAGTAATTTTTATTCCATCCCTCATGCAGCTACGGATATGGTTGAGATATCCTAGAGTCTGCCACGCGATTGCAGATGTGTCGATGCTTGAAGCTGGCCGAGCAATCGGGCAATGAGATCGGATACGTTGGCAGTCAACCTTGATGACTGCCTGTACCTGCATGTGTGGCAGTGACAGCTGCCTTGAACGACTATATTCCGGGAATAATAACGGTATAGCGGAAAGATTAGGGATATGAAGTAGGCAATGCATTTATGCTTATTTTAGCCCCACTGATACGTTTGTATGAGTCCTATTTTATATTGAGCGTGGGACTGCCCCTTGTCCATGACAACCTAACAAAGCACCAAATTGTAAACCTTTATTGATTACAAAACCTAGTTATGTCCGGTTTCTTTACATCAGTTACTAAAGCACAGAATGATGTGAGTCACCGTCATATTGCTCCGAAAGAATCACCATGGTACCTTCCACAGCACCCCTTCCATAAAATGACTAAAGCCCGACGAGAGAGAATGTGTCAGGCCGAGTCTTTAAAAACTCAGCCGCGGGTAGGACAAGTCTCAGCGTAGGAGTCCAGGGATTCTTCAAACAAGGCCCAGAACTTGAGTCATCCAAAGCCGCCGAGAATTTCCGGCATGATTTGATGTCGGTAAAGAAAGAGATGGTTGGTGAAGGAAGAGATGGTTGAAGCGTGCTTCCATGTGATACTGCGGATCTTGGTTTTGATCTTGGTTTTAATCTTGATTTTGATCTTGTAGACACACTTTTTGTACAAGGATGGCTCTTCACAGAGATCGGCGTCTCCTGTCTTTGCGCTGGGGATGCCGTGGGACGCAGGTGTCTTCGAGTTCTCGAGCTTGTCGCAGGATTCGACGGCCATCTCGGAGACCGTATCGGATATTTCCAGCATTTTCTCAATGTCGGCGTCGGAGCTATGGCCTCGATCCAGGTGCTCGGCGAGGGCCTTTTTCAGGGCCGGACGGGACTGCTCCTTCATGATTTCCTCGTGAGTCTGAAAAGACACGACGCAGCCCTGATCACATACGTGGGCCTTTATTATTTGGGCGTAATTGACCAGTTTGCTGAGGGTCTTGCGATAAGTGGAAAGACATGTTGGCGACAGAACAAAGGCTTGGGTGCTTGCCGACAGAGCGGCAGGACGAAGGTGGAGAACCGCATCGTTGCACTTGCTTAGAGAATTGTGTTGGACGTTGAAGATTTGACGGTCAGCTTTATTATTGAGGGGGGGGGTTAAATCAAGAAAGTTGAAAAGCGCTGTAGTTGAGATTAGGTACTGGAACAGAGACCATATATAGGTGATCAGACAAGCATTCCTTGATATGCATCTTTCCCTGATCGACGACGGCGGTAGTTGATATCCTGCAGCACATGATTCGATAATTGGATCTCGCTTTCTAACATGTAGATCCTTGGACGAAATACTCTCCTGGACCAACCACTGGAGTACTTAGTCCAGTATCTCAAGGGGTGAAGACATGGATCTGTCAATCCTATGTGGTTTGCCCATCGAAATCTCTCCGCAATCCATCTCCACAAAGCCACAAATATGGCCACCAAGGTCGTTTCTCCCAGAACATTGTCAGTTCAGCCAAAGCCCCGCCAAAGCCCCGCTCAAAGCCCCCGCAAAAGGCCCACAACTTCGCCCCCCAGCAGCATGGCATCCAGCCCCGCGAAGAAGCCTTCCAGACAGGAAATCAACTGACTGCACCCGAAACCCCCTGACCTCCTATCCCTGGCCCAGGATCCGAGGCCTATAAAGCAGCAGAGGCCCAGGTCGAGGAAGGTCTGTCTCGTGTCCCTGGCCTTTCCCCCTCGGTGCGTGCCGAACGCAAGGAATATTGTATTAATGACACACTTCGGTATCAGTATTATTTCGATCATCTCAATGACCTGTTGGCAGGCATCCTAGAGAGTTCCACTTACAATTGCTTGTCATTGCTGTTGGTTTTACTCTCTCCTTCATTACTCATGTTTCTCACTTATTGTCAAAATAGCCGCGGCTTGCGACTTCGACATAAATGACGAGGACGAATTGGAAGAATATGCAAACGAGCTGTTTGCGAGGATGGGACTCATTGAGGATGGGGATTCGTCATCGAATGTGGAGAGGGATTTGGAGACAAAATAATCCGTGTCATAGCTCAAGCTAGCGTATTGTGTTCAACGACTGCTGTTCCTTTCGAAAACAGGTTCACCATGGCAGTTCCTGCAAGCGCTCCATATTTCCATCAGGATTGATCTCACTCTATCAAACTGCTCCACACGCTCTGGGCTCTTATTGAAATCCCAGAACGCCCTCTCCAGCTCTTCCTGAACCCAGGCGATTTGGTGGTTATTGTTTTCTCCATTGAACATCGCCTCTTGCGCAAAGGTCTAAGTTGCACAATCTGTGCGTAGCTGATCGTCAGTTGCCTTTTTGGTGGCCATCTTAATCTTCGCAATGTCCAAGTCTGTCCGTATCCGCATACCAGAAACATGCGACCAAAATGTCCAACATTTGGCTACTGAATAATGTTGTTGGTAATATGGTAAAAATGCTGGTATTTTTCACACTCTTCAAGACAGCAATATCGCAAGATAATATCATATGATCTAAAATGTTTTGTCGCTGATTGAATTTATGTACATGTATCTCCACAATCGCTGGCCCATTCAAACTTTTCGGTCTTGTACTCACAAAAAGCGCAGCATATAATCTACACTTCGAATAGTGAACCATTCAAAAAGGAGCACTACATAACCGCTGGTATGTGGGTTATTTTAAATCATCTAGCTGTTCATTCGCCCCACCCTTTCATCTCTACAAAATTCACCTCGTATTCAACCGACGATCACTGCTTAGGTTGGTGCCATCTGCATGGCAAGAACAAGCAACCCCGGGTACTTCAAGCCTTGAGAGAAACTTGAACTCCCTACAAACGCCGACCCAAACTCCTTAACCCATTCTGTCTTGGAGTCATACCCAATTGATTCTAGCACTTGGGCAAATTTTCTGCCCACAAAGTACCCGTCAGAGACTTTGCATGACCACAAAAACAACAAGCACCACAATGACTTACTCGTATTACAGTTGGAACTGGTATAATAGCCGTTGACATAGCAAGAGCCATTAAAATCCCATGTGCTGTGAGACATCCATAGTTAATCATACTATTGACAACCCCTACCCAGCGGTCAGGCTTACCAGTTCCCCTTGTAGCAGTCTCCAACCTTGTAGCATTTGAAGTCATCATTGTATCCGTCGGCGTATCTCGTGTCATAGTACGCATCCAGCCGAGGTGATCGGCGACACTTGACCCAGCCGTCGTTGCTGACTATCGTGCACGGCACCTCCTTTCTTTTGGTCAGAGGGCTGGCAGTCACGGCGAGGGGGAGGGCCAGCCCGAGAATGGTATATAGACTAAGTTGCATGGTGGAGGGTGTTCATGAATTTGATGAGTAGGATCTCTTGGTTTATGGGAAGGACCTGGAGATTCCAACGAACTTTTATACAGTTTCGACGGCTGGAGTACCGGGTTTTCAGACTGGCTGCCAAGTTGCTGGTGCACCTCGCTAGCTGCTAGCATCGTCTATAAATAGGTACTTCTCGTTTAGCTGGATACTATGTTACTCTCATTCAACCTCCCAGTGTTCGTGGCGGACATGATTGTGTTAGCCTTGTGGGGTTGAAGGATGCATATGGGTGTTGATTGGTGGACTAGTCCAGGATACCCAAGGAGCTTGAAACGGGGTATATCTGTGGCGTTACATATTCGCCGTCGAATACGAGTATATATTAAGTCGTGCCGCGCAGCTGATCAACAGCGAAATGACACCCGGGAATTAATGTCATAGATGACGACAACGGGGGATTCTACCCGGACCTACGAGATCCATAATCCTTTACTATATTCATTTGCACAATTCTTATCCTTTTCGTAGTCCGTCCAATTGTGGTATCCTTCCTTTTTTCGCTATGACGTTTTACTGTATAGCCAGAGATTGTACCATCGCATTATGATACCAAAGCAAGTCGCATCCAGAACTGCGTCGTACTATTGCTTGGACTGGGCATTTTGGACTTGACGCTGTATACAATGAGCCTATAAAACCTCTGGGAAATAGCACATCTCAGCTTGAACAGCGCGGTCGTTCGAGAGTTGAATTGTCGGTCATAGTTGGTAGGGCTTGTCAAATTGCGGCCATGGGCTTCGTGTGCACAGGGTTTTTGGGAATGAGGAGCCACGCAATACCTAGTGCCTGCGCGGAGGCGTTGATCGCTGCTATCATAAGGAACGTGATATTGTCTGCCAGTCGTCGAAGAACGGATCATTATCGGCCTAGGTTGATGGATAAGAACTGTGAAGCTACTAGATAAACAACCACCAAGGTCCGCGCTGAACAGGTTTCCTTGCGTTCCTGCTGGATTATGTATCGAGCCGGTCTGGATATTAGGCAGGCGATACGATGTGCCGCGAAATGAGGCACAAGTAGTGGTCAATGCGCAAATCAGTCGACGGGGAATGGTGGACAGAGTGGATGAACTCAAAAGTCAAATCTATTGATGTATTCTACGTAGGGTCTAGCTTTTATGCATTCAGGTAATTAGAGTCTTCGCCGCCCCGGCTGTAGGCTGACTGGGAGAGTTGCTAAAAGGGCTGAAGGCAGCATGCCCTACTGACAATTCGACACAGCATTCATAGAAAAAACACCTGGGTTGGGAATTGGTGTTGAAAACATATCTGACACCGCTAGCGCGGGCTCACTGGGAGAAGTAATCTAGAAGGCTTTGTCAGTATGAATATAGTAAGTGATATGCCGAGGCCAAAATCAACCAAGAATCTCCAACGCAGGACCCGAGTCCTTGCTACCATGCTTTCTTGGTCCTGCGTAACCAGTATCACAGTATTTACCATCCTTAAAGTAATATTCGCTCGCAAAGGTACATGTTTGATGGGTCCACGGCCGTCATGAAGTTGATCAATGTGCCATGTGAAGGTGCATCAAACAACCTAGAGCCATCTCTTGTCTAGACACTATCGCTAGACGAGCACTGGAAATTGAGCTAGTGGTTGAATAACAGCGATCAATCACAGCCAAACGGACCGGGGAATATCCAGAGCAAACATTAGAACACCGAGTCATGGAAAGTTAATGTTGTGTTTTGTAACTTAGTAGATCCGCTCTCTACCGCAAGGATAGTCTGCTGCATATCAACTACACCGAGAATGATTGGTAATTGCTACAAATCCGTAGTTCTCTCAATCTGCGAAAGTATCTCCTAACCTTGGTGATCGCAACCTTGATATATCTATATAGAGAGTACCATCTGTGGGGTATATCCACTTGAACCTATGGATAAGCAAAAGAACGTGATGTAGCCAACTTCGAATGATTCCAGCCCATGTCAAGAGGATGAAAGGTTAATAAATCACGAAGCAGTGATGAGAAACTAGGTAAGCCCGAAAATGGCAGTTGGCGTGATCCTCCAAGCGCTCCATGGTGTGCAGCCATTCGACTTACCCCCTAGCTTAGAAGCCATCCCCGTCATACTCGCCACCCCGATCCAAGGCGACTCCTTTCACAGTTCACGACACACATGGAGGTATTCCTGGATATGCTTCGGGAAGTCCTTCTTCCAGAGTTAGTCACCGGTGAAATACTCCTGTGCCTTTTTGCATCGGGCCTCGGACATGTAACGAAACAGACGGGGTGCAGACTTTATCACTGCCGACTGCGACGCAGGCAACCAATGGGTCCAGAGACTCGGGGTCATGGCAGAGATGTTTGTCTTCGAACTTGTCCTTACACGCCTCGCCGGTTCCAAGCATCAGGTCCTCCAGGAAGTCTGTAATTGCCTCCTTGGCCTCCGGGGCATCGCAGAATGCCGTGCCGTCCTCCGCGAGTTCGCGGATGATCTGGCCCTTCAGGGCGTGCTGCCACTGTTGCAAGGTAGGCTCACAGCCAACGCTACATGCCTCGCGTTGCAAATGCTCGATGAAGAGTTCGGGGACCTGGTTCACTTCCTTGAGAACCGAGAGGCAGGACGAGCCCAGGATAGCGGATACAGTGGGGAGCATCCGAGCATCCCGCTGTAGGCAATGCCTGCAATGGCAATGAAGTTGGTGAACTTCATATTCAATGGACAAAACTTTGTGATGACCCAAGGAGTTGTATCGTTGGGAGGGATAAGGAGATAGCCAGCGGTTGTTACTCAACGCGAAGGGAGGAAACGATTAGGGGAGTGTGCGTTTCATATGCCAGACAGCGCTAGTGTACTCCAGTGGTCCCAGGGGTGCATTGTTGCACCTCGACTGCTATGCCGATCCAAGGTGGTGTCGCTCGAGGGCAGTATGTCCATTCCAGGGATACATTTGTCGGCATGTCATCCCTTGTCTTCAATCTCTTCTACCACGCTCTAATGGAACAAGCGTTATTGTGATCAAGCCCACGGACTCCTCAGAAAAACTCAGCAATAAAATGCATTGTCACCAGCGTCATCGTGTGGGTCTGACTTTCCTTCCTAGGATGTACCCACAAACCCAGATCACTGTAGGAGTATAATCTAGGAATGCATCCGACTTGCATTATCTTGTGAATCTGGAGTCTATCATGCCACCCCACAGATCTCCGGTACAAATTTTAGCTTCACCGTGGCAAGTCACGTCCTGTATCTTGGGCTCCCCTTGCTTCAAACCTGTGCGCGATCACCAATTCCTTTGGAAGCATTGGGCTCCATGGGTAGCATGCTAGTCCAGCCAAACCCCAAACCTCAATAAATACGCAAGGTACGGCCCTCGAAAAAAGCAATATCATAGACACCAGGCCGCCTTCTATGACAAGTCCGAATTTTGAACGAATAATCTGGAGGGTTGAGTTATCTGGTACAAAAAAGTAGTGATCAGAAACAACACATTTCTAGGTACGTGTCGGACAGAAGGTGTGAACTGAAAGGTCGTCTACGCGGTCAGCCGCTTAGTGGCCGATCGGTATAGTCGCAGCTCAGACGTATCTGGAACTACTTGACTGGCATATATTTATTTCTTGCCGTCTTCATCGTCTTGTCATCAACTTGGCTAGTGTCATTGATTTTGATACAGCGCACGCCGCAGGAGCTCGCACTTACCCACATTTCATACTCAGACGCACTACCGTCGCGTCTTCGAAACCCGATATCGGTATCAATATAAGACAGTGGTTTCCGAGGCTACTCGCTTGGAAGCTCGCCGGGTATTTGTCAATAGCATCAGTTCAATACCACTGGCTAATATATGCGCCTGCTATCTCGTATTGCGTTTATTGGCTGATTTGCGGTGACGGGCATGTTCAGAAGTTGCACATAAAGTGTAACTACAGCCGAGAATATAAACACCAACAGTGGCTTTTGAGATGGGCCATTGACTATGAAGACTAGCGTCTGCAGATCCTGCGCAAGGGACCGGATAGACCATGCATATGATATCTTGGGATATCAGTCATGTCAAGTCCGACCAATATGCCGTTTCGTACTTTAGTGCCGTGGCTGAGACGATATAACGCAACCACACCCTAACTTGCCTAGTCTCAATATGAAGTGTTTCTTTCGCGTTGTTCCACACTGTCGACACATGCCATGCACCCATGAACTCTTGCGTTGATGGTCGTATTGCCAACGTCAGGCGACGCTCCGAATTTCCCCTTTCCGTCCGTCATCTTTGCCAATCCTTCATGAACTTCGTCGGCGTGATTGAGCCTGACCACCATGAAATCAACACTGGCCTTTGGAACACATCGGCACCCGGCGGTAGACTCTCCACAGCCTGTGCGCAGCCGTGGCGATTGGCTGAGCACTGTGAACACGCTTCCGACCCATCTCACGTCTGCCGCGTCAATAGAAACCAGATTGAAATTTCTATTGTCGGGATGGCTGTCCGGCTGCCGGTTTTCGGGTCGACCGGCGACTTTTGGGCATGTTACTGAGCAGCAATATGTGCTATCCGTGGTTCCCCCAAACCGACTGATGTTGATGTCTTCATGGAGAGGCTTTCCCTTTGTAAATAGATATTCGGCATTAAGGCAATCGCGCAAGATATTTGCGGAGGACATACGTAGGGACCGGTCAAAGCAGTGATACTGCATAGATTTTTCAATTCCTGTGCAAATGCAAGAAGTGTACTTCGTATATCAAAATAGAAATAACTGTATACATATTTATCTACATGATCATGTATCCATGTGACTAAGTAACCAGTAGATCAATAGACTCGAGAGATTTCAAAATTGTGAGCTTTTTAGTATATTCAAGACATCGATCCTGCGATCTCCAGAGCCTGGCAAATCCCATGGGACATCTGGCCGAGCATCCAACGAATACGCCCCGAGTGCAACAAATCAACCCTTTGTTGATACATCGTCATAGACCCCTTACAGACATAAAGATCTGCACACAACATTCAAAGTCTGTAGTGACGGCTTTCATTGCCCCCCTGATTGACCTGAACTTCTAGCGCTGAGTTGCGTTTGTCCCCTCAATGAGGCCTGGATTCATGAGAATGCTCAAGTTGTTTGTAGAGTAGTTCCAAACGGTTACTGTCAAGTCCCATAACCGGAAGTGACCATAATCAGACTCTCCATGTTACTTGACCATGGCTATACAGAGCTTAAACACGGTTTGATATTATGCCGAATCTTGGTTCTTTCCATAGACTTCACGTTTATTTCATAATCAAGTGCATCAATAGGTTAAATAACACAATCCTTTCTCGTGATCTGGGAGGATGTATCCGCTAATATATATATATCTCACCTCCCAACACAAGTCCATATTGACCACTACCATGTAACAATGACATTCAAGGCTAATTGTGGATACGTGCCAGACATTACTTTGAAGCCACCAACTCCAGGTCCAAAATACCTCCATGTCGTGACCAAACTATTGTTGACAGCTTAGGCAGACAAACGATCACATGACCGTCTCCTTCCCCATTGGGCGCGGCTGGTAGCCGAACACGTGATCCACAGCAACAGCGGGATATGTGTTTTGCCGGCTTCTTGTCAATATGCCGACCCGGGAATGCAACATGAATTCGGCAACAGACCGATCTCCAACCCCTGGGACAGACATATCTTCATCTGGAGTAATCTATTTACATGGTTTCCTCTCTGGAAGCAAAGTGGATGGATTCCGATCGCGTGTCGTAGTATCATTGCTCCGTCGAGCGCAACCGTGCCATGGGGCAGCCTGTACGGAATACGGAGAAACATGGATATAGAGCGATGACGATCGCCTTCTCAGAAAAGACATGGAGACGAGGTGCTAAGACATCCATCCACAACGTGTGGTTCACTGGCTAGTGGGCAGTTTCCAAGTCCACTAGGAGAGCGACGCCTTCCCAACGCCACTGACGCGAACTCGGCTCGGTCGGGATGGTCGCCGTTCTGTGGTCCAGGGAGTCGGTCCCGGGGGTTCATTTCTCTCGGTCGGCATTGCAGGGGCCAGAGCGCAGAGAGAAGAACTGACCACTTGGCCGCATGCGAGACAATCCCCATATTGAAAATCTATTGTCTTCAGGGCCGGTCGCAGGACTGCTGGTTACAGCGTCATAATCGACCATACACTGCGTAGAAGTTTCTTGAAATTTATTATGACGACAATGAGACATATCCATGCCTCTGACGTCGTCCTCCGCATTTCCCCTCGTTTGCCCCCGTGTAGGGAAGTCATGAACGCTTTTCCCTGCTCACCGGTGAACTTGATGGGAAAAGGGTGACAATATCCCCTCAATTTCTCCAGGTTCGGGGACACCTCCAGAACAAAAACCGTCAATAGTAAACAAAAACCGCTCGCCTTGCTGCTCACACTCCCGACCCCTTCCGACTAGACGGCAAAAGTGGGAGGGAGTGGATGCGAGGAGAGACAACCGTGACTGTGATAGGCAGAAAGGAGAATCGGATCCAGTTAGGGTCACCCTAGTCCCGTGATGTCAGCCAACCAGACGTGGCGATCTGCCCTCCAGACCAGCCCAACCAACCATCCAATTCATTAGTACGGAGTGGCCGAGCCCAAAAGGATCAGTAAGTGGTGAACGAGGGACGTGGTCTTTTTTTTACTGTTTTATTTTAATTTATTTATTTTTTTTTGCGTTCGGCTGGTTCTCGCCGCATACCATCGCAACCATCTTTGCCGAGACGGCTTCGTGCCCGCAAGGGATGCCGAACACCGTGGCGGCATAGACAACTGGGAAAGGCCGGCCGAGGTACTACTTCCCGGCCAGATAGATCTTTTTGATCCTTCCCAACCCTGACCATGTTGCATGGTTCAACTCAAATGCAAGTTGATCAGTCTGATACTTTCCCTCTTGGACAGAACCACGGAACGTCCCTGTCTCTGACCATTCCCCCCGGTTCCATCAATAGGTCGTAGATTGATCCCTGATCATTGCCTCCCCGGGAACCTGGAAGCTCGTAGCATGATTTAGGCCAAGTACTAGGCACGAGTCTGCATCCGACCTGGACGAACCAGAAATCTCCCCGATCAGCCCGTGGAACCCGAAGTTTTGCCTCTTTCTCCCTTAGCCAACGGATAGCCCGCCGTCCGGTTGACCTCCACAGATACAATTCGGAGTAGACTTCTCCAGTACTTGAAACGGAGATAATCTTGCCTGGCTAACTCCACATCATGTCTCCATAGCGTTCCTGATTGAAGGCCTTGGTTGGGGGAGAACCACTTTTTTTTTTTTTCCCCTACCCCCGTAAACACTTTTTTTTTTTAAAAAAAAACATATGTAAGATGAATATTGCCTGAACCATATTATTCTAATCTCCCCGAAGGCCAACAACATAAAAGGATTTCCATCGCCCCCGGAAATCAACGGTTTCCTTGTGTAGTGCTTGGTGTGGCTGAGTTGTGTTTTCTGTTCTGTTGCAACCGTTTTCGTTCATCGTCAACGGACACACTCTATTTATATGAAATAGGGACCTGCATCCATTTACTTGATTTTATTTCCCTCCTCTCCCCCTTCCCATCTCTCTTCTCTCTTAATTCCGAACCGTTGAATACACTATGGGCGTGGAAGAAAATACACATGGGGAGACCATCACCCCCGCGGTGGCTCCACAGCCGCTGCCGCTGCCGATGTCCAGTCAGGAGTCTGTGGTGGCCCAAAAGTCTGAGGAGGGTCTGGATACCCCCGTGCCCTTCATGACTTTGCGGTCGTTCATCATGGGCACCTTCGTGTCTATGGGGGGTCTGCTGTTCGGTTACGATACCGGTCAGATCTCGGGATTCCAGGAGATGTCCAACTACTTGGAACGCTACGGTGAGCTCGGCGACGATGGCAGCTACGCCTTCAGCACCGTGCGCTCCGGCTTGATCGTCTCGCTGCTGTCTGTGGGTACGCTAATCGGTGCCCTCCTCGGTGCCCCCCTGGCCGACCGACTTGGCCGGAAGTGGTCTATCACCATCTGGTGTCTCATCCTGAATGTCGGCCTCATCGTCCAGATCGCCTCCCCTGCTGGCAAGTGGTACCAGATGGTCGTCGGCCGTTGGGTCACCGGTCTCGGAGTCGGTGGCTGCTCGCTGCTGGTGCCCATGTACCAGGGTGAGAGCGCCCCGCGTCAGATCCGAGGTGCCATGATCTCCTGCTACCAGCTCTTCGTCACGCTCGGCATCTTCCTGTCCTACTGCATCAACCTGGGTACCGAGACCCTCGAGGGCACCGCGCAATGGCGTATCACGCTGGGCCTGACCTTCCTCTTCGCCCTCGCCCTCGGCGGAGGCATGGTCTTCTTCCCCGAGTCCCCGCGTTTCGAGTTCCGCCACGGCAAGGTCGAGAGCGCCCAGGCCACCATGTCCAAGCTGTACGGCGTGCCTCCCAACCACCGCATCATCCTGCAGGAGCTGCAGGAGATCCAGCAGCAGCTCGACGCCGAGTCGCAGGCCCAGAAGTGGCACGAGTTCATCACCGCCCCGCGCATGCTTTACCGCGTCCTCCTGGGCATGGTTCTGCAGTCGTTGCAACAGCTGACCGGCGCCAACTACTTTTTCTACTACGGCACCACCATCTTCCAGGGCGCCGGTATCTCCAACAGCTTCATCACCCAGGTCATTTTGGGCGCCATCAACTTTGCCACTACCTTCGGTGGTCTGTACGTCGTCGAGAACTTCGGCCGTCGCAAGTCGCTCATCGTCGGCGGTGCCTGCATGTTCATCTTCTTCATGATCTTTTCCTCCATCGGACACTTTGTCCTCGATGTCGAGAACCCCGAAAACACCCCCAACACGGGTAAGGGCATGATCGTCCTCGCCTGTCTCTTCATCACGGCGTATGCCATGACTTGGTAAGCATTATCCCATCTTATGCCCTCTTTGCGCACACGCTAACATCACCTAGGGGCCCCATGATCTGGGCTATCGCTGCGGAGCTCTTCCCCTCCAAGTACCGTGCTAAGGGTATGGCCCTGGCCACCGCCTCCAATTGGCTCTGGAACTTCTTGATCGGGTTCTTCACCCCGTTCATCACCAACGAGATCGACTTCGCCTACGGGTATGTCTTTGCCGGCTGTCTGTTCGTCGCCATCTTCGTCGTCTATTTCTTCGTCATCGAAGGTCGCGGCCGTACCCTCGAGGAGCTCGACTGGATGTACGTCAACAATGTCGTCCCATGGAAGAGCGAGAAGTTCGAGATTCCCCCGATGCACACTGGCCGTCATCATGATGATAGTGCCTATGCCCGGAAGGAGTCGAAGTCCTACCATGCGGAGAATGCTTAAAAATTCTTTTACTTGTTTACTTTCTGTCTGGGAAGCTCTGGAGTTGGTGTTTTTTCTGTCGTTTACTACATTTTATGCTCTTATGAGTCACTTGTACAGTTGGAAATGTGGTCATGTTGCATGATACCTTGGACTTGCAGTATATACCTACACAATCGATGATCGATATCAATTTTTATTACATCCATACCTGGAATCAATGCGCCCCTAAGTAGTGTATCGTAAGGCATTCAAATTCGATCTACCATCATCATCTACGTAGTCAAATCCGTGGTTCTTTCGTCATATATGCGTACGCATGATGATTCTGGTGTGTATTTTCACCTGGTATGGATGATACTTTTTGGCATAATTGTTCAAAGGTTCGTCATATTTTGTTGTTGTCGCGCATTGTAACCAGCTATTCTTATAAATCTTAGTCCCTGTTCACTGAAGTCACAGTGTGAACATTGAGAGCCATCCATCCATTCGTCCATCGATTAGCAATTAGTCTGTGGGGACATTAGCTCCTTTGTTGTATACCTATATGTACATGTTTGAAATCACCGTCCCATATCATGCTATCACTCCTTCACCTTTTTTGTTGCATGTCTCCGAGTAATCACGCCAGGGCCACCCAGTGTCAGTCGAGCCTCACCAGCATCCAGTCCAATCCACCCATCAACCTTGTTCAACATCGCTCCCACCACCTCCTCTCCATCTCCTAGCGGCGGGAGCTCATTATGCCTCAATCCAACGCCAATCCGCGCAATCGCCACCGCATCTAGTGCGGCAGTCCACGTGGGTAACTGATAAATATAGTATGTGACATATGCTAGGCCTACCAGCTGCAAGAATATAAAAATACTAACCACCGCTGTCCCCGCGAGCGTCTTCACCGGAAAGGGCACCAGCATCCCAGCGCCGAAATGGATCTTGCGAGCGGAAAAGGTAGACGACGCTGTCACCGTCTGGGTCAACATCGCCCGGTTGGAAAGGTACATGCCTGCGATGAGGCCCAATTCGGCCGCAGTGGTATCGTTGAAGGAGGACACCCAGTTCCCAATCAGGGATGTGAGCACTTCGTCCGGTTCCCCGCCAATCGGGGACCCGAAGACGCCGGAGATGAGGGACCCGCACATCCTTTGGAAGTCATTGAATACCGTTATGCCCAGGTTGGAGAAGGGAAGGCGGCCCTGTTGGCAGATTTGCTGCGCGGCTGGTGGGAAGGTCTTATCGGAGGCGTTGGCTGCCATTTCGAAGAAGGACTGGTTGCCGAAGAGGGCAATGGCCGTCGTCATGAGCGGACCGGACGTGTTCAACATGTACGTGCCGTATGGGTCGGCAGGCTCGGTGTTCCACATGTTCAAGCTGTAGCGATGGTAGCCGTGTGTCTCGTCACTGGGAAAAATGGTCAGATGGGACGTTTGACTGTGCTATGGGTAGGTCGAGTGAGCCTACCTTTCCGTTGGAGGCCCGCCACCCTTGCCCGCCTGCAGATTGAGTTCGTCGTTGAACTCTCTGGCCATGGTATCTGGATCTGGCCATTCGCCTAAGAGAGGTCCATAGATCTGAGAGTTCATGTGATTTCCAAGCTCAAAATAGCCCCTCGTTGTGGACGTCCTGCAATGGAGTGTGAAATTCGCCACGGGGTCCGGGGTGTTTATTCGTCCATCGACCACGTCCAGGTAGAGGTCCTCCCCAATCTCCTGTCGATTCCGGCTCAATGACCAGGGATGTACTCCATACTCTCCCGGGGCGCACACTCGGATGTCCAGGAACGGGCTTTTAGACAAAGACCGGTAAAAGGGGCGTTTTCCCGGACACGGTTCTGGAAACTTGGCCCGGGGGATCTTGTCACACCACGCGGATGAATTGAAGCGCAGGGCATGCTCGCGAAGGACCCCAGTGCCTGTCGCATTTTGCAGAGCCGTAACGAAGAAGTTGGGCGTGTGATTCATGACATCGTCTCCTGAAGTGGTCTCACCCATGGCCCAGTATCGCAGCGTCTGTCGCCACGTGGGGTCAGTTATCACGGCAACGTGGTCATCTAAATACGACGGGTCGGGCCACAGGTGGGTTTCAAGATCAAGCATGTTGAATGTGGCCAGGCTGGACATCACCTCCTGCACCACCCGATTTTGGTGGATAGTGGCCAAATCGGCCGGCTCAGGATCGTAACCTACCACAACCGGTGTCATCGATCCGCACGCCCCGGTGGGGTTGTCCAGACAGGTCATCACCGGGATAGATTCCCACGACACCAAGAGCTGCTGCAGGGGATGTTGCACGGCACCTATAATAGTGTCAGCAGGCGAGGTGCCCTCAATGAGACGGCGGAGGCGTACTTAGGGCTATTAACCCCATGCCCAGCCACAGGAAGGGGCTCCCAATCCCCCTCCCCGCCGTGCGCGCGGCTTCAAGGACGGCGGTCACATCGGACCAGCGGCGATCGGCTAGGGCGAACAGTTGTCGCAGGGTCAGCCGTTGCAGGGCCTTGCGCTTTTGCGTGTACACCACGGCTGCCTGTGCCAAAAGCGTCGAAGTGACCGGGATTGTGGCAACACTGGCAATGGAATTGAGGGTCCGTATCGCGGCCACCCAGCTAAGCATCGAATACACCCCGTGAGCCGCCAGACCATATTGGGGGAAGTAACGCTGCCCACTGTTGCCGTTGGGGGCAGGAGACCCTGACATGACACAGGTGAGAACCCAAGGGATCACCAGTAGGGGCACATAGAATATGAGGAGATAGACGGTCAGTTTTCGGTATCGCAAAGCCAGGGGCACGCCGGGGCGCGACTCAGTATCGGGCCTGTCCCCTGCTCCGGCGGCCAGCTGTGTCTGTTGGGGGTTCATCCTGTGCTCTTGAAGGCTTTTGTCGAGGTAGAAATGAGAAAAGACAAAGCCTCATGCGGGAAATGACTACTTTATGGTTGTTTGAGGGTTATATGCCAAACCATTGTCCTTAGTCCGTCCAAGGTCTACCCGCTTGTCAAACACAGCCTCGTGGACTGCAAGGCTGTGTCTCAGATCATACGAGACAGCTACTGGGCCCCTGAACGATGTGTGGAGACACGGTTGGTAGGCTTCACAGCCTTACTCTCCGCTGCATTCGCAAGATCTGCAAAACATCTCCATATGGGATAGTCCCATCCGTGGTGTTGAAGCGTGTATCCCGAGATATCGCTTGTGGGGTTATAGTGAGCAGTGTTGATGGGCGATTCCCTACAAATGGGTAATTATAAAGCATGACACGCACAATGATTGAAAGACACAATGATTGAATGAGTGAAAGCTAATGGATGCACTACTCTTTTTTTACTGTTTGTTTTATGGTAGTGTTGCTTTATCAGTATCTACCCTTTTGAGTTCTCCATGCATCAACAACAGACTAAAACCAAATGCTAAACAGGGCACGGATGTTAGTATCCCCCACTCTTTGTATATGAAGTGAGGAGTACTGTGATAAAGCATCGGCATGATAAGACATCATACCTAAAGCACCATTGTACCTGAATACTAATCACCTCTTATAGTGGGTACTTGTACCCACACATGGAAGATTCGCGACACGCTTCACACATATCTGAATTTATTTTCTCAAATCGAGTGTCTACTATTACAGATGCAAGAGAAATTTGACCGTCTATCCTCAAAAGAATGTGGAACAATGGGCACAATCCTGGAGAGAGCCATGTAGCTGGGAAGCTTCTTCATAGTGTATTTTTATTCAATTGTATTTCCAACAAGACTACTGCATAAAGTTTTCAGTATCACGCGTCACATGATGATTGATATCCTGATTTTTATAAATTCCAACCGTACGACACGCTGATGCTTGTGGTATCCTATCAAGTCCGCATTAGTATAATTCTTGAGAATTTAAGAAATGATTCGGAGCAAGAATGGAGCAGTCAGAGACCCGTCTTGAAAGGAATTTCAATGTCACCATAACAAAAGTTCAGAGAACAAAAGGAATAGGTATCATCATATGCAAGGGTGGTGTACAGAGAAATGAACGTACCGGTGTATGAACTCTTCTGATAGATTCTGATGAGTTAGTAGAATAGACAGATCTAAAACAGTAGCCCTTGATCATAGTGTCGCATTAGCCACAAGAGCAGGGATGTGGTCATCCAGGGCAACGATGAGGTAAATTCTAGCAAATTATTGTCCAAAACCCCCCAACTGTACCACTTAGGATATCCCCTGGTGGATTCCTGCCATCTGCAGGAGAAAAATGAGAAAGATGAAAACTCGGATGGACGACATGCGACCGAAGGCCTTATAAAGGGCATGCAGTAGGGCGAGCCCTACTGTTTTCCATGTTTATCATGTTTACCTTGTTTTCAATCCTGGATGATCCCCATTCTTGGCATCAGATGAGATGAATGTGGACATTCTCCATCCATCCCTTGTTTGGCATCAGTCTAGTCCTGTATGTGGTATGCGAACACTGTTCAAAATTACAATTTCGAAAATGATCAAGGCAGGAATAAATTGATAGAATAAATTATCAGAAACATTGATGGAATAGATCGAAAGAATCGAGAGAATGAATTAATGGTATCAATTGATGGAATACTACGTGAAAGCTCTGCAGAGGAACAAACCGGCAACCCACGTCATTGTGACCCACTCGACCCACGGATTCCACATCCGCACAAATGGAAACCTGGCTCCTCAAGGTCCGCTGTCGATCCGGTTAACGATGGTTGATGGGTGTCAGTGGGCCAGCTGAACCAAGGGTATACAAGGTCAGGAGGAATGAAGCTCAACGATTAGATCTAAACTGGGTAGACAAAGATCTCTTTCTCTTTGTAGGCTCGACATTCCCAGGCGTCATTGAGAAGCGCATGCGTTGATGGTAGCACTCGATCATCCTCATCATTCTGGGTCTGTGCGGGCGGAGTAAGCTCGATTCCAGGGAGTCCACGACTTGCTTGAGTCGGGCTAACGACAAACCACCGTCGGGCATGGCGTTCAGAAGGAGCTCGACGATGTGATACTGGCCGAGACGGGCCGCGGTAGCCAGGGGAGCGCGACGGATGGGATCACCCGCCAGGGGGTTTGCTCCCTTCTTGAGCAGCAGCCGGATAGCCTCATCAGCTCCTCCGGTGTCGTTACTCTTGATATAATACGACAGTATGGGCTCGTTGTCCTTGTCGGGGGTAGTCGCGTTGACATCGGCATCGTAGCGGATCAGAAGATCGAACATGGGCTCGGGATCACCCTCATCGATCAGTTATAAAGGCTGCAGCGGTCGGTAACCACTTGTTAGGAAGTTAGGGTCGAAGCCCCAGTCCAAGAACACCCGAGCCACGGTGGTTCTTCCATCTTAGACAGCAAATTCAAAGGGCACCTCGTCGCGGGCGCTGGTTGGATCTGCGCATACCCCGCAACTGAAGAGGAATTGAAGCATCGCCGGACCGTTGTGCGCACCAAGTTCGAGCACCGCCACGTTCGGCAAGCCCTCCAGCGGATATCCACCGTCCAGCAGTCTCTGCACCTGGCTAGGCTTTCCGCGCATGATCGTCTGCCCCATCAGGTGCGATACTCCCGCGATGGCCACACTCCGGTCGACCAGCAGGTGGAATGTCTCCTCGTGTTGGATAGCTAATTCGATAACCGGAAATCCCCATGTCTCCGTTGTGTCCGGATCGATCCCGTGGTCCAGGAGCAATTCGACCACGCCGGTGTGCCCTCCGCAGATGGCGTCAATCAAGACCCTCTTCAATACACCGTCCTTGCGAGCACCCGCTTCCACCAGGAGCCTGACCCCTGCACAGCCCGGTCCACTAACAACCTGGCCACGGGGATATGACCCCCCATCACTGCCATCTCTAGTGGCGACAGCTTGCGCCGGCACGGTCGAGGTGCGGGATTGATGTCGTGGTCTAGCAATGCCTGCATGACTAACACGTAGCCATGTTCAGCTGCCAAGGTGAGGGGGTATTTGAACTGGCTGTCATCTCTATTATTCTTGTTGAAAAGATCTGGGTTCTGCCACTTGCCGGTCGGGTTGGGGTCTACACCCTTTTCAAGGAATAACCGGACAATTGACTCGTGCCCGTGCATGGCGGCCATGGCTAGAGGCTTCCAGGGTTCATCCACGGCTGCGTCAGGCGGGGCGCCCAGCTCGAGCATCCTGCGAGCGAGGGGTTTCTTTCCATGAACGCAGGCCCATTCCAGGGCCGCGGAATCAGAATTGCGGATGTTGTTTTTGTAGAGATCGCGATCGAGTAAATGGTGCAAGAGGCGGTTGGTTCGCGCCAAGGAACTAATGTCATGGTCACAGGTCAAACACGAGGCAATGTAGGAGATGATCTCGAGAGGCAGGCTCATAAACTCCATGGTGCGTCCCGGATATACACTGAATGGATCGTGTAGGTGTAGGGGGTATGTGAAGAAAAGAAAGGAAGGCGTGAACACAATTGGATAAGTATGAATAATTTACTAGGCTTGGTGGTGTCCCCATAGCTTCTCTTAATGGGGTTCAGTAAGTGGCTCACCCATGTTTCTGAAGTATTGTTCATCGTGTCCCACAGGTTATAGTATGGATGTAGGTGTTTTTAGGGGCTTGTAGATGCTGAAAGAGGTGCTGGTAGTCAATAGGCATGTTTTTGTAAAGTTATATGATTAATGAATAATTGTGGTGAATACCATTTTTGGGCCAGAGAGAATATGTATAATATTACTATAAGAATTTCCAAGGATTATGATACCAAACAATCCATCATTCCAGTGATAATAAGAGTGAGTGATGAACAATCCCAGGATATTCATCCTTGGCTAGTGGCCGACACCTGCTGCTATAAGCTTCCATGAGATGTGAATAAACCAAATGAATAACCCTCCAAGAGACGGGCACAACCCTGACTTCCACATGGGGTTACGGTCCCACATTAACGCGTCCCCTTAATCACATCATAAATGCCGGATCTGCATATGACTTATATCCCAATATAATATCTGCGAGAAACGGCGGATACGTCAGACTTTGTCAAGACCTCATTTTCTAGTTTCCTTCAAACACACCGAAATTGCCCGTTTCCTTGCACTGATTAGGCTTCGTGTTAAAGAGCCGGATCCGACAGTGAGCTTCCATTCCTATTTCGCTTCCATGGAGAAACAGCACGGCGCGCTTGGGACGGGTGGCACCGAGAAATCCATATATCGGTCAGCTAGGGGGCTAGATATGAGATGCCAATATCAGCACGACTTACTCAACTTGATCGGCTCCGTGTTGCGCTCCGGGGGGCAATATTGCGCCAGAAAGGCCTTCGCTGCTGAGGCGGCCGTCGCAGCGGCATACTGGGTCCAGACCTCGTTCTCACGTCCATCAGCATAATCGGCCACCCCTTTAATCACGACGCAGGGCATGTCGTACCAGAACGCGATGGCTTCGGATTCAAAGCCGATAATGCCATCTCTTTCGCATAGTTGGTCTCGAGAGTGCGCGGATGCCACTTTGCCTTCGCCCGTGCCCACCTGTCCCAAGTGGAGAGATGGGGATACTGTGTCGGCTGAGCGCTGTCTGACCGGCACTGGAGAGACACAAGCAGCTGTCACTGTCGGGACATTAGAGGGATACAGCCGATCTGCCTCCGAACCAGGGTAGCCAGCCACCGCGTGCCCCATAGCGCGTTGGAGTTGAGACATATGATCGCCCATCTGAGCCTCCACTCGCTGCCGGCCTCGCGTGGCTTGGAGCTTGTTTAGATAAGAACTAAGCTCAGGGGCGGGGCGCGGGAGTACCTCCCAAGGGCGCATTCTTCGCTCAACGAAGTTGGGCCACCGTCGGACCTGGTCGTATTCGATCAATGCAGTACTCATGAGCACGTCCCCCAGGAATATATCCCTCCCGTCGGGTGCGCGGGGTACGGCACCGCATGTTCCAACGACCAGGATGATCCGGAGATCAGGATACGTGATCTTGAGTCGACAGGCGAGGCGGGATGCGCTGACTTTGCCTCGTCCAGGAAGGTATGCCAGGACCGTTTGGTGTCTGCCCATCCTTCCAACCGTGTAGTCATGGGGGTCATCCGAGACCCGAAAGGACGCTTCCCCTTCGTGATGGTATATTTCGTCGAAAAGAGCCCTGATGGGACTGGCCTCGGCGGATGCGCATACAATAGCGACAGAGAAGTCGCCCAGGCTACGTGGGAGGCTAGCGATTACCATTGTCACACACTCAGGGAGCCTAATTAAGACTCGACGGACTTCAGACTCGCGATTGTGGTGTGATGTTTGTCGTATCCTCAGGACGGTTACGGGAGGACAGTCTGTAGCTACTCCGGTATATATAGGCTATTGATTCCTGATGAATTGCTGGCGAATATGTGGGCGCCGGCGCCTACCGTGACAATCAGCCTGCACGACAAAGCCCTTCATCTATATGGCATAGCCAATAAAATACGTTGGTAATCTATCATGACCTCTTTAGCGCCGCGAAGGTGGCGGCACCTGCATAGGTGACAGTTGACCATAAACGCACGGTCGCATCGGCGCTACGCCAGACTACCTGAATGAAATGTACCGGATGCTTACAGATTCGGTATTTTGGTGCAGTGGCTGCCATCAAATATGAATGGTGACGATGAGAGGAACGAACAAAGCCACTGCCAGATCCACGTGGGTTATGCTTCCTCACAGGAGGCGCAGAGTGATCTATTATATGTCAACGCCATCAATCGAACCATGGAGCAATTATTACTGCGGCTCAAAACAGACCATGATACCTGCCGCCGATCAAGCAATCCTCTGTCAGAATCGACAGGTGTAGGGCGATTTTGATCCTCCACTGGTCTCAACTGGACTGACGCCACCCACAATGGAAGTCGGGGAAACAGTAAGTCCCAATTTATAATGGCTTGGAGCTCTTGGTCGAACCATCATGTGCCATCGACGAGCCAGGCAGATTCGTGAATTAGGGCAAGCGAGGCGCCAGGATCGCCGGGTTGTCATTCCTTCACCCGAACCAGAAGAACAGAATCGTGGGAGAGGCATGGAGCTCTGGTCCTTCCAGAATTTTCCTGCCACTGCCAGACGGGCCTTGAGCATGTCCCGTCGCCACGGCTCTGCGAGCATCGTGGCCGCTGCATTTGGATGTAAAAAGGCAGGCCTCGCTGCCATGTTCACCCTTGGTCGTCACTATAGTCATCCCATCTTTTCTGTCTTGTCTTTCGTTCCCATATGGGTTGGGATAGTCGCGCGAAGGCTCTCCAACTACGCCGATCTTTCTTCAATAATTCTATTCCTTTGTTTTCCCACCATTGCCCCGAAACTTGCCATTACTGCTCACTCGCGGGCACCCTGTCTATTGTGGCAGCGCCCGCGCCCACCTCGGCCGCCAACGATGCTTGTCAGAAGATCGGCAAAGTTCCCAAGACAGGGACCAATGTCGGAGATGGTCAACGCATAAGACGAGGAGAACATGCTATCGAGACCCGTGCTAAACTACACTATTGTGGACGGGAATTTGGCCCGCAGCTGCCTGTCCTCGATGCCCTTGGACGTGAAGCGGGCGGTGTCATCCATCAAAGATCTCAAAAAGTCCCACCAGTGGCAGTCTGACCTGCCTGTTCGGCTTTACAGATGCGGACACTGGCCACAACAGCATGTTTGAAAAAATGGGACCCGACGAGGTCGATGTTGATCCGCCGCTCAATGGTCTGTTTTCCGAACCAGAGGTGGTGTGGCCGGGTGAAGCGGTCTGAAGATGGCTATAATAGGGTACCCACAGAGCTCAGAAGTGTCTAGACATTTTTTTGTAGCCGAGTGGTATTATTTGCATCAAGATCCATTTGCCAACCACACCGTTGTCGAGCGGCAGGTCAAGGCCTCAGCCAACACGCTCGGCTTACTTCACTTGGAAGAACGACGACAGCATGTTCGAAGACCTCTGCGGCCCGACAGCCAGCCCAACGCCCAGTGCGATGGAGTCCCCGTTGGCACCGCGACTCCGACCCCTGCATTACCGATTTATCCTCAGGCCGAGGTGCGCCATTCGCTCAACGCGATGTCCGGGTATCAAGTCAAGGAGAAGGACTTACAAGGTGTCGCGGTGTTGGCCATGCCATCCCTCGACACCAACGGAATCCAGTCTTTCTACACAGAATTTACCGATCCCCGGTCCAGCAACACCAAGGGTGCCATTTCCCATGCCTGCGACCTATCCGAGCTGTTCTTCCCCTAGCGATCCTTGTACAAAGTCTCTCGGCTTCGCGCCCATGAGGCTCCCAGGCTCATCATGAAAGTGCTTACCCACAAGACTGGCTACCTTCCCCGACTAGCTTATGCATCTTAGCTTTGACACACTCAATTCTTAACGCAACGCAATCTTCTCCAAGATCAATGGCTTAATCAAAGACCTGGGGCACAGGACGTTTTAGTGTGCCTGTATGGTCGCAACGCATGCTTACAATTCAATGTCTAGATCCATGTTCTGTCGACTGACTAGTGCGCGATCATCTTTGCATCGATACCCCGCTTATGATCGAGCACCCCGTCCATGGCCCCGTTGCCTTGAGGGCTGCCCGGTCGCGCTCGGTTCGCTCTTTGTAAACATCGTTCACCTCGAAAGAGATCCACCATGTAAAACCCCTAGACCCGCACCGGTCTCCCGCATCACGCATCCTTCGTCTCACGGTATAACTTCCGCATCAATGCCGCCAACTCCTGCGCCTCGTGTTTCACCCACGGCATCGCATGATGATAGTCTACTTCGTATAACTGCGCCCGCTCCGTGTCATAAAACGTGCTGAATTGGTGCCGTCCCAGCGGGAGAAACATGTCCTTTAGCCCGTGCACATGCAGTGTCGGTATCCGCACCAGCTCGTTGCTCTTCACGCCTTTCGACTCCATCGGCGCTCCGGATCCCATGCATAGCACCCCAAACTGGAGAGTTATGTTCGTCCCGCTGCTTTCTTGTTGCTTTTCTTGTTGCTGTTGCCGCTGCTGCTGCGCGAGTAACAATCCCCCAACCACGCGACTACCCTGGCTGAATCCTATGGCGCCCACCCACGGCCCGCCGCCCCCGGTCTTGTCGTTCGCCATTTGTGCCAACACGCGCTCCACCCCGTCTGTATTTTGCTCGTCGAAACCGCTGCCGTCGGACCGCTCGCTGCCGCAGAGACTACCTAGTATAGACGACGTATCTGTCTTGAACCACGAGTGATAGGGCCCGTAGTCATGGAAGGCGGGGAGGACGCCGGGCCCTGCGGGGCGGTCGAACGGGCCGTTGAAGTAGACGAGTTGGAAATCGTGTTTGAGAAGCTCGGCAAGCTGGGAGCATTGCATCTCGTAGATTTGGGAGTTGGAGCCGCCGCCGTGGAAGCAAGCGATGCGGGGGAGGGGCATAATGGGTGGTTCGGTGTGGGTTGTTGTCCGTTGGTTGTGGTGTGTTACTGGAGGCGGTTTTGTGTTGGGCATGGAGGGGTGGAAGGCGGTGGACTTTTCTGGCTGATGTCAGACAGGTCTATTCTCGTTCCAGGTGTGGGTTCTGGGTGAGTTGGTGATTTTGGCCCGATCTGATGCCGGAGTGGGGTGGTGATTGGCTAGCTGCATGCAGGGTTTTTGGGGGGGCATGATCCTGGCAACTGGCAGATCGGACGGGAGGCATTGGAGACAGTCTAGGCTTGATTGCGCTTTGATTAAAGAAGGGACCGATGAGTGTGTGGGTGTATAGCCTCCACATGAACGATGACAGGACTTAAATGCCCTTGATGGAGTAGATGAAGTTGAGATGGTCCCAATTAGGGCATCCCGGTCATGTGCTGTGGCCTGAGGCAGAGACAGCAACTACCGACACACTGTGGCCCATGCTCATCAATCTAGAGTCCAGTGTTGAAAATACCATTCACTATACGGTGGATTTCTGATAATCGCCAAATGAGTATAATGGAGCCAATTCACTTTCGGTTGTGCCTATGGTGTTTCCCCCGTTCCATTGACCGTCTCTGACAAAAAAATATATAATGAAACATCTCGGTATGGGAAACAATCACACAATATAGGAATCCCACTATAGGTACAGAACCAGATAAGAGAGAATATGGCTCTGCGTGTTACATGATCAGATGTCCTTTTATCATGTATATGATATCATTGAGAATGCCAAATAATTCGTCATCCGCTGGAATGTGGGTATGTGAATAGTGCCGACCTCAAGTATATCTCACTATTCATGGTGCCTGTACACTTGACTACTATTGACCGGACACAGGTTGATTTTTAATTCTGGTCAAGCTTCAGTTGACGGGAGTAATCTTGTGAGGCCGTCATGAGATGCGTGGCTCCCAGCCCTACCATGATATACCCCGATAATAAATACGTTAGACATTCCAGGTGGCGGATGCCAATAAGGCCGCGTGTCGTGTCGGGGAGAATCTGTGATTTTCACCAAGTCAAAGAATTCCACGCCTATCAACCCAGGAGCTTGCCAAATAGCCTCACGACTGAGCAATGAATCTCTGAAGTAATCTGGGGCGGGATGTCTTTGTGATATTATACCTGAAAGGATCCCGTGCAAGTAACCTGTCACCCACGACGAAAGAAGTAATCTAGGGCGACAAATGTATACCGACTAAAATAGGATGGTTAGGCGACGCCCTAGAAAATATCAAGAGATTTCAAGAGATTTCAGTGGACCCAATATGTCTGGAACCATTAATTACACATTCACGTACATGTTCCCCGTTCTATTATTCTCCGAGCCCATTGATAGGTAGTGGTTGTCCGGTCATAAATAAATTTCAATATCCCGCCACCCACTTCACGATGGCATCAGAATATGGGACATCTGCATGCAACAGCCCAGACTAGCAAACAAGGTCTTGCCGAAACATGGGCTGGGTGAAAGATTGTCAGGGCAATGCAAGAAGAACACATCATCCAGTTCCCCCTTTGGCTGTGGCTGGACTCGCCATGAGCTTATGTATATCCCTTGCGTCCTCTCCTTGCGGTGCCTCCCACAGGCATTCTGTGAAATGCGCAAAGACCCGGCTTCTCCATACCGAATTCTCTCAATGCACCGACAGAAGATTGCTTCTTTTCCGACCTGTAATTCGGACAGCCTGAGGGGGTGCCAGGGGTGAGGGTGGCCGCGTACACCATCTGGCACGATCATGGCATGAGATGAATCCCTTGATCGCAAAGTCACTTAAGACGTTGATTCCAGCAAACTTTGATTCGAGTAAAGCGCCTGCTCCTAGGGTTCCCGCAGACACCCTGGTGACCTTCCCACTGGCAACCTCGTCATCCAAGCCCCCAAGCTAACTGGAATGCCCGGGAAAACAGCCGAGAAGGTCGAAGCCCCGCTCTCGCCCGATAGTTCTATCGATTGCGATGATTGTGACTACCCAGATGGCGGCTACCGGGCCTGGATGGTCGTCCTCGGAGCCTGGTGTATGCTGCTGGCTCCGATGGGACTGATCAATGGCCTAGGAATCTTGCAGGCTTGGACCTTTGAACACCAGCTGCACGGATACTCCGAGTCTAGCATCGGCTGGATATACGGCACCTTTGCGTTTTTCGTCTTCGCTGCCGGTGCACAGGCAGGTATGGACCGTTTCTGATATCCTGCCTGACTGGTAACTGACTGCAGTTTCAGGACCAATCTTTGATACGTATGGCGTTCATGTTGTCATTATCCCGGGATCAATTGGATTGGTCGTAAGTCTAGTCTGTTTCAGTTTCAGCAATGGTATTGTCCAGGTTCTTCTCCACCCTTCCCACCCACGACTAATTCTTTCTTAGAATACTACCAGATGTTTCTGTCCTTCAGCATACTCGGTGGCTTATCCGGCAGTCTACTCTACACCCCTGTTATTGCCTGCATCGGCCACTGGTTCAACAAGCGCCGTGCGTTCGCCACGGGCGTCGCACTGACAGCGGGCGGCCTCGGCGGCGCCATCTTCCCCCTCATCATCCTCTTCGCCGCACCCACTATCGGCTTCAACTGGGCAATTCGCATCTTCGCTCTCTTAACCGCCCTTCTCTGCACCTGTGGCTGTTTCCTTTTACGAACGCGCCTCCCACCGAACACCAAAGCCGGCGCGTCCGTTGACTTCCGCGCCCTGCGCGACGTCCGCTATGGCGTCAACGTCTTCGCCATCTTTCTTATCGAGTTCGCCTTCATGATCCCTTTCAGTTATATCCCTTCCTACGCGCGCCACGTCGGTCTGAGCAATCAGCTTTCCTGGCTCCTTACCATCATCATCAACCTGGCGGGTATCCCTGGCCGCTCCATCACGGGCTTCGTCGCCGACCGCATTGGGCGATTCAACTCGCTAGTCGTGACCTCGTGCATCTGTTCGGCCCTTACTCTCGCGCTCTGGCTTCCTGCGGGGAGCAACCTCAAGACGCTGATCTGCTATGCTATCTTCTTTGGGTACTGGAGCGGCGCGGGGTTCAGCCTCGCCCCCGTGTCAGTCTCGCAGGTCTGCGACACGGCCGACTACGGCAAGCGCAACGGCACAGCCTACACCGTTGCCAGCATCGGCACGCTGATTAGTATTCCGGTTGGCGGGGCTATTATTGAACGCGCAGGGGGTGATTATTGGGGCGTCATTGTCTTCGGTGGTGGTCTTTACTTTGCGTCCATGATGGCGTTTTTCGCCGCTCGGGTGATCTGCGTTGGGTGGAATTTGCGCGTAATCTTTTAGTTGCTTCTGGTGTTTTTGAGCCGCGCTGCTGGCCTGTATTATATTCCATCTATGGTATGTGCCTATTGTGTCAATAGTCTAAAAGGACCCCCTCTAACGATTTGCGGAAGCTTTTCGGACTTCCCCATTGGGAATTTACTGTTGTTGCCTGCTACATCGAGCCCCAGATTGTTCAATATAGACACGTATTACTATTTATTAGACATCGCAACCCCTCCCAAGGAACAAATTAAACAACCTCAGAGTGCACCACATCTCCCGTCTTCTCCGTCTGCTGTCGCTGGCGCTCGACCTGCTCCCCAAATTTATCCCCCATCTCATGCGACCGCCACGCCGGCACGTTTTGGTCGAACATCTCGTCTACCTCTTCCAGTGTCTTCCTCGCCGTCTCGGGGTACAGGAAGTACACGTGGAAGGTCATTACCGTACAGAACACACCGAAGATGATGTACGTCTTCCACTGGATGTTGGTAAAGGCCGGCGCAACAAAGTACGCCAGCGCGAAGTTGAAGATCCAGTTGCCGGCGGCGGAGAGACCCACGCCTTTGGCGCGGTACTTGAGCGGGAATACTTCCGAGCAGTAGACCCATGCGGTGGGGGCCTGGTTTTCGTTAGTTTCTAATATCATTTTTGTTGTTGCGGTAGTCAACCGGGGCGTAAACATACCCAGGTCAGACCATAGATTCCGGTGAAGATGTAAGACAGAGAGATTACTGCCTTGCCTGGCGCGCCTTTGATGACCAGTTTGAGGTTGGCGTTGCCGTTAACGTCATCCACGGGGGTGCCATATGTCGCCATGACACCGGCAATCGCGTAGTGTAGCACCATGCAGGCGACCGAGCCGAAGAGGAGCAGCTTGCGACGGCCCAAGCGGTCGATCAGCGGCAGAATAAAGCCTGTCGTGACCAGGAAAATAACATATTGGATGGCGGAGGAGTACAGCGTCGTGTTGCCAGTCTATCATCAACCATGAGTCAGTACTACCCACAGGAAAGGGTGACAGAGATCTCACCATATCGGCCATCTGGAAGATGTACACCACGTAGTACATAGCGACATTCCCACCCAGCAACTGCTGCCACACCTGCACACTGACACCGCACAGGGTACGCATCCAGATCTTGGGCCCGAACAGCGAAAAGAACGAGATGTCCTTCGACTCGCGCGCCAGTCGCACCGCTTCCTGGACTTCCGCCCACTCGACCTGCACTTCTGGGTGCGCACGGTCGCCGTTCCCGTGCAGTAGGGCCAGCGTGTCGAGACTCTCTTCATAACGTTCTTGACCGGCGAGCCAACGGGGGGACTCGGGGAAGAAGGGCAGCGCGCAAAGCAAAATGATTGCCGGAATGGCCTGGACACCCCAGGCGATGCGGAAGGCCGCGGGGTCGCTATCGCCCATGCCTTGCGTGCAGCCGTACGAGATCAGGTACATGATGAGGATACCCCATTCGATGGCCCACTGTTGAATACCAACGATGCGGCCGCGGATTCGAGCGGGGGCGAGCTCGGCTAGGTAGACGCAGACTTGGGAGGAGGTAATGCCGACTGGGGGAGGAGTCAGCTGCGCGTGGGACACCGGCTGAGCAGACTTGTTACACACCTGAGAGACCGCTCACCACGCGACCAGCGACCAGGTGAGTGACGTTTTGCGCGCTCAGCTGCACGACGGCGCCGACTATCCAAATACAACAAGCGATAATGAGTACCATGCGACGACCGACGTAATCACATATGAACCCGGCAGCGATGGCACCCACGAAGGAACCGGCCGACATGGACGCCGTGATCTACCGACCGTTAGACCGAGGATATATTGAGAGAAGAATGAAGGAGAAGCGTACGCCACCCTGCAGATTCGAGTCTGGACTGTCGAAGTATTCGAGGTACTGAGGAGCCCCAATCCAGGCGCTCATGGAGCTGATATCAAACCCAAAGAGGGCACCGCCGATGGTGCCGAAGCACGCCAGGGCTGGATTGCTTCCGATTAGCTGGTTTGCGCCACCTCCTGCGGACTATATTGCTTACCGTAGATATTTGAGATCCGATACATAGTGACGGCGGGTGTCTACAAAAACCCGATCGGGTGTATTGATGATCGAGGAACCAGCCTCGCGGCGGCCCTAGCCTTATATAGGTCTCCAACTCATGTGTCAGGCCACCCAGACTCTCCCTTGCGTCTCCCCTCCTCTCTGTCTCGGGTCGATACCATTTTCGCAGTCTAAGTCCGGGGTGACTGCGACGGCGGGGCTCCCCGGGTCTCAAACGAGAAGTGATCGACCCACCACGAATGTGGAGGTCCGGGGTTGCAGACCAGGAGACTGGAGAAGCAGGCTCCGTCCGCTGCCCGGGTGGAGACCATTTGAACATGACGATCCAGTCGGTTTATTCTTGGTCGCGCGTCGATGCCTCCTGGCCCCCGATGCGGTTTTAACCGACCTCGGCTGGAGAAAAGACGCTTTTATCCGTCGTTTTATCCGGGCTATTTCTCTTCACTGGTTCGGAGAGTGAATGTTGGTTTTGGTCGGCAGGTCCTTCGTCAGTTGTGAAATTTCCGTCCGAGACAATGTGTGTTCTTATGGATCGGGATCCTTGATTTAGTCCCAGCTTCTCGGGTTGTGCCTCTCCTATTTCCTTCCGACAATCTCAGTGAAATATCTACCATCTCTTGGTCACTTGCAAGGTTCAGATAGAAGAGAGGTCTCATACGGTCGGTATATGCTAATCGGGACAATGATTCTCGGCCAGACTACCTAACAGCGTGCCGTATACGAGAATGACGCTATGTTATGGGTCACGATCGGCCGGGTGTATACAGGTATTCTTGCCACTTGATCGGTGATGCTTGAGGGTTTTGATTTGTGGTTTGATCACGTCAGAACTGAATGTTCTTCCCTCCGTCCGACGTCAGCTTGCAACAAGATGTCGGTGGAGCCTCCTCTCTTTCCCATCTACAAGCAAGTGCGATCCGGTCGGTAGATACAGGCTTCCGATACTGCCGCCAACGATTGAACGTGGACTAACAGCTTGGATCGGGATTACAGCTCTATAACATATGCCGGCATCGCTCATGGCATGCATTGTGGACAGCCAATAACCCATTTTAACAGCCACGTCCGCCCCTTTCGATAATATAAATCCAAGATGGTATGCTTGATACACCCGCGAATCGATCCCCAGGTGGGCTCGCGAATTTACGAATGACCTCACTTATATCCTAAGCGTCAGTGAGGCTCGGGTAAATTCACAGCGAGCCAAAGCCATGTCACTCTCGACTCATTCAGCCGGTTGTCCATGGAGGAATACTAGGCAGACCCGGTCTCAGAGGAACAAGATGAACCCCGTCTACATTGTCCTTGGAGCCGCCCTCACGAACCGTCAGCTTCTACGTCTGCCGCATATCCACCACTTACGTCCCTCCCTGGTTTATATTGCTCACTGCGAAGTCCTTCTGACTTGAGGTCTTACGGTCTGGGATACCCCAGGCATCACACATCGAGGAAGTAGAATGAATTACTATACGTCGACTCGGACAACCTAACAAAACTAAGCCACCGTCACGAAGAAATTCCGTTCCCCCTCCGTGGGCTCAATCGCTGCCTTCCTCAGAATCTCATCCCCAACGGACAGTCTCAACCGCTCTGCAGTCGCCGGACTATCTAACACCAACGGTCCCACCACCCCGTTATCCTCCCGCGCACTCCGCAGCGCATCGCGGAGCGCAAACAAGACCGTCGCCCCGAGAAACAGTGGCGGCTCTCCAATCCCCTTGCTGCTCTGGATAGACCGCAGATTCTTCCACGACACCCCTTGGAGAAAGCTGACGTTGAACTCCTGTGGGATGTCGCTAAATCCGGGGATCTTGTAATTGCCCGGTCCGCGCGTCGCAAGCTGTCCTCCTTGCGTCCAGAGACTCTCCTCCATCGTGAACAGACCCTGTCCCTGCACGAACGCTCCTTCGATCTGTCCGTAGTCAATGGCTGGGTTGATAGATCGTCCGATGTCCATTTTGATGTCTGTCCGCAGAACCGTGTGGTCTCCGGTCAACAGGTCCATTTCGACCTCGGTGCATGCCACGCCCTATATCAGTCAGTACCGACCTACAGCCAATTCAACCATTCGAACGTACCTGTGTGAAATAGAAGTACATCGGCTTCACCGTGTTCACGTCATAGTTCCCCCACTGGTATCCGATTTTCGGCATCTTCCAGAATCCACTAGCAGCAAGGTTAACCCGATCGCGATAGGCAGCATGCGCCAGCGTCGCCATGGAGGAGTCGGCCCCGAACTGCTCACGATACGGTCGCAAACGCTCGTTCAACTGATCGCACGCATTCTTCACGGCCATCCCGTTGAGGTCGCTGCCCGATGACGCAGCCGTGGGGGACGCATTCGCCGTCTGGTACGTCGATGTGTCTTGGGTGTACACATTCTCGACGGGTACCCCAAGCTCCTGAGCCGCCACCTGCACCATCTTGGTGTACAGCCCTTGACCCATCTCGGTACCTCCATGATTCAAAAGGATCGAGCCGTCCGTGTAGATCCGGACAGAGGCCCCTGCTTGGTTCAGATGCACGGCGGTGGCGAACGAAATCCCGAATTTCGTGGGGATCATGCACATGCCACGCTTGCGCCAGCGATGCTCCTTGTTGAATCTCGCGATCGCCTCCCGCCGTTCGTCATACTTGACCTCTTCTCGGACCTGCCGCAGCAGAAGCGGAATGTGCCAGTCTTCGTCGATACGCTGCAGAAATGGCGTCAACTCCCCTTCCTTGTAGAGATTGCGGAGACGTAGCTCGTCGACCGATATGTTCAGCCCCTCTGCTACTGCGTTCATGTAGCTTTCCGCGATGAACATGGACTGCGGCCCACCGAATCCCCGGAAGGCCGTGTTGGAGTGGATATTGGTCCGACACACCCACCCCCGCAGGTGCACATGGGGAATGTGGTAGCAGTTCTCCATATGCGTCAAGCACCGATCCATAACGGCGCCACTCATGTCCGTCGAGAACCCGGCGTTGTTATAACAGTCGGCGTCTAGCGCAACGAGAGTGCCGTCGTTCATCACGCCCACCTTCCATCGACACTGGATGGGATGGCGCTGTCCGCTAGTCATCATGTCCTCGTCCCGATTGAGCATCGCCCGCATCGGTCGACGTTCCTTCTTCGCTGCGATCGCCAATAGACAGGCAAGCTGGACGCTGCGGGACTCTTTTCCACCAAATGCGCCACCCATGCGTTTGACGCGAGCGTTGATCCGGTTCGCGGGCATTCCAGTGACCTGGGACACAAAGTCTTGCGTTTCCATTCTGACTCATATCGTTAGTATTGTAGATAATACTTAAAGAGAAAAGACAAAAAAGAGGGAAGGAAAAGAGAGAGACACATACGTGTTTTGCGTAGACGACCACACATCCATCGTCCCATCCTCAGCGTGCGGCACCACAAGAGCAGCATTCGTCTCGAGGTAGAAATGCTCCTGTCCTCCGATCCGCGTCACGCCAGAAAAGACTCGGTCGCATTTAGCAAACACGTCATCCATTCCATCCGGAGCGGCTCCCTTTCGCAGCTCTTTGCCATGGTTGAAGAAACTCTTCGCTTCAATCGCCTCGTCGATGGTCAAAATCGCCGGGAGCTCCTCGTACACGACTTTCACGGCCTTGGCTGCCTCTTGGGCCTTCAGTGCCGTGTCAGCGTACACGAGTCCGATCGGCTGTCCGTGTGCGATTACCTCGTCGCCGGCGAAGAAGGGCTCGTCGTGCACCACTGATCCCCAGTGATTTCTCTCTGCGGGAATGCTATGCCTGTCGATGTACCCCACTGCCAATCCAGGCTGGATTGCTGGCGTCCAATCCACAGAGACAAGCTTTGCATGGGCGCGCTGCGACAGCACCATGGCTCCGAAAAGCTCGCCGCTCAGCGGCGCCATGTCGTCGATGTATTCCGCTTCGCCCGTCGCGTGTTTCAGTCCTGACAGATGAGGGAGCTGCTTTCCGACCACACGCTGCTCGTGCGGATTGTGCTCATCGCGCGTCCCATGCGAGATTTTCCGGTGGATCTCCTCCGTGATGTCCTCGTCGCAGTCGGCCTTTGCAATTAATCCGAGCTCCACTGACGCTTCGTTCCAGAATCGGAAGAACAGAGACAATGCGAGTGTGCGACGATATGTCGCCATCCCCCCTGGCACGCTGTACGGGAGATTGAAGTCGCTGATCAGCGCATTCAGAGTACCATCCAGCACGGCTTGGTCCCTCCACTTCTTGCCCCGGAGGTAGTTCCCTGCGGATTGAGCCAGGACTGTCATGGGTGCCATCCCCCCGTAGGCTAGGGCTACCTCGGCCACGTGGTCCTCTCCGTCCAGTCGGACGCGAAAAGATGCCGTCACAATCGCGATGTCGTCGTCCTTGCGCTTGGCCTGTTTATAGGATTTGGTGATCTCGCGGACACCGGCTGGAGGCAACGGTATTCTGATCTGCGTGATTAGGCTGCCGAAGGGTAACGCCGTCTTTCGATATCCCAGGAACATGGAGTCCATTGGTAGGATCGTCTCCCCGGACGCGGTCTTCGCTACAACCTGTGCGTTCACGGCCAGCAGTAGTGGGTTCATGTCGGAGATGGGTGACGCCGTGGCTATGTTCCCAGCTAGCGACGCCGCATTGCGGATTTGGCGACCGGCAAAGTATCGCAATATCTTCGCGGCCGCGGTAAGAACGGATCCTCGTTGTTTGAGCTGGGGCGCCAGCTGGCCAAATGTCTCTTCTAGGTCACTCAGAGACGCGTTGCCTCCTACGATGAGCTCAGACATGCTTGATAGGTCCTCCGGCACGGTAATCCCCGTCAGCTCTGGGAGATCACCCACGAACACGGAGACAGCAAAGTTGGACCCTTTGAATCGGGTGTCCACCTGCACCTCGCTGGCGCCACCAACGAGTGTGGCAGATGGTTGTTGGGCAAGAATTTTCAGTGCTTGGTCCAGCGTTGCTGGACGCAACCATACCTTACCCTCGTCGCCGTATGCAACCAGCCTAGACTGGTGTTTGGAAAGCCCAGGGGGGTAGATGAGCTCCGTTGTTGGGGCATATGGGATGAATTCAATCTGGGGTGCCAACTCTTTCTTGTCCGATGGGGAGTCGGTGGTCGAAACGCTCGTCTGCGAACTGCACTGCTCGTCTTGGGAACTCGATGAGCACGCCGAACTAGGCGTATCCCGGCAACACCCCCCGGGTCGTCCGCACGACTGGGAGTTTAGTGCCGGCTCAGGATAGTCATCCACCAACGACTCGCTTATACTGTTCCCTGGAGCCACCTTCAGGCGCCCTTGCAAGTCTTCCTGCACGAACGACTTGGCCGCCTGCAGTATAGGCTTGTATCCTGTACACCGGCACAAATTGCCATCCAGATGTCCCTTCATCTCGATCTCGTCCTCGCATAGACTGAATTCGCCGGTCACTGGGTCGTACGCGTTGCGGATCATGGCATACAGCGACATGACGATGCCAGGGGTGCAGAACCCACATCTATTCGGGTTACCCTTACACTCACACGACCTTGAGAAGTGGAATACTTACTGTGATCCATGCAGCTTACTGAGCCGCTCCTGCAAGGGGTGGGGATTTTCCACCGTCCCCAATGCTTCGACGGTGATGACGTGTTTTCCCGCGACTGTCTTGTTAGCTTTATCGCAACATTGTGAGGAAAGAGCTTACCTCCCACCAGCGGGTAGAGACAGGCGTTGATTGCCAGATGTCTGATCCGCCGCGTATCCCGTTGATCCCGGGTTTGCAGGACGACCGTACACGCACCGCAGCCTCCCTCGCCGCAGCCCAACTTCGTGCCTTTGAGTCCATGCTGCGAGCGGATGAAGTCGAGAAGTGTCCAGCGCGGATTCGGCCGGTACAGCTCAACTTTGGTTCCGTTCAAGTAGAAACAGAGTACGGGGGAGGCATTTTTCTCATCGATAAAGTTCTGTAACTCTGCTGATGCCATGGCTAGGGTCCTCTCATTAACAAGATGTGCATCGCAATGTTGAACACTGATGGTCTACAAGTCTTGGGCATATCCCTCGTACATATATTTGGCCACTATCAGACTATCGGCCTATTGGAGGAGTCCGTCTGACTGGCGCCTGTCGGGGTTCCCCCTCACATGTATGACTGCCCGGTGGGGGTGCATTCCTATCGCTGTCCAAGGGTGGGGTTGAGGTCTTACTCTAGTGTCGTCACTATTACAATCTGTTTATTGTTGTAATTTGATTTCTTTTTTTCAAATTTACATTGAGTAATAGCCAGATGCAAATGTGGGGTATTGCCTCTAGTCGTCGGCATACTGGCTTTGTTCCGGTAGTTGTGGTATATACTAGCGATTTACCCTACTTGATACTGTCGAGATCAGAAATCACTCAATGATAGTCATTAAAATAACAGCAGATATAGGGCCGTAGATAAACTAAGTAGACAAATTCACCAACACCTTCATTGCATCATGGACTACTGCCCACCGCACCGTCGCCAACTGCTGCGCCATCGCCACCACCAACGGCGTTGGATCGTACTTGCCGCCCAGGCCACCCAGCTCCGCCAACGTAGAACACGTCGTCATAGCCACGATAAGTGACGACAAATCCGTCGTGAGACGGCCCTGCGGCGGGCACCGGTCTAGCCCACGGTGAAATGCCCAGCACGCCAGCGTCGCCAGATACAGACACCACGGGAAGTGGAACGCGTCCGTCTGGTCCCAGTCGTGGAGACTCAGAACGGCTTCCTGCAAGAGCGTTGCAGCGTGCCGCGTGGCCACAATCGCTGGATCGCTCTGCAGCCACCGAGGCAGATTGCGGCGCGATCGCTCGCGGTCGTCGGCCGTGACGGCGCGCCCGAGGATCTGTGATGCCCCCGCGGCGATCTGCAGGTCAAGGATTTCGACGTTCAACGCCAAATGAGCCGCGCGAAAGAGCGCGTATGCGGAGGTTTTCAGCCCGGTGAAGCGGCGCGGATCCGCAGGCTGGCCGAGTTTCATAGCGAGGCAGTCGGCGTCGAAATCCACTTTCCACAAGTCGTAGGACCGGCCCATGCGCAGCGTCCACGCCCCAACCCGCTCGGGGGTCTCGGACTGAAGCGTCGTCTGGTCACGTCTTTTTAGATCGGCGGAAACGGACATCAGCCCATGCAGTACCACGATGCGTGCTAGGGCGTTGAGATCCCGCGGTCGCGAGATGGTCCCGGGGGTGATGTAGCCTTTGAGCACAGAGAGGAAGAGATGGTCGGCCTCTCGCGAAGCATGCCGTGCCCATTCCTCGGCACTGGATGCCTCCCAGGCGTTGGCCCCACACGGTAGTGAAGATCGGATTTCAAAGGCCGACATGCAGAGGGATTGGGAGAAGAGCACGGCGTGCTGCGTATCCCACATAAAACAATGCATCGCCAGCCGCTTCCGCTGCTCGGCATCCATGGCACGTCGCCATTGTCCGTCCAGGCTGTCTAGTGGCGGTGCTGTCGCCGAGTTGGCGCGAATGCCACAGCAGTCGCTCCGTCGGATCAATTTGATGAGCACGCAGTGGAAAAGCTGTGCTCGTTCGCGCTGTTTGGGGCCCGCCCGCATCTTTCCAAAGCAGTCGACTAGCAGCATCGACTGCAGGACCCAGAGCGGTGGCTGCGGGGAGAAGTCGGCGTGGCAAAAGAGGTGATTGCGGAGGTTGTCGTGGATCCCCACCGCTAATTGATGTGCCTCGCGCGTGCCATACGTCGCTCCCATAGATAGTATAGCCGCCAGTATGATGGGATCCGCATGGGCAGCCATGAATGTCGGCTGATGGATGAGAGGATACGTAGTGTTAAAGCGGGTAAAGAACAGATCACTGTAGCTCTGCAACGCCGTGAGCGACAGGAGCGGCGAGTCAACTGCCGTGATATGGCCCGTCGCTCCCAGTGGTGGTGACTGTGCAATCAACTTCAACACTCCCTGCCGTGTGTCTTCGCTCAGTCGAGGAAGATATAGTGAGGTGTTGTTGTCAAACGTTGATGGTCCCGACATCCAGTCCAGCTCGACCAAGTCAGGGAGGTCGCCGCTATCTTGCAGAGAAAGCTTTCCCTGTGATGCCCCCCGATCGATGAAAGACGCCGCCTCGAGAAGCATGGACGACGAATCCCGGTCGTTGCGATCATAGTCGGACACCCGTCCAGCCACTGGCAGCATCGGACTGCGACCAGTGTCGAACCCGTCCCCGAAGGCCATCATGTCCGATCCGAGCGGCAGGTCAAGGTGGTGAAACGCGTCGTCGAGCGACGTCACGTCAAATAGCCAATTGTAGTTATGGGTCGCCGCGAAGGGCATGTTGAAATCCGTCGCTGCATTCTATGTCAGCCATCATATACTCCGTAGAGACATCCGCAGTCCCAACGCACCTGTATCCACGCTGAAGAAATCGCTCGTCCCGTCCAACCCAACACTCCACGCGCCGTCGGCTGCATCAAATTGCCCCGGGATGGGCTCCACAAACGGCTCGAATGCGCCCCCCGGCATCATGGGAGCCAAGAGAGGGTCGTGATCGTCGAAACACAGCGACGGTGGGTCGCTGGCGGACCCTGGAGGCGATACAGGGGCTCCATGCGGTGTCTGTCCGTCCAGATCGAGGGTGATCTGGGCCAGATCTGGCCCGCTCGTCACCGACACGGACGACGCCGTCGTGGATTCCGAGCAATGTGGTTGGGACTGTCGCTTGCGTGGTCGAGTAATGATGGTTCCATCTCCAGCCCGACGAGTCCTCTTGCGTGTTTCAAGCACTCCCATCCCAGGACCCCCGGCTTCTTCGTCTCGTTTTGCGTGACGCATCATATGTCTGGCTGCTCCCTCCGTCAGCATCCTCACCGTCTGGACCGGTCGTATAACACCTACAAAGCAGGTCGGGTCGATTGAAATGGACAAAGCAACGTTCGCATGTATATCCATCGCGCGACTTCTCATGGTTCAAACTATGTCGACGCAAATGCTCCGCCCGTGTGAAGCTCTTGCGGCAGTTGGTCCACTGGCAAACGTGATTCTTCATCTCGAGGAGTGGGAGAGTGGGATGCAAACGTCCCCTCACGTCGGAGCGACCGGTTGGACAAAATAAATATGCGGCCCTTTGTCCGACCTTGCTGATAAGACAGGGATGTTCTTGGGTTGCGTATGGTTGGCCAAGGCATTCCATGCGGGGGAGCGGCCTAAATTAGGGCTTCTCCACCCGTATCTGACTGACTCCTGTTGGGGTAAGATACTTGATCCTGTCCTATCAAGTGTCATGCTATCGCATCCTGGTTGAACTGATCGCCGCTCTATCTACAGAAAGTATCGCCATTCGGGACTCTTCTCCCCATCTACCAGATATCGCGTGTCGACCTCCTCGCCGCACAATCTCACCCCCTGTTCTCGATCGCGTCGGCGGTTCTCCCCGCGCATCCACAGCCCCAGTCCGAATGTAAATACAATGCATACTCCGTTACAGCAGCAGGTAGCCACCAAGGTCGGAATGTACCTGTGGGGTTAGCTTTCGTGCGGGTAGGGGCGGAGGAGTTCTCATACTGGGGCGCATATTCCGTGCGAAACGTCGCGGCACTCATAATGCCCGCCAAGTTGCCCAATCCAACGAAGAAGCCCGTATTCGCCGCCCGCGAGTTCTCGTGTACGTTGTTGTTGTTATGCCACGCGTGCACCAGACACGACGGGATATAGGCCCCGGCTGCCATGAGAAAACAGGCGAAGTACGCCACCCCTTTGTTGGTGAGAACGTCAATTGTGGATAAGACAACCATGCCCACCAGGGAGAGCGTTAAGGAAAGGATAATGTGGAAGGTTCTCTCGCGAAAGTAGTCGGAAGACTTGGCCACTGCAAGCAGCACCACTGCGCCAACCATGTTCGGAGCCACCGTCCACAGGTTCGTTTTGACGGCCGAGTAGCCCAATCGCTGGACGATCTATCCGGGTTAGCAATCGCCTCCTTTTCTGACAGACGGCCCTACCAATGGAAAGAAGTTCATGGCGGTGGCGTACGCCACAGGATAGGTGAACGTGATCAGACACCAGACCGGGAATTTCCAATCATTCCAGGTCTGGAAACACTCCTTTATGTTCAACCCTGTGTCCACTTCGGATGAAGTATCGCGCAGCAGCCGTGCCGTGGCCGCTGCTCGCTCGCGCTCCGTGAGGAACCATGCAGTGGATGGACCGTCTGGGAGCCACCAGAAGCCGACCACTCCGCAGACGAGTGTCATGGCCCCCTCAATGATAAACAACCACTGCCACCCTTTCACAGCAGGCTCGTTTATTTGGAAGACACCAAAGGAGATCAACCCGCTGAAAGCGGAGGCCAGGACAGCAAACGACTGCATAATTGCCAGTCGAAAGCCCATCTCCCCACGAGTATAGAACAAGGTGAAGTAGAAGGTGGCGCCAGCGAAGAAGCCTGCTTCGAAAACTCTATCTATATCAATGGACGAACCAGGGGGGGCTAATAAAGATTAAAGAATACTCACCCTAAAATGATCCGGATGGCCAGCATACCACCAAAGCTCTTCGCCGCGCATTGGCACAGGGCCAAGATTCCCCAAACAACCGTCACTATCCTGTCAGTAGATGCAACCATAGAAGACAGTCAAAACGCACTGAAAGACAACATGATGCGCCCGGAGTATCGCTTGAGCAACAGGTTCCAGGGCAGATCGCAGAGCCCAAACGGGATGTAGAAGAGCAAGACAATCAGTGAGTAGTCATTGCCTTGGAAGTGAAGGTCCTGCTCCAGTCCGTCGGTTTTGGCATTCGCCAAGTTGCTCTATTCCGATCAGTACCTGTATACATCTCCCATAAATCTACTCAACGATTTGCTTACCCGGTCCATACAGTCGAAAAAATACATCTAAGCAATTAGCTAAGAGCTCCACCAGGCGATGACATCCTTACCAAACAAAGTAATGGCAGCAGAACGAAGTCCACCTTGCGAACTATGGCGGGTAAGTATGGGTCGATTAGGGCAACGGTGAACCCCTACCGTATGACGTCTCTGCTTCGTGGTCCACCTCCCTGGGCATCGTCCCTGTCTTGGTTTCGGGCTCTGTAGATGACATCGCGGATGCTCGTAGTTTCCTGGTGTTTTGTGTTGGAATCGGCGAAATTGATACAGAAAAGAAGTCAAATTCCCACCGTCTCACCCTGCAAGGGGGTAATAGCTCTATGTATCGGACACCTCATCTTCCATCCACCCTCTAGCATTCTGTCAATTTCTCATATCCGCTCGCATCGTTCATTGCAGACCATGCTGATCTGGAGAATAAACCCCGAATGTGATAACAATTACGGGGACATTCTATTGGCTGCTCCGCATCGTGGTTATCAGGCCTATCCTGGTCGACTCTGTCGATCCATCTCACCCATAACCTCCCCCCACTCTTGGGCGTTTCATCCCGTCCTCCAACTCGTAAGCTTGTCACCCTCCTTCGGTATTCCGTCCGATCATTATCAATTCGGGATGAAAGAGAGAAACAATCATGACGCTTATATTGCTAGAGTGTATCAGAAAGGCTCTATGGCAGAGTTGGATAGGGTACATTGATTAAATCCACCGGGATGGCGCCGACAGCACCCCCTGTCCTCGATTTCTCCCCATTCTATGGCAGCGACAACGAGGCCAAAGTCCACCTGGTTGAGCAGATCCGCCAATGCTGTCTCTATAACGGTTTCTTCCAGGTGACGGGCCACCGCGTGCCCCGCGAGCTTCAGCTACGCGTAATGAACTGCGCCAAGCGCTTCTTCGATCTTCCACTCAAGGAGAAGACAAAGATTGACAAAGGTTGGTCACTTTTTCAGGGCCAAATTGGCAGACACTAACCGCGGCAGATCGCACCTCGTTCAACCGCGGCTACGAACTTCTCGAATCCCAAATCCTCGAGCCCGGCACCCGTCCCGACAAGAAAGAGGGCCTCTACATCGGCGAGGAGATTCCTGAGGATCATCCGTACTTCGTGAACCAGAAGCTCAACAGTGGGCCCAATCAGTGGCCGGAGACGGTCCCCGACCCAGAGGAATTCCGGCGCACCTCGATGGAATACTACCATGCAGTTTGTGAGCTAGCCAAGGATGTGCTCGCCATGCTGGCGCTGACCCTGAAGGTCGAGCCGACGTTTTTCGACCCCATGACAGACGGTGCGGTCGCGACCATGCGATACTTGCATTATCCGGCGCAGCCGAAGGATGACGACGACAAGTTGACTCGTGGGATCGGCGCCCACACTGATTTTGGAACTATCACCTTGCTGCTGCAGGATGAGGTGGACGGCTTGCAGGTGCTGGATGTGCCAACGGGGGATTGGCTAGATGTACGTGCGCCCGTCTTGTCTTGCCTACCATGCCTAATGAAAGCTTCCAGGTCAAACCTGTCCCCGGTGCCTACGTCGTGAACCTGGGCAACCTGTTCATGCGCATGGCTAACGACAAGTACAAGTCGAACATCCATCGCGTCATCAACAAGTCGGGCCGTGAGCGATACTCGATTCCCTTGTTCTTCAGTGGTAATCCAGACTATGTCTGTCAGTGTCTGCCGAATATTCGAGGCGAAGGCGAAGAGCCTAAGTATGCCCCCATCACGGTGGAAGATATGGTGACAGCCTCGTACAAGGAGAGCTATGGACGGGCGGATAAGTACAAGGAGGGTCTGGAGGCGAAGGCAAACCATACCGAGGTGGAGACAATGGCCACGGCGGCTGTTGGGGCTTAATGATTTCTCTCATCTCTAACTGTCCGATCATATGGATGCAATGCAATGCGATACTCTCGTTTGTGATCCAACGGTAATTTTCGCGCTGTTTGCGGATAACAGCAACATGGCATCTTCATCCTAAATTTGACAATCATGTACAGCGCCCTGTGTAGAATTGTGGAATCGTCGATAGGTGACCATGATCCGACCCAGAGAGGCTCGGGTACATAATCGCCATTTCATCAGCAGGGACTCTCGTCCTGACAGGAAGCGTCGTGGGAAAAGTTGGCATGTTTGTTGTTCAAAACGGTCTAGTGCTTATGCTTAGGGTAAAGTGGTGAATTATATGAGCTTAACCGAGGATGTGATGATGCGAATGTGTTGTTGAGGGCGCTTGACCCCGCATTGAACGCCTATCCAGCCGTTCAATCCGGCCATATCGTGTCCAACCCGATAAGATCCAGGTATCGTCAGTCCTCCCAACCATCATAGACATAGAAGGTAGCATGGCGGTGGTCCAAGACAGATACAAGACATGCGAGGCGTGCCTGAAGATCCCTCCCATTTCGGAGATCGCCCCGGGGCATGGTGGGGTGAACATATTCTGGGACTCGTACCAGCAGCTGGAGGATTCGGCGGCGAAAGGTTGCCCCTCCTGTGAATTCTTCTACCGACACTGCATCGCGCCAAACACCAAGCGCGCAACGAGCAAGTACATGAGTCCGTCAAAATCGCGCGGACCTTATGGCCTTGGCTGGAATGGACACCCTCCATGGGAGCGAACGCCGATGGGCGATCGTCCTCGGATTGACCTGCTCTATGACATCGATCTACCGCCCGAGGCCTATGAAGATAAGATTTACACCATCGGGTCAGAAGCGACGTTCGAGGTCTTCGCGGATCCGGGTAGGTCGGGTCATACGGGAGACAGTTCTCGAGGAAACAAGCTGACCAGCGCACCATCCAGAGGAGCCGATTTCCAAATACATTCTGGCCCGGGACGTCATGCCGGACCCGCGCGCGGATGGGGCCTTCGAACTGGTTAAGGGATGGGTGGACTCATGCTGCCAGTCGCATTCCGCGTGCAAACGCGGCGAGGATCCGGTACTGCCGAGATTCATCATAGAGATCAGCGCAGCCCCAGGGGCAACCGAATTCCAGCCCTCGTTACGCTTGGTGGAAAATGACGGCTCCCAACGGTCTCCCTACATTACCCTGAGCTTTATCTGGGGGGTCCGAGTGCAACCAGTGCAGTTGATGCGGGAGAACAGGAAGCAATTCCTCAAATCAATTCCCTACGACCGGCTACCGAACACGGTCAAGGATGCCGTCTTTGTCGCACACAGGCTGAACGTCAAGTACCTCTGGGTCGATACGCTGTGCATTGTGCAAGACGACGACGAGGTCAAGAGAGAACAGATTGCGCAAATGTGCGATATCTACGGCCGCTCGTACCTCACTGTCCAAGCGGCCAACGTCAATTCCGTCCACGAGTCGTTCCTCCGGCCGCGAGCGCTCCCCAAACACCCGTCTCTTAAGCTCCGCTTCAACGAAGCCAGCCACATCTATCTGCGGCCTGGGGGCTACGAGCAGACAGAGACAGCCTTCAGTCCCGTGGACCGAAGAGGGTGGATCTTTGAGGAGGGCGTTCTGCCCCCTCGGCTCCTGATGTATCGCGCAGAAAAAATGGTGCTGGCCTGTCGCACGGCATACCAGGCCGAAGATGGGTATCGGGCCTCCAAACGGCCTGGTCCATATCCGAGCTTTCTTGACCCGGCTCCCTGGTGGCGGAATAGCCGGGTCAAGGGTCCACAGCGGCGGCCTGACAAGCGCTGGGACATCCTCAACTGCTGGTACAGTGCCCTGGATTTCTCCTACACCGGGCGTGCATTGACGGTGGCGAGCGACAAGCTGCCAGCGATCCATGGCGTTGCTGTACGCCTCGGAGACCAGATCGGCAGGCGGTACATGGCGGGCCTCTGGGAGTCCGACCTACCATGGGGGCTGCTGTGGGAGTCGCGGGGGCATTGGACCGGACCCGAGTGGCTCCGCGAGCAACAGCGAGCGTCCCGACCAGCGAAGTATCGGGCGCCGTCGTGGTCTTGGGCGGCAATCGACGGGGCCACGTACCACCTCTTCTCCGACCGGGTGTACAGCCGGCCTGTGGCCACCGTGGATACCAGTGCCATCCGCATCGACACCCTGGGAGATATCTCCGACGGGGTGATGAAGATCCACGGGCCACTTTTCCACGCCGATCTCGTCCCTCCCGATCCGGCCACGACCAATGCCAAGCGGCTTTCATCCGCTCTGTCCACGCTTGCCTGGTCCAATGCTAATCACGGATCCGGGCCGCCGCCCGGAACCATCCTGGGGAGGGCCAATCTAGATATTCCGGGAAGCCACGCGGCGGAGGTCTGGTGTCTCCACATCGTATCGACCCGGGGACTGATCCTGGAGTGTGTGGATCAGGAAAAGAGAACATTCCGGCGGGTAGGGATATTTACCATTCGGGACGACCAGCTAGATGCCATTCCAGGGGACAATCTCATGGCTGACGTGACCCTCATCTAAACGTCGCGTTATCATCTCAAGATCTTGTTTCGTGCCAGTGAGACGAGGGTGATCCAGCCAGGATGATGGACGACTGTGGCCATGGTCAGGTGATGCTCCGGCCCGTGGACCGATTCCTCAGGCAGCCACTTCAGCAATCACAGTCTCTTGTACCGTGACCTTCGTTTCTGTTTATTGTCAGAGTTTTGGCTTCCTTTATTTTGGTTGATTTCATTCTCCAATTTTCCTCTTAGCGATCCTCAGATAAAGAAAAGATTGTAGCTTAATATAGAGAAATCATATCAAAATGATGCTGAATTGCGGATCTTGTGGGAATATATATCTCCCTATGTTGGTCGCTAAATCGGACCTCTAACACCTGTGACCAGTGATGTATCAATTTGATTGAGCACTTACAACAGTAATTAGTATGACAGCCTTTTTCCGAACTAAGAAAACAAAACCAAAGTAGAGCAGAGTACGGAGTAAAGGACAGAGAAGGAGAGAGATTGTTTGTTTGGTTTACGGAGCTCGAGTCTTCCTCTCCTCTGCCTCTATTCCGGATTTCTCTATACGTGAACACGACATTTCTGGTACTTTCATTGACCGAAGATAACCTATAGTTGCAACCGTTTCAAGCGCACACATTCAACAATGCCACGGTCGGGTCGTGATCCGACCCTTGGTCATCGTATGACACCCAGGTGTTGACGTGGATGTGCTCCGCGCGCGCCTCTTTGGCCACGGCCTCGCTGACGTACATGTGATCCAGCTGCTGGCAGTTCGAATCATACAGATACGTGTATCGCTCTGCCTCGT